CTCCACAGAGGCGATTGTGGACAAGGCCTACTCGGAGGCTTCGGATGCTTGGTCCTTCGGAGTGCTGTTGTGGGAGATGGTGACGGGACGCGTGCCTTGGGAAGAGGAAGAGGCATTGCAGGTGGCGATGAGGGTGGGTAAGGAAGGCCATACGCTGCCGGTGCCTCCCGGGTGCGACGAGGTGCTCGCCGAGCTAATGGTCAGTTGCTGGGAACAGGACCCGGCTCGAAGGTACACTTCTTCATCAACCCTCGCCTGCTGCTCGTGTGGCGTCGCCAACCAAGATCGCACCCGCTCACCTAAACTCAACGAACGCTCGCAGGCCCACCTTCGCAGAAATGCACACACGGCTGCAGGCCCGCTATGAAGAGCTCAAGGACGAGGCTGCGGTACGGAGGATGCGAAGAAGCAGGCAAGCTTCGCGCCTGGGGGACGGACAACGAGAGCAGGAGGAGTGGGTCGTAGTGCCCGGCGACCACTTGACCAACAATCGGGACAAGAGGGAGGAGAGCGAGAGCGAAGATGAAGGAGACGTCGCAGTGCGGCAGGCAAGAAGTGATAGGGAGAGCAGCGACGACTACAGCGACGACGATGACGAGGAGGGCGAAGAGGAATGGGAAGGATTCGCCATTGCCCAGGCAGCCGAAGACTACCGGGCGCTGGACCTGTCTTCTGCTGCCGGCGCCGCTGTTCTCTCATCCCCTCGGCGCCAGGTGCTGCTGTCTTCGCGAGGAGCATCACAATCCCAATAAAAGAGAAAAGAGAAAAGGTGAAGGAAACAAAACAAAACAAAGCAAATCGGGGAGGGGGCGAGATTGATAGAGAGTAGTATCGAGCGAGAAGGAGAAGATGCAGAAGCGCAAGCAGGCCCCACCAGTTGTGTTTACTCCTGCGTCAGAGGCGGTGAAGGTGGACGTGTACGATCAGAATGCAGTGAAGCAGCTGCTCGATGACGTGATTATGACCTACGTGCTCGAGACTCGAGGGCTCGAGGAAGACCTCACCTACTCCAACTACAAGCTCGCCCTCGGCGGTCTGTCGTGCCTGGTGGCGATCGCCTCGCACGCCTACCCGGCGCCCTTCCCCGAGAATGCGTGGGTGCTCAAGGTGTGCGTGGTGAGCTACATCGTGCTCAGCGTGCTCCTCCAGTACGTGGCCTTCTACATGGAGGGCAACACGATCCTCGCCACCCGCCCCACCCAACGGGGCGGCACCAACAACAAGAAGCTCATCAAGCCCATCAACGTCCAGACCTACTTCCCCAAGTGCGAGGAGGCGTTCATCGTTCAGGTCACCACCACGCAGGGCAAGCCGGCTTCGCACTCGATCTCCTCCTCCATCGGCCGGTGGTTCCAGCCCGACGGAACCTTCATCCGCGAGGCCTTCATCTCTGACCTGGACCAGCTCTTCACCACTGTCGAAGATGCCAGCGACTGAAGATGAGAGAAAATACACCACCCGGTACTTTTTTTTTGAACGTGGCGGCATAGTTGACATAGCGCGGGTGGGAGACCAGCACACGAGGCCTCGAGCTTCGAAACAACACAGGTGTTGACAACACAGGGGCGTAATGAAGGGAACCAACAGCGCTCCCCAGACTTCACTGCCGTCACCCGCACAACTTGTCAGAGTCCCGGCAGCTGCTGACCCGCTTGTACCATACTTAAGACCAGGTAGCAGACAGGCAGCCCCTCCTTGTGTGTGGGACTGCACCTCGCCTCCCGAGCAACGCAAACAAGAAAAGGAAGAACAGACTCGAGACAGACGCTGCCCATCGGAAGACGGAGAGAAAGAAGAAAAGGAAGAGATGGACGACGGCCCCACGCAGGTTCTGCCACCTACGAGCCCCCCTCCGGCATCGGAAGGAGCAGAATCTCCTCCGCCCACCACCACAGAGGGGGGCGACCATGGTCTTGTGGCGCCGCCCACGGGGGGTCTCGTAGTGGTGCCGGACTTCCTCTCCACGTCGGGCTTGCTGGACACCCGGACCTCCTCCGAGGAGGAGGAGGGAAGAGAGGACGGTGGCCATGAGGGCTTCCGGGTGGTGTACCTCGCCCAGGGCTGGCTCGACGCCAAGAACGTCCACTACGCCCTCATCTCAGGTACACAAACACCCCTCCTTTCTTCTTCGCTTTCGCTTTTACCCCCCCCCCAACAAAACGCAAATCTCCCGAGTTCCTCACCCTGACCTCGTCTCGCCTCACCACACTCGCTGCAACAGATCGTTCCGAGCTGTATACCTGGGGCAGGTGCGCAGCGGCGCTTCGGCTCCCCTTCTCTCGTCGGCTCTTGCGCCGTGGTAGTCGTGTGATCACACGTTATTTTTTCTCATTGCTCTCTTCGCTATCGCTGTCGTCCATCGCAGTGGCGCATTTGGGCGGCTGGGCCACGGAGACACAAACGACGAGGCGCGCCCGCGAGCGGTGGAGGTCCTGGCCAAGCAGCGCATCCGGTGGGTGGCCTGCGGCTGGGACACCACCGCTGCAGTCACCGGTACGCCTGCACGCAGACTCTTCCATGCACGCATCGCAATGCCAGTTGCTGACTCCATTCCTCCCCCTTTGAAATGTGTGCCTCCTGGGGGTTGCAACAGAGCGCGGCGAGCTGTACCTGTGGGGCAGCGGAGAGCCCATTCCCCGCATCGTGTCGTTCCCCGGAGAGGGTACTCTGCGGGTGGCCAAGGTGTGCCTGGGCGAAGCCCACGCCGCCGTCCTCTCAGGTATGTGCGCGGGCCTCTTCGCCCTTCTTTCTTTCTTTCGTTCTTCTTCTCTCTCTTTCTTGGCGCCGAGCAATCGGAGCGCAATGCAGATCGGATTGATCAATCTCCCGCAACCGAACCACACACACACACACACACCACAAATCAGAGCGCGGTGATGTGTACACGTTCGGAGCGTTCGCCCACGGGCGGAAGACCAAGCGGGTGGCGCAGCGGAGGCAGCGCGGGCAAAAGGGCTGGGCGCGGGACCCCCAGCCGCGCATCGTGTACAACCTGCCCACCGGCCAGACCAGGAACATCGCCTGCGGGTCGCACCACATCCTCGCCCTCACGGCCGATGGCAAGGTCTACTCGTGGGGCGACGGCTCCTGGGGCAAGCTCGGCCACGCCTCCGAGACCGAGGAGTGGCTGCCCCGGCCCATCGAAGCCCTCGCGTGCGTCTTTCCCGTCCCCGTCGCTCTTTGCCTGCCTGCTTGCTTGATGTGCCGACAGCGTCCTGGTCTGCTCTCACAAGCGTTCGTTCATCAGAGGCCAGACGATCGTGCAGATCGACGCGGGCGATGACCACTCGATATTTCTGTCCACCGACGGTACGGTGTGGACCTGTCGGTTGCCCCCACGACGGCCGGCTCGGACTCAGCGAAGAGGCCATCAAGGTGCTTGCCCGCACCTCTCCCAGCTGACCTAGTTTTTCTCGTTCTTTTCCTTTTGGTTTTTTTTTGTTCTTTGGGCTGATGCGCCGCCACCGCCGCAGGAGCACCAGGAGGAGTTCGGGGCGGCCAAGAGGGACGATGCCGCCATCCTGGTGCCCTCGGCCGTGGGCGGCCCGCTCTCCTCTCGCCAGGTGGTGTCCATCTGCGCGGGAGCTGCCTTCACCCTCTGCCGCACCCTCGCCAAGGAGGTCTTCTACTTTGGCAAGCCCGACTGTACCCCCCCCCTCTCGAACACCACCTTGCAACCGCGTTCCCCTGATGTGCGGTGTTGACCCCTCACGCCCCTCCCCCTCCTTTCGCCAGTCGACGAAACGCTTGACGTGGCTCGCTCGCCCTCGCTCCTGGCCATCGAGTCGTACCCCCTCTCGGCGATGGCCAGCCGCGCCTACCGCAGCATGACCATCGTACCCCTTCCCCCTCTTCACACTCGTGTCATTCACGAACTCACGCGTTTGCCCCACGCACAGATACTGCCCGAAGGCGTCGAGGGGTCCGATGGCAAGGAGGAGAAGAAGAAGATGGAATTCACCCGCATCGTCGTGGTATGCTCCTCTCCAGATCTGCACCGCTCGATCACCCGACGGACGCTCATTTCTTTGTCACTTGGTTGACTGACGGGTGGCGGCGATGTGGTGGGAGGGCAGAACGACGACAAGAAGGCCGCGTCCTTCATCCAGAAGCAGAAGGAGTCCCCGCAGGTGCGGCACCTCCGCTCGACGCCGCGTCGAGGGTCGTTCCCGGAGATCGGGCAGATCGCGAAGGTGAAGGGCATCTGGGACAAGCGTGGCAAGACGCTGGGCGAGCACGACGTCGAGGCCCTGCGCCAGGCCGTGGCCCACAACCGCAAGAAGCCCGGCGCCGGGCCTCGCAACAAGTCGCACATCGTACGTTGCATCAGCGACACCCAGCTGGGCGACGAGGAGATGGTGGGCCACAACAGCCCGTCCGACCAGGACACCTCTCCCGTTGCCCGTGCCGACGCGTCGCCCCGCAAGCCCGAACCGACGCTTTCTCTTCGGCCAGAAGGGTCCGTGACCACCGACACCGAATCCGGTATCCAGCCGCTCGCCGCTCCCGAAGAAGGCGCTGTCAGTCCCGCAGAGGACAAGACTACCGGCAGCACCGCGCTGCCCCCGAGCGAAGAGGCCAGCGGGGGAGCCTACGAGGCGAAGGCCGCTCGTGCCGAAGAGGCCGAGAGCGAAGCCGATCATAAAGGCGACCCTGCTCTGGGGGATTCTTTGGGCGGCAAGGACCACACGGCGACCGTGCTCCCGGCGGGGGAGGAGGTGGAGGCGGTCAAGCCGCTCGAAGACCTGCGGCCCGCCACGCACGAGGAGGCCGAACCGACCGAGACTGGGCTGGCGGTGGAGCCCGAGGCCGACCAGGAGCACAGCGACGGGGACGAGGAGGACATTCGAGGGGAGACCCCGCGCCAGCGACCACCGGACGCCACCACCCACGCAGAGCCCCCGGAGAAGGGAAGCCAGGGGGAGGAGGACACGAGCGAGGAAGGGGAGGACAGCGCGACCGAGGGGGAGGACGAGGAGGACATCCGCCTGGAGAGCCCCCGGGTCGCCGTTCAGCTGCAGGCCAGCACGAAGCGCGACGCGGAGGCGGAGGAGGAGCACGCCCTGACCGAGGGCGAGGACGAGGAGGACATCCGCGGGGAGGAGCTCACACCGAGAGGCGGCCTCGAGGTGGACCGCAAGCTGCGGCTCGAGGCGCCGGTGGTCTCCAAGGGGGAGAACAGCGACGACGACGAGCCGACGGATGGCGAGGACGAGGAGGACATTCGAGGCGAGACGCCGCGAGGGAAGGAGAATGCCGGCGATCAGCTGGCCAAGGTGAGCGCCCTCAGCAGCAGCTCGCTCAGCCGGCTGAGCTACGACGATGACGAGGAGGACACGCTCACCGAGGGCGACGACGAGCAGGACATCCGCGGGGAGGACGACGAGCCCCTCTGGGTGGACGTGCACCTGGCCGCCGTCGCGCAGATGGAGAAGAGCACCAACCCCCACCACCACCACCACCACAAGGACGAGGACGAGGAGGAAGAGAGGAAGACCAGGAAGCAGCAGAAAAAGCAGCAGCAGAAGAAGGAGAAGAGGGCGCAGAAGCAGCAGCAGCAGCAGCAGAAGCAGGAGGAGAAGAGGGAGCCGAAGAGGGAGGAGGGCAACAGCGCGCGGCGGATCGTGCGCAACATCTCGCTCAAGCTCATCGGCAAGAGCGCCACCATCGAGCGCGACGCGTCTCCCAACAGGAAGACCACCGCCAAGGCGCCCAGCAAGAAGTCGCACACCCTCACCGCCTCGTCCCCGCCGCGCGTCAGCCGCGAGCGGCTGGGCGACGCCAACGAGCAACGAGCAGCCGCCAAGACCAGCTCGGGCGGCAGCAGCGTGTCATGCGACCCGGCCGCCTCGACCGAGGGCGACGAGCCGGGCCAGTGGATGGCCGCCACCGCAAGCCCAGTTCGTCGACGGAGCCGCGGCTTCCTCATGTGCAGCGGGCGCACCGTGGAGGCCGACGGCGACTGCGATGCCGACGATGGCGGTAATGCGGCCGCCCCTGCCAGCAGCGGCAGCAGCAACAAGAAGGAGCTGCGGAAGAGCCGGGAGAAGCTGGCCATCCGGCGGAGCGCGAGCTGCGATCCTCCGCAGGTGGGCGACGAGACGGGTCCGGGAGGACTCAAGGTGGTGCAGATCCAGCACTGTCATCAGGAGGTCGAGGCCCGGCGGAAGAGTCGCGAGGTGGCGGCGCAGGACGGGAAGCGGGCCAGCCGGGAGGTGGACAGCAGCGGGTTGGCGGGGGCGCCCAGGGAACGGCGCGCCAGCAACGGGTTCGCGGAGAAGGCCATCGAACGCCGGAGCAAGGAGCTGCACATGGACGAGCTCGAGAAGGCCGCCGCGGCCGACGAAGCAGGCCTCGATGACCCCGCGGAATCAACCGACAACCAGGCCTCCTCCTCGTCGTCGTCGCCCTTCAAGAAGTTCCACACCATCGGCCGAGCCCACCGCCGGCGCAACAAGACCCTCAATTCCGGTGGTACGCCGCCCCCTCCCTGCCTGCCTGCACGCGGTCCCGCGGGCACAATGTAATTGTGAGTCCCCTGCTGACTGGAAACCCCTCACTCTGGCGTGTCGGTCCAATCCAGCGGTCAGTGACTCGATGGATGCGGTGCCGACCAAGCAGAAGCGGTTCTCTATCAGCACCCCCTTCCTCAACTTCTCGTCGTCGGCCAATCGCGCTCGCACCAACTTCACCAAGGGTAACCACGGCTACTCCTTTTTTTCGCACACATCTGGCGCTCCGACACACACCACACCACACCACACACACCACACATAACACACACCTCACCACAATCGCGGACCGTTCTCGAAACAGAGGCGGCGCAGTTGGCGGAGTTCGAGAAGCGACTGAAGAACATCAAGCCGGGGGCGACGGAGGAGCGCGCAGCGGTGCTGAAGGAGTGGGCCGACTTCCTCCTGGCCCAGCACGCCAGCAAGCAGCAGCAGTCCGACAAAGCAGGCGCCAAGGACAGCCCCGCCGCTTCGCCCTCCCCCTCCCCCAAGAAGAGCCGTACGAACCCCTCACCCCCCTCTGGGGTGTGTGTCGTGTGTGTCAGGGCTCCACTAATGACGCGATTGGTTTACGCAGGGTTTGGCACCTTGCGGCGGCGGAAGAAGGACGAAGACAAGGAGGCCGAGAAGACGCCGGGATCACCGGAGGAATCCGGGGACGAGGACATCGCCGGCACCATCATCGGGAATGAAGAGATCGTCCTCAGGTAACCATTAGCCTCCCTGACGACCTTCTCCAGACACCCGTCTCATCACGTCCGTGACTACAACACACACACACACACACACACACCACTCCACACATGAGCGCAGGCTTCAGTCGGGAGAGATGATCAGGCTGGCGTACAGGGAGACGAAGAGGGGCTGGGTGGAGGACCGGAGCTCGGCCTCGCCTCCGGAGGTGGCCGTCTCCCCGCCGCCCTCGCCCTCGCCTCCCGCCTCGCCCTCGGGTTCGCCTCGAACGCCGGGGCGCTCGCGACTGCCTCGCGTTCCGCTCTTCCGCACCCACTCGCTCTCCCTCAACTTCCTGCGAGGAGGAAGCGGCAGCGAGAAGAAGAGCGACCGGATCGAACGCGCGAACGGTGGAGATGCGGCGGAGACCGGCGGCGGCGGGAAGGGCAGTCTGTCGCGACAGAAGAGCGATGCGCGGATCGGAGCGAGCGCGGTGGACCGGCTCACGCGGGTCGAGGAGGAGGCCTTCTCGGAGGTGTGGCGGCGCGAGAAGGAGCGCCACTTGGCTGAGGCCGAGGCCGAGGAGCAGAGGAAGCGAAAGGCCGAGCGCAAGCAACGCAAGAAGCAGAAGGAAAAGGAGTGGGCGCTCAAGGGCGAGGCCGAGGAGAGCAAGCGATCCTCGGAGCGACAGAGCGTGCACTCGGAGGACGATCAGCACTCCAGACATTCTGAGTCAGACTACTCCTCTTCCGACCTCAAGCTCGAGCCTGCCCCTGCGTCCACCACGCACCACTCCGCCGAACCCTGCGAGCAGGAAGTGTAAGCATTGACGAAACGCACAAGAAGGAGACGGTGTATGATATATCACAGCACAGCATTTGGTTGCTTTCCCACTCATGGTGTGCGGTGGGGTGGCCCTCTCCTCGTGAGCGAGTTACACGTCAGCACTATTTTGTGAACGTTTCTCTTGCCGCAGCAATCAGTTGTTCTTTTTGGTGTCCACCACGGCTGTGGGGGATCCAGCAGCAGGGAGGGCGGCAGCGGAGGCGTTGGCATCGACAGAGGCGGGCTCGCCGTCCTCTCCGCTCTGGCCAAATTCATTGACGCGGGTCTTGTCCACGGGGTAGATCCACCGCTGATACAGGAAGATGAAGAAGATGATATCTGCACACAGCGACACACACACGAGACGAGAAGAGACCAAACGTGTTAGCTGACGCTCCTGCCGAGGAGGAACACCGGGCGAGTGAACGAACCATCGCGGAAGCATGCAACTCGGTGAAGAGTGGGCATGCGAATGATGAACGCGAAGAGATCGTCGACAAAGGTGTTGAGCGCCTTGTACACGAACGTCTTCCACGGCATGTGCGCCACGCTCTTCAACTTGTAGTTGATGAACAGCTGCGGCGTCATCATCACGAACCCTGAGTATCCACCACACCACCCCGCCGTACGTGTAAGCCGCCTGTACTGGCACCACCGGCGCAAGGTGCACCAACAGCAACCAACTTGTCTGGACGCACGACGTACCGAACGTGTAGATGCATCCGGTGAGGGAGTTGAGGATCCACGAATACCAGCTCTTGTGGGTGTCGTAGGCGAGGGAGTAGATGGCGTAGCCCACCACGAGCACGTACAGCAGGTACGACAGGTACTTCATCGCTGCCACATCCTGAACGATGACGAGGAGTTAGTGACCGAGCCACGCCCGTTGGGTCGCAACGGCCCAGGCTTGTGGGGGCAGAGTGTGCATACAAGCTCCTTGGTCCGGGCGGAGTAGGTGGCCCTGTCCTTGAAGCTGATGCTGGGAAGACCGCCGTTGGGCCACTGAACTATAACCTGTGACGTGGCAATGTGGGGAATGCGTAAGATAACTCTGCGAGCGAAGGGGTATGGGGGTGGGGGGTAAGCCGCACCTCGACGGCCTTGGTGATCTTCCAGGCCTCGATGAGCAGACCCACGGAAGCGGAGATGAGGATGATCCAGCTCGTGTCGTTGTCGAACAAGTAGAGCAGGATGATGAACTGCGTGATGCAGTTGACGAAGATCGTGCGCACGGAGAGACCCTCCAGGTTCTTCTTCTCCTTCCAGAACGAGATGTCTGTGCAGACACCACACCACGCCATCAGAAGTCAACAACTCTGCCGGACAGCAGCCTCAGTGAGCGACCCGTCCGGCCCAAGCCGCCGCGCCCGACTGGCATGCGTGCGTACCGTTCTTAAAGGCCAAGAAGTCGAACACCGAGTGAAGGATGGACACCGCAAACGTGAGCACGAGGAGCCAGGGGTTCGTCTCCACCAACATCCTCTGCCGATGACGTGCATAGCGTGGATATTGACCAGGTCAGATCCGAGTGTCAAGGCGAAGCGTGTCGCGGGGGTGAGGGTACGGGTGTACCTTGATCTCGTCGCTCTCGCCCTCGGCGGCGCTGCCCCAGCTCTCCTGCATCTTGAAGGAGTGCTGCATCTGCACCATCATCTGCCACTTCCACATCGACAGAGTGTTGTATTCGAGGCGGAGGGGCAGCTCGGGCGTGGTGTCGTTGATCGGATAGAGGTGTTCGCGGAAGATCCAGAACTCGTTGATGAACAGCGTCGGGTGGTAGCTGCCCTCTGCATCGAAGCTCATGACTGCACTCACGACCGCACACACACAGGTGAGTAGGTGGTGAGAGGGCTGAGTGGTGGCTTCGAAGATGAATGGGCCAGCGGGACTTGAACAACGCACGTTCTTCCATCTGAGGGGGAATGCCACCTCGCGGGTAGACGGTGAAATCGTGCACCATGTTGAGCGTCAGGTTGGGCTTCCAGAACGAGACGAGCTCCACGCTCTCCTTCGCCTTTTGCTATTTGCGAGCAACAGAGTAGAGCAGAGCAGATACGACGCGACAACACACACACACACACACACAAAGCGCGCGCGTCAGCATTAAGAGAGAGGCGGCGATGTGGTGACAGAGAAGAAGGCGAACCAAGGCAAGCATCTCCGGGTCGTCTTCCATCTCGCCAGAGATGAGGTTCTTGCGGCCCTTGAGCTTGGGCTTGGGCAGGTACGTGTTCAGGCCTGCGCGCCAGCAAAATGCCGACAGACGTCAGTGGTGCGCGCGGGGACCAAAAAACAAGGGACGCGGCTGGTGCGAGTACGTTGGCGCTTGTAGAGAAGGGCCGACTTCTTGTAGTGCTCCGATGCAGGGTCGGGCGAGTGATCGCCTTTGATGAGGTAGATGTGCGCCCACAACGAACCATTGTTCATCATGCCCTGGTGGTGCGACAGCGCAAGACAAAAAGGGACCAGCGTGAGCGAGCGACTGCACCGTACACGTGGCACGTCCGCACAGAACAAAAGGGTGGAGGAGCGAACCGGAGTGGTCTTGATGACGACTTCTCTGATCCGCTCGTTCTCTGGCCGCCAGTCGTAGAAGAGTTGGTCTTCAGACCAGAGTAAAGGCCCTGGGTCCTTGAACTCCTCGGGCGTCATCTCCTCATTTTCCGATTGGAAAACGAGCAACTGCATGCGCTCACCGCCGTGCCAGAGGGGGCGGTGGGGCTGGAGTGCCTTGCCGGTGCTGGGATCCACGGTGGCCTGCTTGTTGCCGCCGAAAAGGTAGCTGAAGATGAAGTACATGACCAGCAACTGCACGATCACGCCCCTCCACGAAAATCCTTGCTGCCCTCCTTGCTGCCCGTTGCCGGCCGGCGCTTGGCCCTGTGCCCCTCCTTGCATCGTCGATGAGATGCGATCGAGGTCGAGATGAGCAGAAAAAAACGCCAAAAAATAAGAAAAATGCATCCTGCCTGATGACGTGTCTCGGAGTTAATGGAGGCCGAGAATCCGGGAAAAAGGGAGCCAACAAGAGGGCAACACCAACTTTCTGTGAACATTGAGGCGAGAGAAAAATTTGCTGGCTGCATTTGACGCGACATCAAATCATCAAATCCATTCACCCCGAAACACGCGAAGATGCTGAAGCTCAGGAAGATGCAGCAGGAGAAGGAGGCGGCGGCAGCGGCTGCTGCTGCCGCCAAGTCAGAAGCGGCGGCGCCTGCCGAAGGGACGACAACGACGGGGGAGACCAGCACCAGCGGATCGGCGCCCGGGGGCTACGTGCTGAAGAAGACTAATTCCAAGGAGCTCCTTAGCGTGAGGAAGTCCAAGTCCAAGGAAAATGTCATGTCTCTTCGCACCAACACCAACCGCAAGAAGGAGAAGACGAAGGCCGTTGAGCTCCGAGTCCACAAGGGTACGCCCCTCGCAACGTTGATTAATTTAGCTCCTTTAATTAAGGAAAAAACAATCAATTAGTTTTAAATTCAAATGCTCATCCCCCCTCACTAATGCAGATGTGGCCGAGATCGACAACATTCCCGGTTGTGAAGTGGACTTCCCTGATCCCAACAACCTGATGGTGTTCTTCGTTAACGTGACGCCGAGCGATGGTCTCTACACGGGCGCGACATTCAAGTTCCAAGTCACCATCCCTCCTTCCTACCCGTACGACCCTCCCAAAGTCGAGTGCCAGACCCTCGTCTACCACCCCAACATCGATTGGGAGGGTCACGTCTGCCTCAACATCCTCCGCGCCGACTGGATGCCTGTCCTCAACCTCGGCTCGGTCCTCTTCGGCCTCGTTACCCTCTTCCTCGTACGTTTCGCCTCCTTCTCTTTCGCTATTCTCTTTTCCTGGTTCGTCCTGTTCTGCTGGCGCTCATGTGGTCTTTCCCCCCCTGCACTCCCTAGGAGCCCAACCCGGACGATCCTCTCAACAAGGAGGCGGCGCAGCTCATGATTGACAGACCGAGCGAGTTCGAGAGCAACGTCAAGCGCACTCTCCAGGGCGGTTACTTCATGAGCAGGCAGTTCCCCAAGCTCAAGTAAGCGCCAAGGCACACCAACGCGTGGGGGCGCGACACATACAAGAACGAACGCGAAGTGCGTGCGGACACTCGACCTGAGGGTTGCTTACAGTGGTGCTTGGGTTGAATGGACGAACAGCGACTTTTGTAATATTGCTAGAGACACAACGAGAACAGAGAAGAGTGTGAACTGTCACAAAGAGAGCAAACAGCACAGTCGAGCGGCTACTGCAAAAAAAAAAAAAAAAAAGCAAGAAGAAAAAACAGCTGTTGTCCGTTGCAAAACGTGTGGCCAAGATCGTCCAAAATTGGTGTAGGATGGAGCACGAGAGGTACCGCGACGTTGCCGCTACGCTCGGCTCGGATCTGTTTGCCAAGGTGCAGGCGGCCAAGGTCTTGGTCGTGGGTGCAGGAGGCATCGGATGCGAATTGCTGAAAAATTTGGTGATGATGGGCTTCGTTGACATAGAAACCGTACCCCCCCCCTCTCTTCGTCACTTGGCTGCAATAGATGAAGTGCCACACGCACGGCATTGATTGTTTGTGGCGATTTATCAGATCGATTTGGATACGATCGATGTCAGCAACCTCAATCGCCAGTTTCTTTTCCAACGGCGCCACATTGGTTTGTCCAAGGCCGAGGTACGTTCCCTTTCATCTTTCTACGCACGTCGGCTTTTCTTGCCCTGTGTGCAGACACGTCTGCTTCTTCTCCTTCGCACGTGCTCACGCTCTCGGTCCACGTAGGTGGCCCGAGAGTCTGCACTTAACTTCAACCCGCACGCGAAGATTGTAGCCCACCACGGCAACATCAAGACGAACGAATACGGCCCCGAGTACTTCAAGCAGTTCACCCTCGTGATGAATGCCCTGGACAACCTCGGTCCGTTAACATGTCCCTCCACGCGCTCTCTCGCTCTGCTCTCAATCCACTTCGCCGCCGGCGTGCATGCCGCTCACCGTGTGTGTGTGCTTTCCCGAACCGAGCAGACGCCCGCCGACACGTCAATCGGATGTGCCTCGCCGCCGATGTCCCTCTCATCGAGAGTGGCACGGAGGGTTACCTGGGCCAGGTAACCGTCATCAAGAAGGTGCAGCTCCCTTTCCCGTGTCCGCGAGTGGGTTACACGAGTCCACACGTCATGCATGCGAGCGCATAACAGCCTTGGCTCACATCCCGCGGCACATTGCTTGCCCGCTTCACACCGGTGCAATTAGGAATCGACGGAGTGCTTCGACTGCGTGCCCCGGCCGACGCCCAAGACGTTCGCGGTGTGCACCATCCGCAGCAGTCCTTCCAAGCCCATCCATTGCATCGTTTGGGCCAAGCGGCTCTTCAGGTACCTTGATGCGACCTTCTCGGGCGTGGCGAGTATTCTTCTCTTGGCCGTCAACCTTTTCCAACGCCGCGTTGTGTCCCATTCCGACGTGCAGCCAAATATTTGCCAAAGCCGAGGAGGACGATGCGGTGACGGACCTCAACGAGGGCGAGCTGCTCAAAGGACCAGAAGGCGCCGAGGAGACCAAGGCCGAGGAGTCCGACCTGGCCCTGCTGCGCCACACGAGAGAACAGCTCAAGGAGCGCCTTCAGGCCGTACAGGAGACCCAGGGACCCGCCCGTTGGCTGTTCGATAAGGCACCCAGTCCTCGTGTGCTGCGCGTCGTTGCCCACACGCACCCACCCATAGAGCTCACTCGATCGACAACAGGTGTTCCATGCCGACCTGGAGCTGCTCTCGGTCGTGGACCAGATCAAGCGCAAGCGACAGCCCAAAGCCGGATCCAGCGACACCAAGCCCCCGCAGCCGATCCGCTACGAGGAGGCCATGAACGCCGTCGTATGGATCCTCTCGTCTCCCCTTTTTTTTTGGGTGGTCGGGCTACCTGTGTCTCACACGTGTGTGCGCACGTACGCAATGACAAATAGGAGACGAACGGAGAGGGGAACGGCAGCAGTTTGATCAAGGACCAGCGAGTGTGGACTCTCAAGGAAAACGCGCAAGTGTTCATCAACAGGTACTCAGAGCATCGCGCCTCCTTCCCTTTGGCCTTCAACTCAAACGTTGTCACCAGTGCTACGAACCTGTACGAAAGAATCAAGAAAGTCGAATCGGTGTCGTTCGACAAAGACGACGTGGACGCAATGGACTTTGTCACGAGCGCCTCCAACCTGCGATCTCACGCCTTTGGCATCACCAAGCAAAGCCGCTTCGACACCAAAGGTATGCTACTCGCATCCCCAACTTACTGGTGGACAGAGCCCCCATTAAGCAAAAAGGGTGCGCCGGCGGTGGCTCATTCTCTCTCTCTCTCTCTCTCCTTCAACTACCTGCAACCTACGTACAGCAATGGCGGGCAACATCATTCCGGCCATTGCCACCACGAATGCCGTCATCTCTGGCCTCATTGTGATGGAGGCCATCAAGGTGATCGACGGACGACTGGAGGACTGCCGCTCGTCCTACCTCCTGCGCCGACCTTCGAGCAAGCGGTTCCTTCTGCCGGCGCAGCTCGAGAAGCCCAACCCCAACTGCTACGTGTGCGGGTCGTCGTTCGTGCAGGTGGCCATCGACACCGAGAAGACGCTCCTCAGGCACTTCATCGAGCAGGTCCTCCGTTCCCACTTTGGAATGCTCGAACCCAGCATCATGCTCGGCTTTGAGTACGCGCCCCCACCACCACGCCCCTCCATTTCCTCTGTGCCTCCGCTGTTGGATATGGGACGGCTGATGATGTGCTTCGTACCAGCTTGCTCTACGAGTCGGGAGAGGACGCCATGGACTTCCACCAGCAGCTGGACAAGACGCTGACGGACCTTCGAGTCACGCATAACACCGTTGTCAAGGTGGAGGACATCCTGCAGGATCTCGAGATGGAAATCAGCATTGTACACAAGTGCGTCGTCGCTCCTTCTCACCCCTTGACGTCATGGTCACCATCATGGTGGTGGTGGTGGTGGTCAGCTGACCGCGGACATGCTGGCGCGCAGGACGGACTTCGAGGAGGGCAAGAAGTTCGAGGTGGAGGGCAAGGCTTCCGTCAAGCCTCACCACGAGGGCGCGGCTGCTGCGCCACAGGCACCACAACCGGAGAGTGAAGACGACTTGATCGTTCTTTCGGCTGCGCCTGTGCAACCGAACGCCGCCACCAAGCGCAAGAGGGAGGATGAAAACGAGGCGGCAGCAGCAACGCAGAAGAAGGCCGACGCCAAAGATGATGCCCAGGAAGAACGCAGCAAGAAGCGACGAAGGGAGGACGATGAGCCCGTAGCGATTGACCTCGTCGAGTAGTGGGCCAAGCACCGCGGAGGAAGCAAAAGGCGAACACGCAAAAACTTTTTTTTTTCTTTGAACGCCAAAACAGAAGGAAAGATGGCTGTGCGTTTGCCGCTCCTGTTCTCGGCCCACGAGGAGGAACAGCAAAACCAGCTGGATAGCCTGGTGGAGTCGCTTACATACACAAAGATCCATTCGTGCCTGCTGGCCGGGCCGTCCCGTTGGTGCGCATCTCGTGCCATTTTTCATTTACAAAGTGTACAATCTAATGCAATTGCATGGATTGCAGTGGCAAGACCTCTCTTCTCTTCCACTATGCTTACAACTATGCCGCCGCGCATGGTGAGGCTGTCTACTTTGTTGCCCAACGCCATAAACTGCAGAATCAACTGCCCTTGCCTCCTTTGAACATGACGCAAGATGCCGAAGTGCTCAAGCGCATCAAGATGAAGTACCCCCGCCCCTTCTCCACCTCCGTGCCAACGCGCCAACGCTGATGCTCGGCTGGTGGCCAGGTATGTCGAGGACGACGAGAAACTCTGCAAGTTTTTGGCGAGCCTGCAGTTGCTACCGCGCTTGCCTCGGCTGCTCGTCATCGACGACGTGAGCAGCTTCGTGGGCGACAAGGACCCCAAGCGCATCGCCAGAGTGATGGCGTTCATCAAGGAGGCTGCCACCTACGCCGCCACCAAATCGTACTCCACTTCGCCTCCTGGTTGGCTGAGGACCCACCCTCATGGCCTGACCGTCTCGCATTATCATCAGGCGCCACTTCGTGTTGGTCACGAGTGACACTGTGGACGTGGAGGCCAGCTCCCGCAACTTGCAGCTGTACCAGCGCTGGTTCGACTTGATCTTGCTCATCCGAGGTTCGTGCTGTTTCCACTTTCTGTTGCGCGTTTGCTTTGGGCAACAAGACGAGATGGCTGCGCTCACTCCAGCTCTTTGCGCCACAACAGGGCCGCACAACCCACTGCAGCTGACAGTGGAGAGCGTGCACGGACGAGCAGACCCGAAAGGTGTTCACATGTACTATGAACTTTCGCCAAGCTACGTGTACTACGTCAACACTGAGCTGGATGCATCAGCCGCGGCACACGAATGAACCAAGTGCAGCGAAGAGATGGATATTTATTCAATGTACCGCGTAGCACGCCGCTCCCGCCAGCTGTAGATCGTCAATGTACAGACCTTTTTCGCTTAGCGACCATATTTCTGGAACTCCCAGTCGCGGTTGTCTGTCATTAAGGAAGGGAGAACGTCAGATTACTGAAGATCATCTGCAGCATCTTGGGGGGGGGGGGAATTGTGATGAGAGAAGCTTCTTACCGAGGGGGCACACTTGTCTCGTCTTCAGCCAGCGACTGATGCAGTGGAAGTGGAAAGCGTGGTTGCAAACACCCCAAGCGACTGTGCACTCTTCGCTCGTGGCCGAGGCTTGGTTGGCTTGGCACTCGATGCCTGCAAGCGAAAACAACCACCATTACAGAAACGTTAAGCGATGCAGCAGCGTGACGTGAACAAACAGTTTCTTGGCGTACAAAGATCCATAATGTGGTTTCGGCAAATGGCGCAGTTATCGACGACGATATCTGTGGGACGCAACCTCGATTAGATTCTCTGCACAAGACCATCACATGATGCAAATTGCGGGTGATGATGGGCAAAACGGCTGCGTACCCCAGGCCCACAGAGCGACAGCGTTCCATTTCTTAACTTCGAACTTCTTGCCACCAGCGCCCTTGGAGGCGGCTCCCTTACCGACTACCTTCTTCTTGGTGTCCTTCGTCTCCTCCACCATCTCATTTCCCGCATCCTCTGTGTCCGACATGTTGCGTGAAGGTCTTTGTGATTGATAGATCTACTCTCTGCGGCAGCTGATTTGTTTCTGCGTTTCGCAGAGCCAAAAGAAAAAGGACCCATAACCCAATCTTTCTCTGAAACACGAAGGCTGAAGCCAAAAAACCAGGTTTTTCCCCCTTTTGCGTAATTCAATTTTAATTAGCTTCTCTGCACTTTTACTCGTCGGCGCGCTTCTTCTTCGGGGTGGTGTCCTTCTCCGCCGCGGCGGCCACTTCCGTGTTGGCCTCGCCGTCAGCCTCGCCGTTGGCGGCGCCCTCTGCCCGTTTTCGCTTGAGACCCTTCATCTTTCTGGTCTGCATCTGGCCGAGGTCCTGCTTCTCCTTGTGCACGTTGATGACCGTGCCAGGATGCTCTGCGTGACGTTCTTGACCTTCCTGTTCTTGAGCTCTCGTGGCTGTCGGAGGGCCTCCTTCATCAAATCGTGAGCCGCGAAGCGAGTGCGCCTGATCGTCAGATCCATGGCCGGGCCAATCTCCTCCAACTCCACTCGGGGCAACTAGAGTTATGCGCGTAAGCACGCAACCCACGTTGAACAGCTTAGCCGAGCATTTGTGGGAAGGTACGTTTGTGCCGGACTTCTTCAGGTTGATGCTGTAGTGACGGAAGTAGATCTTTCCCTCCACGGCAGTGCACACGAACACGTGGTCCAGACCCATGAGGCTGATCTGGTCAGTCACCTCTCCTCGGTAGAAATGTACGGCCGAGTTAAGGACAATGGGCGAAGTCTGAAGAGAGGCAAGCGAGAGCCAAAGAAAACAGCGCACGCACACGACAGGGGAGAGCAACGGAAAGCGCAGCGCGGCAGCAACAGGGAGGCAGGGCAGAAGGGTGGAAAGGATATCAAGCAGCAGATTGGCGAACTTCTTGTACTCCTCCTTCTGCTCGAACTCAGGGCCACGGAACACGAAGCAAGGCTTGAAGCCCACCGTGTACGAGAGGTTTCCCTGCAATTACAAGCGGGCACAGACAGTCAGCGACAAGCTCGGCAAGACGCGGACTTAGGAATGCAGGCGTGTGCCGCGAGGAGGAGGAGGAGGAGCGCACGGGGTGCTGCTGGATAGACTTGAAGTTCGAGACGCCGAGCTCAATGAGGTCGAGAACCTGGTGATCGAAGAACCGGCCCAGCACGAGGTTGTGGGGCCTCTTCTTTTGGTGCGAACCAAAAGCCATGAGGCTGCAGTCGTTCTTGTTCGAGAAGAACTCGATGGAGCCCTGATCCTCGAAAGGTCGCGTGTCGTTGCGTCTGTGAAATTTGATTCCGTGGGGCTTCTTCAATGTGTACTGTTGGAGATCATAGGGAAAACAAAATTAAATCTTGGCCGGAAAGAGCTTAATCTAATCACGTAAAATTAATCACGTTAAATTACTAAAATTTAACCGCAACTCAGGCTTGCGTGATGGGAGGTGCAAAGGGTACCATGTCGGCGATAACCTGGTTGATGATTTCGCTGGTCTTGGGTCCGCGAAGAAACATTGCCGATTTCACATTCTCGTTTACCTTAGGCTCCTTCTTCAGCAGAGCGCGTTCGATGCGCTTGTTCTTGGGCCTCCTTCCATTGATAATTCTGGTGGACATGCTGCGAGATGGATGTTGGTGTCTGGGCCGGAGTGGAATGCTGTGCGTGGAGTGGCTTTCAATCTTGCGGCCGCAAAGGAGTCAAGGCAAGGAAAGGAAGGAAGCCAGAATGTCTACAACAAATCCATTTCCGGCGTGTGCTGGCTCTGACCAGCAAAAGCAGTGCTTCTCGTTTTGGGCGGCTAAACCAGTTTTCGCCTGTGCCCGCCCAGCACTTTTCATGTTCCTCCATCTTCTACTCGACATTTCTCATTGATTCTGCACCGCCCAGGGTGTGCATCCTCTCCACCCGATCAGGCGTTCTTCTTTGTCACACTACCGCATTTTTTGTTTTTCACATTGCGATGGAGGTACGACACACAAGCCGCTCCTGCATGCAACTCGATCGCAATCTTACGAGATTGTGATCATCACCGCTCCCACTCTTTGTCACCTCACCACTAAGCGTCCCTCTTCTCTCTCGTAGAAACACTCTGATAGCCCGAAGTTGCGTTCCAATCCATTCGAGGATGGCGAAGGAGGCTCCTACGAGCTGAGGGAAGTCGCCCTCAAGGGCTCTCCAAAGCCGGCCCACAACCAGACCTCCAATGGCTACTACCTGCAAGCACAGGATGGAAATGGCGATTCCAATTTTGATTTGCACCTCGACGAAGATCCCCTTCAATTGCACTACGATGGCGAGAGAGAGGAGGAAGACGAAAAGGAAGACGATGGAAACGACGACTTTGACGTCATCACCATTGAAGAGGGTGCGCACGTCCTGCACACTCCGCTTCCTCCCCAAGTCCGTGTCAGTGTCATGTCAGCGTCATGTCCTCTGTCTGTTCTCTCCTTCTTTGTCCTCACCTTGTGTGTTGCGTCGCGGTTGCAGGTCATCGCAAGCACGGCGCGCCCATGACGCTAGATGAAGAGGCGCAGTATAGGAGCTGGGTGCGCTGGGCCATCATCGTGTCGTGGGCGTCGGTCGTCATCGACCTTGCGTTCGGCTTCATCTCTCTCTTCATCGCCATCGCCGGTACACATCCACTCCCTCCTTGCATGAGGCCAGGAACGTGTAAAGTGACGATGATGGTGTGTGTGGCGTGATCATCAGACAAGAGCGTGGGCATATTCGGGTTTTCGCTGGAGAACTTCTTGGACGTCGTGACCTCGCTCCTCATCATCTGGCGCTTCGGCGGGTTCAGCCGAGAGGAGCTGGTCGTGGGCGATCCCGTACGGCGACCTCTCGCGTCCTTGGATGATGAGCCTGCTGCAATCAACCCGCGCGCTAACGTTTTCTTTACACGTCGTTTGCACCAACCCAGGTCTATGACGATAAGATGGAGAAGAGGGAACAGCGAGCGGAGGTGCTCATTGCGCTTCTGTTCGTCTTGCTGGGCGGCCTCACCTGCTTGATCGCCCTCATCGTACTCTACGAGAAGGAATCGCCCGACGACGTGATTGCCGGTGCGTTGCGCATGCCTCTCCCTCCCTCCCGGCTGTCGCTTGTCTCTGGAGTCCCTCCTCACCTTGTCGCTTGGGTGTCTCGCTCTCCAGTGATCATTGTGGCCGCGGTGTCCATCGTGGTGCTGGCTGTGCTGGCGGTGGCCAAGTTCCGTCTCGCGACGGCCCTCCACAGCCAAGCGTTCCGCCAGGACGCCTGGGTCACCACCATTTCCTGCATCCTCTCTGTGGGCTTGCTGGTATCCTGTCCAACTCCAATTTGCCCTCTTCATGCCACATCTCCGGGACTCATTGTGGTTCTGTGTGTGTTTCTCGTCCTCTCTGGAACGCAGGCCGGATCGGTCATATACCACATTGACAACGACATCTGGTTCATCGACTGCCTGGTCGCGCTTCCGCTAGGCGGAGCGTTGTTGATCTACGGCCTCAAGACCCTCTGCACGCGACAGTGGTGGCAGCCCCACTTCTGGGGCTACTACCAGACCAACGCGCCCATCAACTGATACTTCACTCATCACGCCACCCCCCCACCCCACAGCCCAGATCGCTCACGCAGGCTCTACGCCTCGCGAATGTAAAGAGACCCACCACGTTAGCCTGCCTAACCAGTGCAAAGCCTAAAACCCGCTACACCACGTCTACACCTCTGGCGTCTATGGCATACATGTTGTTGCTGATCGCGTGGGTGCATCATCTTTGCGTTGGTGATGACGGCACTAAACGTGCACGATCACGGCGGGACAAAAAAATGCACGATTTGCTCACGACGCCAAGTGCAGAAACACCACACAACACGCCAGTGGAAGATCATGCGCCGAAGCTCTGCACTTGCCCGTGGGTTCGCCCCGTTGCGCTCCAATGCCCCCGCTTCCGCTCTCTTCACCGTACCCCACACCTCGGAAATTGATCTTCTGTGCATAAGACGCAAGATTAGAAATTCAATCTCTCTCTTTTTTTCTTAACCTAATCAGACACGCAGAACCCTGACCACCTCTGCCGGTGCTTCCCAACTCGTGCGCTTCCCCGCTCTTCTTCAAATCATTTAATTAATAAATGCACAAATGAGATGGAAGGACCGTTGGGGCTGAGGCTTGTGGCGTGTGGCAGGCTGTGGGCGTGGGTAAACTGAACCATGTCGCCATTGCCGTACCTGATCTGGAGCAAGCCACCAGCCTCTACCGGGACGTTATGGGCGCCAAAGTCAGTGAGCCGCTCGTACGCCTCCCTCCTCCATCGTTCGTGCAGTGTGCTCCTTCACCCAACTGACCCACGGCTCTCTCTCCTCACATACGCGCTCGGACATCAGGCGCTGGCCGAGCATGGCGTGACGACGGTGTTCATAGAGCTGGGCAACACCAAGCTCGAGCTCCTCCACCCTCTCGGTGAGAACTCGCCCATCGCCAACTTCCTCAAGACCAAGCCCTCTGGCGGCATCCACCACATCTGCCTCGAGGTTCGACACATACGCGACTCCATCTTTCACCATCATCGGTTCGCTCTCAGTTGGCTGACGTGGCATCCATAATGTGACGTGTGTGTGTTGTGCGCACACATCAGGTGAAGGACATCCACGCGGCGTTGGAAGTGCTCAAGGCCAAGGGCATCCGTGCCATCGACCAGAAGCCCAAGATCGGCGCCCATGGGAAGCCCGTTGTCTTCTGCCACCCCAAGGACCTCAACGGCGTCCTCGTCGAGCTCGAACAGGTCTGAACGTGCCGAGCAGCAAACGGGAACAACAAGACCACGTCAACATTGGTTATCATCATGTTTCACTTCTTCGCTTGTGTGTTGCACCAAAGCAAAAGTGTGGCGGGATAAAACCAGGGGGCGCGGTGGAAGAACGAAGAAGAAGACAAGATCGATCGAATTGGACGGAAGGCGGTTGCAGAAGGTCCAGAACGACGTTTTGAGTGGCCAGTGACGAACTGCTGTATCATAGTCGAAAAGAGGCCCACAAATCGAATCGATTTGATAGCGAGAGAGAGGGCCATGGGCAACCAGGTGTCAGGACCGGGTGGCGCCATTTCGAAAAAGAAATGGGAGAGCGAGATGAAGGGCAAGGACAAGCTGGACATTTCGTCGCGGCAATTGACCAACGCGCAGATCGCACACCTGAAGCTGAGCTGCCTCAAGAGCCTGACCTTCCTGAATGCGAATTACAATCGGTTCGATCGCCTGCCCCCCAACATCGCCAAGCTGGCCAAGCTGCAGCGGCTCATGCTGGTCAAGAACAACCTCACCATGCTGCCGGTCGAGATCTGCCATCTGCGCAATCTGACCAAGCTTGAGGTGGGCAACAACGCCCTGGTGGCCCTGCCCGAGGGCATGTTCGAGGCCATGCCGCTACTCGAGGAGCTCAGCTGCTTCATGAACCAGCTCCAGCGGCTGCCGCGCGAGGTCGGCTGGGCGCGCAGCCTCAAGCGGCTCGTGGCCTACGTCAACCAGCTCCAGCGCCTGCCCGAGGAGCTGGGCCTCTGCGCCGACCTGGTCGAGCTCGACGTCGCCACCAACCACCTCACCGCCCTCCCCGCCATGCTGGCCCACCTCTCCTCGCTCCGCCGCCTCAACGTCTCCTCCAACCGCCTCGTCCACCTCGGCCCCCAGCTCGGCGACCTGCCCGACCTCGAGCGCCTCGACCTCCGCTTCAACCGCCTCCTCCGCCTCCCCGACGAGCTCGGCCGCCTGGCCCAGCTCAACAGCCTCCTCCTCGACCACAACGACCTCGCCTCGCTCCCCGCCGCCCTCTCCACCCTCTCCACCCTCAAGCTCCTCTCCATCAACGAGAACCGCCTCGCCCACCTCCCGCCCGACGCCCTCGCCCTCCCCGCCCTCGCCGAGCTCTCCCTCCGCGCCAACCGCCTCACCGCCCTCCCGCCCGAGCCCCTGGCCGCCCTCACCGCCCTCCAGACCCTCGACCTCGCCCACAACCTCCTCCCCTTCCTCCCGCCCGCACTCGGCACCCTCCCACGCCTCACCAACCTCTTCCTCGGCGCCAACCTCCTCACCCTCCTCCCCACCGTACGTACACCACCGCCACCTCCATCCCCCTCCCCGCGCCTCCATGACTCGAGCCGATGCTCATTATTGCGCGTCGTGTCGTGTCATACGTGTGTGTCACGCGTGTGTGTCGTGTCGTGTCGTGTCGTTGGGATGGCGACAGGAGTTGTGTGGGCTCTCGCAGCTGGCAGAGCTGGAGCTGCAGGATAACGCGCTCGAGGAGCTCCCGGCGGAGCTGGGTCAGATGGAGAAGCTGGCCCACCTGGACGTGCGCAACAATCAGCTGACCGCGCTCCCGCCCTCCATCGGGCAGCTGGTCAAGCTGCGGCTGCTCGACGCCGGCATGAACCTCATCTCCGACCTCCCGCCCGAGCTCTACGCCGTCTCCTCCCTCGCGCGACTCTCCCTCTCCGGCAATCGCATCTCCGACCTCCCGGAAGACTTCTGCCGCCTCACCCGATTGGAGCGGTAAGCGACCAATCAGGCCTTTGAGTCGCAGTTGAGTTCTTAACCAATTGATTGCTGCAGGCTGCTGTTGGGCTACAACCAGCTCTCCACGCTGCCGGCAGGCCTCAACCAGTTGACGCACCTCACGGTGCTTTCCCTCTCCGGCAACCGCCTGACCACCCTGCCCCCCGTCGTCTTCGATCTCACCTGGCTCAAGGTACCAACAAGCCCCCGTCCCATCCCACTCCCGCCGCCACGCCGCCCAAGCCGGGCCTACTGACGGGCGCGCATTGCGCGGGCTTGCGTGGGGTAGGAGCTGTACGTGGCGGCGAACGGGCTGACGGAGCTGCCGACCGAGGTGGGGCGGCTGACGACGCTGGAGATCCTGGACCTCACGAGCAACCACCTCACGGCGCTCCCCGAGGAGCTGGGCTGCTGCGTGCGGCTCACCGAGCTCGAGGCCTCCCACAACCGCCTCGCCTCGGTGCCGGCCTCGCTGGGCAACCTGGTGTCCCTCGTCGAGATCGACCTCTCGGCCAACGAGCTCACCACCCTCCCGCCCGAGCTGGCGCGCCTCACCGCCCTTCGCCACCTTAAGCTATGCCACTGCCGCCTCCAGCGCCTGCCCCGCGAGCTGGCCGCGCTCGTGCCCCCGCCCGATCTGCGGTTCACCACCAACAGCAACGACGCCTACGCCTGCACCAACGGCGACCGCACGGCCTACCCGGGCCGCCTGTCGTGGCTCAGCACCGAGGGCAACCCCGAACTGGCCGACCTCCCCGAGGCCCTCGCCTCCATCACCGAGCGCGAGTTCCGGGGCGGACGTCCGCTGGTCTCCCCGTTCTCGTCGCCCTCCTCCCCGCCGACGGCGCGTGACCGGGGAAAGGAGCGCGGTGCAGCGGCGGCTGCGGCCGAGCCGGTCGAGGCTGGTATGTGCGCGCGGTACGTGTGCTGGGCGGAGATGCGCGGGCTGCGACCTACCATGGAGGACACGGTCTACGTCAACCACGCCCTGCGCCCCGACACCCAGCTCTACGCCATATTCGACGGTCACCGCGGCAGCGACGCCGCCGAAATCGCGGCCGCCTACGTGGGCAAGGCCTTCGACCAGGCCCTGCGACAGCACGGCGACGACGTGGGCCAGGCCATCTTCACGGCCTTCCGACGGCTGGAGGACATCGTCCTCGATTCCAAAACCGAGGCCGGCTGCACTGCCGTCGTGGCCCTCGTACACGCAGGTAAGACCCCTCGCCCGCCCGCGCGACTTGTACACAGCGTGCGGCTTGGCGGTGGGTGAGTGGTGTGGGTGGTGCGGCGGTGCGGCGGTGGCTCACCCGCGACGGTTGGTCGATGGTGCAGGAGTCCTCTGGCTGGCCAACGTGGGGGACTCGCGGGCGGTGCTTTCGAGAGGCCGCGTCGCCGAGCGACTGACGGTCGACCACACTGGCAAGCTCAGCGAAGAGCGGCAAAGGATCCAAGAGCTGGGTGGCTTTGTTACCGAGAAGGGTACGCCCGCGTGCTTTGGGTTGGTTGGTTGGCCTGCGTGCCTGACGGCGGAGTACTCTGGGTTTGGGCGCGAGCAGGGCGAGTGATGGGCGACTTGGCGGTGTCTCGCTCCCTAGGCGATGCCAGCATTCGGCCATATGTGAGCGCCGTGCCAGAGGTCAAACGGTTCGACTCCTCCGCATTTTGCGTCGTGTGCGGTCCCCTGCTAACACACACACACACACACACACACACACACAACGCAGGGTGGAGCTGAACGAAGAGGTGGAATTCCTGGTGATGGCGTGCGATGGCGTGTGGGACATGGTGACCGACCAGCTGGCGGTGGACTCGGTGGCCGCCTCCGATCCGCACCTTTCAGCCACGACACTGCGAGATCGGGCCTTCCTGAGCGGCAGCACCGACAACATCTCCGTCGTGGTCGTCTACTTCGATCCCGCAGCCGTGGGCGAGCACGCCCGCAACTAAAGGCCGGGCCTGGCCCACGGTGTTGATGGTGAGTGTTGTATTTATTTATTTATTTTGTGAGCCTTTGCACTCGTTACCACTTGATAAGGTCATTGCACTCCTTCAGCAGCGCCTTGGCCACGCGTTTGTAGTTGTTCTCACCGGCCTCGAGCAGTCTGAGGCACTGCGGCGGGCCGTAGCGCTCGGTGACCTTCTTGGCGACGCTCACGCAGTTGGTGCCGAAGTACTCCCAAACCTTGCCGTTCGTGATGGACTTCATGTACGCAATAACGTCCTCGGGCGTGTGGCCGGTAACCTTGAACGCAGTCACTACTTCTTCGTTCGAGTGGCGCCCGTCGCGGTGCTTCAACTTGCCAGGGCCGTCGTAGCGCCCAAACTCGTAGATGCCGTGCCCGTCGATCTGGACGGCGTAGTGGAGGAGCTCGATGTCCCTCCCCGCCTTGCCGTTGAAGGGCCTCCGCAGGATTGTGACGCAGAAAGGGGCGTTGCTCATGGCGAGGTTTGCTTGTGTCAGCCGGAAGAGGCGTCAACCGCCCTTTTTTTATTTTCATTTCGACCGAACAACCAACCAGGGGAGGGTCGGAGAGTTCCAATGGCCTTTCGCTGCTGGCGTGAATCGCCTTCTTAAAACGTCTTAGTCAAGGAGGGAGTTGTGGTTGCTACATGAATAATAGGGTTTCCTTCGGCTTCAGGAAGAGTCTAGGAACTGCTGGAGGAGACCCTCATCCTGGTCGTTGAGTAGCCCGTTGAAGTACTCGTGGTCATCGAGCGGCGGAGGCGAGGGCGCCTCGTATCGGTCCAGCTGGTGGTCACCCACAGCGCCATCGGCCTCGCCCTGTTGAACCTTCCGGCCCTCTTCCTCTTGGTACTCCATTTGGCCACCCCCCGAGTACTCCTCGGGGGTCTCCACCGCGCGACGGTTGCCCTCGGCACCGGTGGGCGTTGGCGTGGCCGAGTCGGAATTGAGCATGGACGACGGCGAGAAGGCCGAGACGGAGGACTGGGGCTGGGCGCCCGACCCTTCGCCGGCGTAGTAGTGCCACTGGCTGGAGCGCGAGGGGAAGCCAGCGGCCCCAGACGACGGCGACGCGGGGAAGGTGTGGCCCAGGGGCGACCCCGACCCAGAATCCCTCTGACCGCCGGCCGGCAAGTCCCCGAACGCGTAGCTGCCGCCCTCTCGCGGCGGCGGCGGCTCCTGCTTGGCGAGGAGCGGCGCCACCAGCGCTGGTCGCTGCGGCTGTGAGTGCTGCAGAGCCGACGTTCCCGCGTCCTCCTGCGGCAGTGGATGAGAGTTCTGACGCGACGTGACGTGGCATGGAGGGTGCGGTGGCGGTACCAGTGCTGTTCGGGAGTCAGCGATGAGCTGTCGGCGTTGGATGTCTTCGATGAGGTGCTTCTTGTACTTGTTCTTGACGAGGTCGAGAGTGGGGCAGGACACGCAGTTGTGCTCGATGGCGTCCATCTGCGCGGCGAGCATGGCGAACTGGTTGGCCCGCAGCAGGATGCCCATGATCATGTCCAGCATCAGCACCACCCCGGCGATCACGAAGCGGAAGTGCGGCTTGCGCGAGTCCTGCAGGAACTGGTTGGCCCAGCTCAGGCCCGCCTTGTAGTCGCCCAGGCACATGTAGCACTCTGCACCCCGCACACCCACACGAACCGATTGAATGTCGGTAGTGCGTGAGACTCGAGCGTTGGCATGCCAAGAATGCAACGATGATAGGAAAAAAATAATTAAGGTGGAGTGTGGAGCGAACCGGCGCGGAGGGCGGTGATGAAGGCGAGCATGGTGAGCGAGGCGGAGGGGCTGGGGGCGTCCATGCCGTGCAGGCTGCGAATCTCGCTGTCGAGGTCGTCGAGGGCCTGGATGAGCTTGCGGAACACGATCTGCTGCTCGGGCGAGACCGAGCCCTGCGAGCCGGGCGGCGACACGGCCTTGAAGAGGTTGATGCCGGCCACCACGCTGGTCATGATGCCCGTGGCGCCGGTCACGAAGCGGAGGTGTCGGAACATGTCGTAGGAGACGACCGAGTTGGCCGACTGGGTGATGGGGTAGTAGGGCATCTGCTTGGCCCGCCGCAGCTCCTGCTTGAGCTTCACCATCTTGGCCAGGTCGTTCGACCCGTGGCGGAAGGTGAGGCTGTGCATGCACAGGCAGCGGTGGTAGACGTCGCTGTGGAAGGCGCCCAGCTGGGCGATGATGTTGATGGCCAGGGTTAGGTAGTACTCGCTCCGCTTGGCATCGGCCTCCCAGTACATGGTGTGGTGCGACATGGCGATGAGCGCCAGCGCCACGCTGTAGTCCGTCGTGTCGAACAGATAGCCCAGGTGCTGTCGCGCGCGCATGTAGAACTCCATGTGCGACTTCTCATCGCCGTGCATCAGCGCGCCTACGCCACGTCGTTCGAAGAAAATGCTGGTGCGTGAGGCGACATCACGCGACTCTCGGAGGTGGTCGAGGGTGCAGCCGTTGGTATGGGCGAGGGCGTACCGATGGCCAGACAGAAGTTGACGGAGAGGGAGAGGGCCGACCTGTCCTCGGCGCCTTCGTTGGTGCACAGGAGGTGCCGCGCGTTGTTGTGGTCCAGCGCCGCCGGGTCGAGCGGACTGATCGTCCATATGTGGGTCCTGGCCAGCGCCGAGTCAACAACAACAACCGATGATGACTATGCGCTGCCGCTGATATAGTGAAGCCGTACTTGTAGGTGTTGAGATACTCCAGCCAGATGCTGAGGTAGTGCAGGTGGGCGTCGAGCGTCCACAGATTGGCCTTCTTGGGCCTCGCCGCTGGTCGCAGGCGCTTGCTCGCGCCGGCGTGCTGCTCGAGGACCAGCTCATGGGAGCTGTCCTGTCGCCGCTTGGCCCCGTGGTGTCGCCGCAACACCACCGCCTGCTCTCCGATCTCCTCTTCCCCCTCGTCGCTCTCCTCTTCCTCGTCGCTCGCGCCCCGCTCGTTCGTGTCTCGTCCCGCCTTCGGCTTGGCGCCTGCAACCACCGTCGATGAAAGGAACAACATTACCAAACCACAATTTTTTCGTATCATTGATCAGTGATATCTTACACAAATAAGGAGAACTACCAAATAAATAAATAACAGTTTACACAACAAGACGCGTGACTGGCGCCTTAATTGGCTCCAAGGAGACCGTCGTCGACATGAGGATGACAGGAGAAATTGGCCCAAAAACTAAGGGCGTTGCGCCTCAACGTGCGGGGCAATAAAACCAAAAGAGGAGAAGAAAAGGGGAGCAGACAACGAAAGGGGGAGGGGGGCGTACGAGAGTTGGACCTCTGGGCGCCTCCGCCGCCACCCACGCGTGGCTTCATGAAGTGAAGGCCCGAGAACAGCTCCAGCGCGGGTAGACCGCCCGGCGTGTCCACGTCGGCGCTGCTTTCGCCCTCGGCGCTCTGAGGTCGGGCCTTGTCGTTGAACGGCCAGGGCAGGCTGGGCGGCTGGGTCCGCGTGACCTTGTCGGGCGCCGGCAGCTGCTGCGGCGGCAGCCGGTGGTCGGTGAAACCGACGACGGGCGCCTTTGTGTAGGAGGGGCCGACATCGGCGGCGCCGCTGCCACCGCGCAGGGCGTGCGGGTAGCTACCGCCGCTGGAGGATAGTCGCTCCTCCCTTTCCTTTTTGATCTCCTGCAGCAGCGCCGCAGCGGTGTTGACACGCGGAGGCGGTGCCTGCTGCTGCTGTTGCTGCTGTTGCTGTCGATTGTCGCTCATAGCGTGACGTGCCCGGTTGGCGTGCAACCCATCGCCATCCATAAACACCGATCCCGCCGCCGGAAAGGAAGGCTTGGAGCCCGCCGGGGCCTTGGGCTTCACGCTGCTCGCCGGTGGTGGCCCATCGGTTGGAGGCGCTTGACTCCTGCGCGCGCGTGCGGGAAAAAACCGAGCAATGAGCCCTGGGCAGATCCGCGGCAGAACTCGACTCACACCCAAACCCAAGGGATCCGCCCGGGTGCAAGAAGTGTGCACAGCGCGAGGGCAAGAGGGTACGAGAGAGCAGAGGGGTCACGTTACCTGCTGCGCCGGGAGAACTTGAGCCCACAGGCGTTACATAGTCTGTGAGGGAAAGAGAGAGAGAGAGCGATCGTTGGTGTTGGGGTCCGCCCCGGGGAACTTGGCAGTAACAGGAGGCGAAGGTGCACATCGTGGTGGGTGGCGGGTGGGGGACACGTACATGGCGCCGTTGGGACCTCGTCGCCAACAGGGGGTGTTGGTGGTCTCGCACTGGGAGCAGGCCTTGGCAGGGCCGGATGAACCAGAGGCGGGCAGCGCAGAAGAGGTGGCAGCACCAGAGGCAGAAAGATGTGCCCCAAGAAAGTTTGCGATTTGCGATGGGGTAGCCGTAGAGGGTGCAGATAGATTGAGAGCAGAAGACGTGGAGAAGAAGGGGCTGGAAGAGGATGAAGTGCGAAGAAACGAAGGAGGTGAAACTGTGAGGTGGTGGGGACCCGCAGTTGGTCCCGCCCCGGCCTGTGCCAGGGGAAGATGTGAAGGAGGTGGTGGAATCGCGCCGCTCATCTGCGGTGGTGCAACCGACGATGACAAAGGATTTTGCGGCAAGGACGAAGCCACTTGCATGGTGGCGGCTGAGCTGTTGTCGTCTTGCTCTCTTCTCCTCTCGGGGGTGTCGTATAACCAGAAGCAGACAAGAAAGAAGCGTAGGAAGAGGACGATACCAGGCCTTTGACGGAAGGCAGTTCTTCTTTAAAAAGGGCGAAGAGTGAGCACAAGCAGCACCGCGCGTGCGAGGAGCTCGTGCGGGGATGTTGCGCTAAAGAAGACGACCCGTCGACGTGAACGACGGCTCTCGAAACGAAATTTCATTTGTTCGGGTTGCGTTCTCCGAGGCTTGCCGCACCATTGGTTATAATTGAGGACTGCCCGCCAACCGTGGGTCTCGCTGCGTTATTTTTCGTTTTGTTTCCACGAACAGGCTCAAAAAGTTGTGCACAATAAAATAAACAAAATGGTTTCTAAAACCTCAGGTGTCAGTGGTCTCGAGGTCGGAGAGGCTGTCGTTTACGCTCACCGGGCTGTACGCTCGACGAGCGTAGTTGACACTGCACACAGGGCCGAGAGAGTGAGGCTCACGGCGGCGTGTCTTGCGTGGGAGCGGCAAGAGGAGGGACACGAACCTGCCGACTTCGGCGTACTGCCGTCGGAAGAGGCGAGCGTGGAGCGATGGGATGGCCACGCGGAGGATTTCTTCGAGAGAGGCCAGCACGATGATGGGAAGCACGATGAAGGGCGACGCGATGATCATGAGCAAGTGCTGCCACCAGCGGTAGCGCGACCACACCTCCTGATTCGACAGCCCGTACACAACGCAATTCAAGAACCCTGATGAAGGTTCACACAACCAATGGTCAGACAATGCAAAGCCAAACAAAGAGTGAAGAGAACGCCGTACCTTGTGCAGGAGAGAAAGCGTTCTGGATGAGGCCGAGCCAGAAGAGCCAGCAGTGCGGAGCAATATAGGTTTCAATGTGCGACGCGACGTTCGGCGCCCAGCACACGGCGTACACCAGCACGAACAGCGCGAGTCGGTGCTGGATCTTTGCGGATAGATGGTTCTTCGTCCCTGCCACGCGCGGTAAGTGCGTGTCCACCCACGACAGCCACAAGAGGGGAAGCGGAAGCGAGGGCAGTGTGTAGACAAACCTCGGTGTTTTCGGCTTCTTCGCTGCACATAGAAGGCGATGATGCCATAGAGAAAGATGTTCACGAAGAACGAGATGATCATGGGAAGCTCCCAGAAGATGAATAGATAGGGCTCCTTGGGGTGACACCTGCAGGTCGATGCAGACGTAGGTAGTTAGCACTGTGTCATGCATCACCACCAAGATAACGGGAGGGGAATGGTACCATCCGCTCTCGGTCTTCTGGTACCAGTCCGCGGCCAGCAAAATAATACAAAACACTGGTGGGAGCGAAATTAACGGTACGGAAGGGCCGGTATGCGTATACAGGTATAGTGTATAGAAGAGAGGGTACCCAGAGGCGTGCCCCAACACACGATGTGGGCAACGATCATGAACACGTTCGTCCAGTTCCACTTCTTGCCTGCGCTCGTGCCTTTGCTTCCCTGTGGGAGAAGAAAAGGAGAGAAAATGAGAAGGTGGGCTATGCGGAAAGCGCGTGAGAAGGAGTGAAGGCACACCTCGGAAAGCATCATATCCTTGTGCCACACGATTGCGTAGAACAGATAGAAGGCGATGCACGACGACCAGAAGAACGATGCCACAACAGAGAACTCGATGAAGCTGCGCAGCGTGAGGCACGTCGCCCAACTGTACTCCGAGGCAGCGAAGAGCCAGCTCTGGCTCAGCGCAATCGCAAACGACGCCATCAAGTCTGACGTAGGAAGGAGGAAACGTTATGAATTAGCGATGACCACGTATTTGTCAGTTTCCTTCCATTCAACGGCGGGTCTGGTAGACCAGGTTGGGTGATGGTACCGGCGATGGCCAGCCAGAAGATAATTTGGGAGACGACCAGGCGTCGGCTGAACATGAGGTAGTGCACCACCACGAACGAGCTCCCCATGAGGCTGCACTTGTGCAAGCGTTCTTGCAGGGTGAGTGCTCATGAATACAATAAAATTATTAAATAAATAAAATATTAAATAGGAATAATGAACGCACCTGAGGAGGGCGGAAGCAAGATTTACGCCCCCCAGAATCTGGGTGTCCTCGTGGGTGTACTCTTCCTGCAGGGAAAAAGACAAAATACCATAGATCAAAAAAAAAATCATCGCGGAGGTGGGGAAGAAGGGAGATCGTACGATGCAGCCGAAATAATGACTGGCACTCATTCTGCCCGAGAGGTAGCTGTACAAGTCTTTATACAATTGAAGTCAATGGGGCCGGCCGTTTGGGATTACCCCCTTGCACCAGAGAATCCAGAAGATGTAACGGAAAACGACTGCGAGGATGTCTCCGCAAATGACGTTACTTCGCATTTCGGCAGTACTGGAATGCCGATCATTCCAAACAGTTTTGCCGCCAATGTGGTCGTTTCGGCCGAGCTGACAGCCAAAAACAAGAAGCCAACACCTCGGGAACACGCGATTAAAATCAAAACAAAAAATAAATCACCAATTTTGTGCAAAAGAAAAACAGAACGCGACCAATCAACAACGATGGAGGAAGAGAGAATCAGAAAGAGGAAGGAGCTGCAGGAATGGATTCAGCAGCGTTATCCCGTGCTGGACATCACGATTGAGGGAGATCTCGAGGCCGGTGCTGCGGAAGTGTTCACTCACTTCTTCCCCAAATGGGACAGATCTAAGATGCATCTCCACCAGTTCACGGATGGCATCACCAACAAGCTCTACAAGGTGCCTTCCTATTCAGATTTTGCACGATTTCGCTCGCTCTGCTGCAATCTGCCCACGGAACGTGATTTAACTCCATTTTGGCCAACTGACTGACGTGCCTTCGCAGGTTGTGGCTCAGCTGGAGGAGACGCCGCGAGGGGAGGACTCGCCACCCGAGAAAACTGCACTTGTGCGCATCTACGGCGAGCGCACCGAGGTCATGATCGACAGGTTCGCCGTCGTTCTCTTGTGCTGTTTCCCTCTAACTCCGACTACAATTTTAATTTTCGGTGTTGGCGTGCAGGGAGAGCGAGCTGACAACACTCGTCTGCCTGGGCAAACTCGGCCTCTGCTCTCCGCTCTACGGCCGCTTCAACAACGGTATCTGCTATGGCTTTGTGGAAGGCAAGCCCTTCACACCCGACGACATGAAGGCCCCCGAGAAGTTCAAGCTCGTACGCATTCCTCCGTGAGCTACATTTCTTGTGGTATTTTTTTAACAACAAAAAAAACCAATCTTTTCTCGTGCGCAGGTGGCTCATCAACTGGCGCTGTTCCACGCAGTGGACGTGTTCGGAGAGCGAAAACCCGCCCTGTTCAATACCCTCCGAAAGTGGTTGTTGGAGATTCCTGACTCTTTTGATGATCAAGAGAAGAACCGGTGCGTGCCCCTTACTCCTTTAGCGTCCCCCTCCCGGTGGTACACTTATCGGATGGCCTTGTGTGGCGATCGCTTTGCGACTGTGCAGACGGCTGCAGGAGCAATTTTCCATGAAGAGATGTGTCGAAGAGCTGGAGTTCTTGGAGGAGCAGCTGAGCGGGACCACCTCGGATGTCGTGTTTTGCCATAACGACCTCCTGTCCGCCAACATCCTCTACCAGGCGGCCTCGGCCCCGGATGCCAAGCCTGCGAAAGTGCGCTTCATCGACTACGAGTATGGCAACTATAACTGGCGGGCGTACGTTGATCATCCCATGCACTCACTCGCGTAATCGCCCTGCGTGATGGCAAACGCTTATCTGCTCCCTCCTCACTTCTGATCAGCTACGACATCGCGAACCATTTTTGTGAGATGATGGGCTATACGGTGGACGGCTCGAAGTTCCCCACGAAGGAGTTCCAACTCGAGTGGCTTCGGGCCTACATTGCCGCCCAGCGCCACATCGGAAAGAACCCTGCCTATCAGGCCGCCGAACCGGTACGGCGATTGCCAACCTTGCGCCCCTGCTCAAGGCCTCTGGAGCCCTCCGTACACTCACATTGGCTGAATTTCCCAGGAGCTCGGAGAGGAGGACGCAGTATCACAGGAGGACGTGGATGCTCTCTACGAGGAGGTCAAGCGGTTCACACCCGCGCCATCCTTCCACTGGGGCGTGTGGGCACTTGTACAGGCTCGTTACTCCTCGCTCGAGACCTTCGATTACATCGGCTATTCGTCGAAGCTGTTCGAGCGATACCACACGAGGAAGGAGGAGGTCTACGGCTTCCGCTACGGCAAGTCCCCCGCGGCCGCCGCCAAGCAAGAATGATCTTTGGCCGGGCTTGGCGCGACACACCAGCTGACGGGCATGGTGTGTGCCTTGTTCTTGCCACACTTTATTTTGATTTTATTTTTGGGCCAATACATTTTCCTCAAGTTGCACAGCAACCAGCGTTTTGGCGCCATTTGCGCGAATAAAAGGCGCACGAAAATTTGGAAGAGGCCAAGAAAAGCTTTTCTCTCGCCGGGCAGGGTCGTTCGGCTCAACCCGCGATTGTTGTGTGGATGGATTGGGAAACGGAGGACCGCGCGACAGACGAACAGCCCCCAGGAGTGGAGGAAAGAGAGAGCGCGAATGGTGGCGCATCAGAGAAGAGGGGAAGGAAGAGGCAGAGAGAAGATCTCGATGGGGGCGCATCTGCTCTCCTCCCGCCTCCAATGAGCCCCGCCGAGCTCACATCGCACATCAAGGGCGAGATGTTCTCTACCGTTGGAACCGAACTCATGGAGCTCGAGAATTCGGTCGAGAAATTCAACACCTTCTTGCGAAATCACGAGATGTTTCCCTATCTCAGCGAATTCATTCAGCAATTCTTCGACCTCTCCAAGCGCGTGAAGACGAGGATGCAAGACTTGCACACTCTCTACTCATTCCTGGTACGTTAATTTGCTTGCACCAGCGAATCACCAGTTTTTTTTTTGAAGTATTGATAATCATTTCATTCATTTTTTTTCTTCAGAATGGTCACCAAATGTCGGCCTCGAAGACGTCGGCAGGCTACTTCAGCGTATTGCCGCAGGAGTTGTGCCTCTACATCCTCTCCTTCCTCGAGTGGCGAGATCTGTCCAGCATGAGCCTGCTCAATCGTCAATGGCAGAGTCTCTCGCGGGACAATATGCTCTGGAAGGCCCTCTGCGCCAAGCACTGGAAGGAAATGTGGAACTCATCTTCGAGGGGAGGCTTGTCCTCATCATCGACGAACCTGTCTTCCCTCTCCGCTCTATCCCCCACCTCGTCATCGTCGTCAGCTGCTGCCGAGCTGGAGGACGACGTCCTCGAGGAGACAGCAGAAGAAGATGGCGGCCGAGCCACTTCTGAGCCCGTGAAGAAAAAGCTCAAGGTGGACGTCTCGGCGCCGGACGCCTCGACACCGCCTGCCTGGCAGGACGTGTTCAAGAGCCGGCTCTTGGTCGACCGGAACTGGCGGATGGGCAACTGCGCCGCACGCACTCTTGCCCCCCAGTCAGAGGTGGAGAGTGCCGCCTTTTGTCTTCACTTCGACGATGAGCGTTTCGTCACGGCCACTGATACTATTGAGGTACTTCCTTATCCATTTATCACTGACGCACTGCAGGGAAGAGACTGACTTCTCCCGGCGCCAGGTATTCAATGTCAACACGGGTGAGCTGATCCGAACGATGCGCGGCCACACGGACTCCGTGATGTGCTTGGACTTCAACAAAAAGTGGATTGTCAGCGGTTCTAAAGGTTTGCTCTGGTCCACCACGCGTCCATTCCTTGCATCGAGAAACTCTCGTACTTTAGTCTGACCGTGCTCATTCATCGCAGACAATACGATCCGCGTGTGGGACGTCAAAACGGGGCATGTCAAGTACGTACTCGACGGTCATGCCAACGGTGTGCGCACGGTGCGGTTCGATGATAAAATAATCGGTATCAAGCTTCTTCTTCGTCGCCTTGGCCTCGCCCTGCACTTGCACTCACTTGCTCGCCTCTTCCACATTTAGTGAGCGGATCTCGAGATTCGACGATCAAGGTGTGGGATCTGGAGCAAGGCGTGCCTTTGCGCACCATGGTCGGTCATGCCTACACCGTGTACTGCCTCGAGTTTGATAACCGCTACATCATATCCGGCTCAGTCGGTACGAACATCTCCTCGTGTGGCGTCTTGGCGCCACAGTCCTAACTCCTGGTTCCTTCCTCTTTTTAGATAAAACAATTCGCGTTTGGGATGTGGAAACTGGGGAGCCTGTGACCATGCTAAAGGGCCACGGCAACTCCATTCGCTGCCTCAAGTTCGATCAATCGCGACTAGTCTCTGGAGCCTGGGTACGAAGCACCCGGCCGAATCGCTCGGATTGTGGTGTTGTGTGGCTAATCGATTAATGTTGTGGCCTGATAGGACAATCATGTCAAGCTGTGGGATCTAGAGACCTCCAAGTGTATCACCGCCTACAAGGGCCACACAGATCGCGTGATGTGCCTCCAGTTCGATCAGAACAAAATTGGTTCGCGCCACCTCTCCGTTTGAGCTGTAAGGCTTCGTACTCACCTATCGGCCCGTTCGGGTTCCGCACTTTCTCCGTACAGTAAGCGGCTCTGTTGACAAGACAGTTCGCATCTGGGACATGCGCACGAGTAGTCCTGCCATCATCCTCAAGGGTCACAGCTCGTGTGTCTACGACCTGCACTTTGACGACTTCAAGATCGGTATCCTTGACCCGTTCCTGCCTCCGTGGCATGCACAAGATCTTGGGGTAACTGACTGCTTCATCCACACAGTGAGCGCAAGCAAGGATCGAGGTTTGATCACGTGGGACTTCAAAGCACCGCGCCCACGCGATCGACTCACCGTGGCCACGCTCGACGGCGAAGGTTGCTACGTGTTCGACGCCGCTTTTGACTCTCCCTCGGCCAGTGCCCCTGCTCCGGCTCCCACGCTGGAGCCGCTTATCGTGGTTCCCTACGAGGTATGGCTCGCGCTTCCCTACCTCTTTATGCCGACAACTTTCATTTATCCACCGCATACGTATATCTTATGGCACAGGCCGGTGTGCACAACTCTCCCAATCACGCTCTCGAGAGCGGAGACCCTCACGCCCATCCTCTGACGTATGAACCGACAGGCGAACAGCTAGGCGGTGATCAAAGCGACGAGCGGCCGTCGGAGAGGATTGAATGGGAGAACGACACAGAGAGAGAACACCAAGAGGAAGAGCAGCATCACGATGCCGCCACGGTCCAGGCCGACGGCAACAACTATAACGGCGACGGCCACACCAACGGCGACGGCCATGCGCCGGACATCTACTACACCAATGACGACGGCCTCTCCTAGCTCCCCGCAGAGCAGTGCAAGCCCTGCCTGGGCGCTGGTATTTCGGTGTGCAAAACAAAGGAAGCGAAGATGGCTCTCGAACGCGCGTCCTTCGTGCCAGAGCCAGGAACCAGCGCCGAGGAATGCGTGAGGAATGTGTCCGCGTAAAAAAGTCACCGACAGGGCGGGTTTGGGCGGGATTTCGTGTTGTTTTGAGTTTGTTCTGTGTGGGTGCGCCCGCGATTGAGCACCGGACGCTCGGACAGGTGCCATGCTGCGCCACGAGACGCGATGGAGCCCAGGGCAAGACGCACCCTCCGAACCACACCTGCGCGTTCACCTCTCACTTTCGTGCCCGCTTCCTTGAACTTGTCCGGCTTGCTCCCCGCACACAGCCCCCCACCTCCCTTGTCACATTTGTTTCTTCAATCCTCTCGAGAACCTCAACAACAACAGCAGCAGCTAGCAACAATAGCACTCGACAACCCACGCGACAGAAATGCTCGCTGCTCTGGTTCCGTTCATCCTACCACACAAGCACAGCGTGCACGACAACGACTCGCCGGTGCCGAATCGAAAACGCTCAGCTCCGGTCGAGGCACAAGATGACTTGGCGGGCGACTCCTCTTCAGATGAGGAGGGCCACTACCTCTCTCCGATGGAGGAGAGCGAGGATGAAGCAGAGTCGCTGAGCATGCACGACGTCTACCCAGACCACGAGGAGGAAGAGGAGTCCTCCTGCATGATGCTGGAGGACCTCCACAGTCACCCCCGCTTCAACCTGCTGACCGAGCTGCCCACCGAGATCCTCTTCCATGTCCTCCAGTACCTCAGCCCCCGACACCTCCTCTCCCTGCGCCTGGTACCGTTCTCTCCCTTTCCTCTTCCGCTACTCGCTACTCGGTTCTATTTCTCAACGAGCTCGCCTCCCGCGTTCTTGTGGTCGCGTGAGAGCAGGCCAACCGGTGGCTGCACCAAGTGTGTGGAGACGACCACCTGTGGCATGGCTTCGTGAGGAGCCGCTGGCCGTCGCCGCGCCACTACGGGTCCACCCAGGGCATGGCCGACGAGTCGTGGGCGCAGGCCTACGAGCGGATGGAGTGGAACACCAACCGGCCGGTCGTGCTCAAGGGCTGGCTCTACGACTTCCCGTCGCTCTTCGCCGCGCCGCTCGAGCTGAGCCGCGACTCGATCAGTGCCTACCGGCGCGAGCGCCACTACGCCACGGAGATGGCCCAGCAGGAAGAGGAGGAGGTGCTGCAGGTCCAGTTCTTCCTCTCCCACTGCAGTGGACCCACCGAGCGACGCGAGAAGAAGGCCACCGTGTGGTACTCCAACGACAAGCTGGGTCGGGCGTGGAACAAGACCCTGGCCGACGTCAGCGGTGGCGTGCGGCCGCCGCTCAAGGCCCTCACGCACAGCACGGTGGTGATCAGCATCAACACGACGCTGGTGGGACTCGACAAGTGCACCGGCCAGGAGCTGTGGCGACACAAGCTCTTCTGCAACTACCTGGTGGCTGCCACGCATGAGGATCGCGACATCGTCTACGCCGTGGGCTGCGATGACATGGTCTACGAGGGCCGCATAGTCGTGCGCGAGCGGCCGCTCGTCGCACTCGACGCTCGCACCGGCCGCGAGTTGTGGCGCGCTGATCTCCTCCCGCTCAGCAACGACATGCGCTGCGAGCCCTCCAAGCCCATCGTTCTCTCGCCCAGTACGGACCGCATCCGCCCTCGCTCTCTGCCCTCGCACCCCTTTTGATCTCATTGTTATGGCGTACAGATTACCTGATGACGTCGATCGAGGACTTCCCTCCGTGCCCGTCGTCGTCGCTCATCGTCAGCGCCAAGACCGGCGCCGTCAGCTTCGTCGTCAAGGGGGTGCGTTTCTCTTTTTGTCGGTTTCATGTTCGACATGAATGAAGCCCGTGTGCTGATCAACAATATGTGTTTGGTGTTGGCTACGTGTGCAGGAGGTGACGGCGTGCGTGCATGCCAATGACAAGCTGGTGATGATCAAGGACGGTCGCGGCAGCTGCCACACGCTCGCCGGAGAGCAGGCCTGGGAGCTGTCCAAGACGTTCAGCGGCCGGGTGGGCGCCAAGGGGGGCATAGTGCCTCTCCAGGACGGCTCCTTCGTCTTCTACCACTACTCCCATGTCATCGACGCGGTCGTGCAGGTGGTCCTCGTCAACGCCCAAGGGTACGCTCATCACACCGTCTGGCTGGCACCACACTTGGTGAAGGCAACAGCGATTGCTCATACTCCTCCTCCGTTCGTCTTCCCTCTGCGCGCAGGCAGGAGGAGTGGTGGCTGGAGTGCGGAGGTGCCACCAACGGCACGCGGAAGATCTACCACAGCATCAACGCCGAGGTCAGGGGCGAAGCGGGTATCCTGCTTACGTGCGAATCGTCCCAAGGCTGCTGGGTGCACGTACGTTCCACTACCGCGCCCACAACCGCTTCGCCTGCATTCCTTCCTAACTCTGGCTCGTCGTGTTTTCACTGTACAGCTGGTGTCGTGGGAGGGCAAGACAGTGTTCCGCTGGGAGAAGGAAGAGTCCTTGAACCCAAGCCACCACTGGGTGTTGTGATAGCCCAACCAAGCCTTCATTCTTTGATTCGTCTCACACCTATTTGTAGATAGCTCACTCATACACCTGTACATAATATTCTCTTCTCTCGTTGGAGTATCTCCACGTTATACTGTGGTGTTAATAAACCATCAACATGGACCCAATCATCTGAGCTTGATCAATCACATGACTGGTGCTGCCGGCATTCGATGCTACGTATCGATCAGCTACACGGCTCATCCTGCAGCCAATCGGCTCTACAACGTGCGCTCCATCTTCATTTTCAGGTGTGTGGCACAAGGCGTCATCCGGCACTTCTTCTGGCGCATCTCGCCGATCGGCTTGTTCGTCCCTCCCGCGGCTTTTGCCACCGGCAAGGTGCTGGTTCCTCTCGAAATTGTTAACCGCGCAACATGCCAGGTTGCAGGCAGCAGCCTCCCCTTTGCCGAGACCCCGAGAGGTGTAAAGGGAATGTGTATGGTATATGATGATATAGGACTAGCAGATCCACTAGTATACGAAGCTATGTACATAAGCTGTGGTGTTGAGTTGTAGATAACAATATTATTGGGTGTCGTGAAGGTCGGGCCGTTGAGCGGGATCTCAGCGCTCTCTGAGGAAGTCGGCGACGACGGTGATATGTTCAGTTGGGCGCCAGGCGGAGCGGAGCCGCTGGCGCCACCATCGATGCCAGGTGCAGTCCCGCCGAGGCGTGGGCTGGGAAAAAGTGGAGCGGCAGGGCTGGACGCGGGAGCGCGAGGGAGCCCAGGCTGGGCAGCACCAGATCGCCCGCCCTGCTGCTGTGGCTGGCGCTCGCCCTCGGCTGCGGAAGAGCGAAGGAAAGCGAAGACGATGACGAAGACGGAGGAGACGAGTAGGGAGACGAAGAGGAGTGAAGCAGCTGACGAGGAGGAGATGAGGGCGGCGACGAAGACCAGGAGGAGGAGTGCGATGAAGGCGAAGGGTAGCGGGCCGCGGCGAGGGCGCTGACGTTGGCCAGAGACATGAGCGAGTGGGTCGAGGAGGTGACCGAGGGTGACGAGGTGGGCGAGGCGGCCCCCGACGACGACAGCGCGGGCGAGGGAGACGAAGCGGCCGTGGCCGTGGGCGAGGCCGTCGACAGGAACTGGAGCGGCACCACGTCCACCGCCGTCCCGTCCGACCGCGGCAGCAGCAGCGCCAGCTGGTGGGCCGCCGAGCCCGGGGTCGAATAGTACGATGACGACGAGCCGGGCTTGCGGTCCTTGGCGGTCGCGCCCGCTGCGGCGTAGGCGCTCACGACGTCGACGTTGCGGTTACGCTCGAGGGCCTGCATGGCCGACGAGACCATCATCAACGAGGTGGCCAACCGACCGTTGGTGTTGGCGCTGCCGCTGATGTTGTTGTTGTTGGCAGACACGGGAGCGCTGACCGTGCGCCGACGCTTTCCCCGGATCTGGGCCGCTGTCTGTTGGCCCCCGGGCGCGGCGTTGTGGCGCTGTCGCTTGACCCCTCGCGACCCAGCCTCGGCCGAGGAAGTCGACGCAGCTGGTCCGTTGTCGCCAGCCGACTGCCCGGCTACGGCCGGCGGGTACGAGTTCTGGATCACCATCGGGTCGTGGTCCTGGCGCGGCTGCTTCTGGTGCTCGGACGAGACGAGTTTGGTGAGGCCGGCGGAAGAGGCAGGAGGCGGTGAAGAGGTGGTGATGGTGGTGGCGGGGTTGATGGTGGGATTCGCGGCGGTTTTCGCTGCGGCGCCGCGGTTTCTTGGCCGGCACCGATCGCAGTAGCCGCGCCTCTTGGGCCGAAACACCTGGCACTTGATGCAGACGGCGTGCTCGGGGTAGGCCGTGGCTCCCTTCGGTCGTCCCCTCTTGATCATCTTGTTGCAGAGGAGGGGGGGGGCAAGAACGAAGAACGAAGAACGAAGAGCGAAGAACGAGAGAAGAAGTTGGCAAGCCTGTTGGGATGGCGGAGAGGAAGAGATGGAGAGAGAGGCGTTAGGTCAATGGGGCAAAGGCCAGAAGAAGACAAACAGGGAACGGTGCGCGGTGAAAAAAGAAGAGTGGAATCCAGGCGACCAGGAACACAACGCTGCAGGAGAGATAAGAAACGACATATAACAGACAAGCTACGGTCGGCGTGTACCTCAAGTGATATACTCGAGACAAGGTGGACGATGGCCTCTGCCTTGACCTTGGCCCCCAAGAGCTTGATAGAGGGAGAGAATGATACAGAAGGGGCCTTCTAAAGGAGTCTGGGGTACTGTCCACCGAAGAGGGCGTCGAGGGAATGATGAGAAAGAGATGACAACGGGACTGGAGCTGATTGTCTTTTATAGAAGAGAGAGGGGGGTGGCGCGTGTTCGTTGTGTCCCTGTGTTGGGGCGCCAACTATCATTTCACGCGAACACCGTCGACCAATCGCCGCAGGTGCCACAGGCGCCGCACTCTAACGCCAGACAGGAGACGTGTTTGACCCGTGGTCACGCCCCCACTGTCGACCATCATCGCTCGAGCCACCAGTGCCGGACACGGCCATTGTTCAAGACCCGTCCCGCCCCATGAGCTCCCCCATTTGTTGTGATGTTGGTCTGCGACAGTTCGCTGACAGAGGAGGTGGCCCTCTACTCGTCTGTGCGTTCCTGTTCGGTGAACGCGCTCCCATTGGCCCGTCTTGTCTGTGCATCGACTCACCGGGCGGCGTTCAAAAGTGCGCAGGCGGCCTACAGGGCTGTGGGCTGGTTGCTGGTCTCCGCACCAAGTGAGCCGGGGGCGTGGGCGACATCTCGCGTGGCGGCGCCAGAACACAACGATCCCTGCGCCCAGGAGTGGGGGCCATTCCCTGTGTTGGTCCTGAACTCGCCCAGGGTCCTGTAGGGCGGTAGCGGTGCCCTTATCGATCGCTGCCCACGCACCCGAGTTGGTCTCCTTTTACTGCCAAGGCGTGCAGTCGTTCAAGGCCCTTCGTCTCGATGAAGAGGCCGTTTAGGTGTGCGTGTGAAGTTGCTCGCGGCCCTTTATTCGAATCTGGTTTGCGCGGTGTGGTGGTGGGCGGTGGTGAGAGGGCACGCAATGGCGATGTGTCGTGGGTCCATACGTCAGCACTTAGTGGCCCACAGCATGGCGCACAGGATGTTGACTAAGACCAGGAGCATGAAGCCCTTCGACATATCGAGCCGGATGTGCATGTCGCCGGCCGCGGCCAGGGCCTGCTTGGTTGCCGCCATCGCGTCGCTGCTGCCGCGGCTGCCCAGGCTCTTGCCCAGCTCATCCAGCTTGGCCTTGCCCTTCTTCTTCAGCATCTCCAGCGGCTCGCCGATCGACTTCTCGGGCGCGTAGGCGGCGGTGCGGACTTCGAGGTCGTCGACTGGCGCCACGTGATTGCGCCTCTGCAGGCCCATCCCGTCCTTCTTCTGTCCCTCATCGGTGAGCTCGAGGTCCTTCTTCTGCTGCTTCATCTCTGACTTGGTCGCCTTCTTGTGGTCCTTGAGGCCCTTGTCGGCCTCGGCCTCGCCGCCGGTCTCGACCAGCTTGAGGCTCATGGGCGACAACGACGCGTCGCTCTCAGAGCGCGACTGCGGCACGGGCGAAGACGGCAGCGAGTGGGACGGCGTGGCCGGCGAGGAGTAGAGGTCGGGATCCGAGGTCGAGTGGACCACCTCCAGACGGTCGGCCCGCTTGTGGGGGCGCAGGCGCGGGGCCGTGCCGACCGAGGAGTGCTCCCGGTGGACCAGAGGCGGCGTGGCGTGGCCGGTGGTGGGCGGCAGGGGCGAGAGGGAGGTGATGCCGGCGCAGGGGTTATCCGCCGCCATTCGGGGGTACCACGACGCCAGGCTGTGGCGACGCCGGCCGGCCTCGAACGCGGGCATGCTGCTGAAGTCGGGCGCCTTGTCCTTGAGCTCCTGCTTCACCTTCCTCTGCTCCTCGACGCTGCCCCGGTTCTTGCCCACCTTCATCATGTTACGCGGGTCGCGCAAGACTTCCTCGCGCAGCTCCTCTTCGCCGGTGATCTTCTCGGAATGGGCGCCGGCCAGGTCCCACTCGCTGGCCAGGGTCTCCTCGATCTCGTTCTTGACCTCGGTCTCGTCGGCCGGGGCCTCCTTGACCATTTCGCCCTCGGTCTCCTGGCCCTCGAACTCGATGGCCTCGATGATGGTCCTCTGGTGGGCCGTGATGACCAGCAGGTGGTTGCGAGGCACCAGCATCCAGTTCTTGGGCTGTCGGGTCAGCGGCTCCGACGCCACCACGACCGACTCGGCCTACGCATGCGATGCGATGCGATGCCCGCGTTAGACAGGTCCCAAGGCTCCAAGCGATGGTGTGCGACATACACACGACCAACTCGCGCGCGTACCTCTTCCTGCTCGGAGGGGTAGTGCCAATCAATCTCCACGCCCTGGGAGTTGTTCTCCGGGTCGCTGTCGTGTAGGTGGAGCTGCTTCGCCTCGGAGAAGTACAGCGAGGGCGGATGCGAGATCCTAGTTGTGGTGGTGGTGGGGTGGGGTGGGAGGAAAGGGGGTCAGACCATCAGAAGGTGCGCCGATGAGAAGCGAGTGGGGGAGGAGAGTGGGTACTGGGAATCCCGGTAGCGGGTGGCGATCATGACGGTTCCGTCTGTTACGGCAAAGTTCATGTTCGAGGGGGTGTGCATGCGCACGCCGTCGACGATCTCGGTCTTCTCCTCCTCCTTCTTGACGACGTCGAGGATGAACTTGATCATCTTGAGCATGGCCTCCTTCATGACGTGGCCCGAGTGGTCCTTGTTGGGGTCGTGGTCGGGCAGGAAGTGGACGTAGAGAGCGCCGGCGTGCTCGCTGTCCGTCATTCCCTGATGTTTGAGGGCCACATGCACGACGCCATGTCAGCCTCCGGAGACATGAGAAGCCGAGGGCCACGAGCGTACCTCGATCATCGAGGCGGTGGTGTACTTGATCTCCTCCAGGATCTCCACCCTGATCTTGGTGAAGTGGGCAATGGTGCCGTTTTGCATGAAGAGCATCTTGCCAAACTTGAACGGGTGGCAGTTGGCTTCGGAGATGGAGCCGTTGGATGCTGTTGAAGCGAGAGGAGAATGCGCGTGCGTTAGCGTTAGCTTTGAACCTTTCTTTTACGTGTGATGGTGGTAGCATGCGAGAGGGTGCAAAGAGTATCGCGTACCAGCGCGCACGTGGGCAAAGGCACAGTGAGTCCTGTGGCGCGGGAACAACGGATGTTCGCGTCAGCTAAAGTTGTTCAATACATAGCAAGGAGGAGGAGGGAACGCACTGCACGTGGGCGGCGATGGCTTGGAGGTTGGTGCAGTTCCAGGAGGGAATGGTCGACTTGAATACGCAGGGCTCTGGGCCGAAGTTATCGTACCTGGGGGTTGCGCGGCAGGGTATAGCTGTCAGCCTGCACATGCGCGCGCAGTGGACAGAGATGCGGGTGGGGCGTACCAGCCGACTCCGAAGCCATCGCCGTTGATGGCAGTGTTCATGACCTTGGCCTCGCCATGGTGGCCGTGCACGAAGGGCAGGTACGGGCTGTGCCTGCTCTGGTGCACTGCAGCGCGGAAGAGCCGGAGTGAGCCAACGGGGCCTTGGGGTAGCAGAAGCAGACAGGGAATGGGTGAGAACGCACCGATAGAGTTCTGCGGACGTGTAACGATGTCCGCCATGATGATGGGCTTGCCCATATAAACCATCCATCTGCACATCTTGAGTAGTGTGGTTGTGTGCGCTTGCTTATCTGGTGTTGTTGTGGCTGACCGAAGTCGAAAGTTGAAAATCAGATGGAGTGGTTGCTTGCTTGTGGCTGTCTCACCTCTGGGTATATGAGTGTAAGAAGGAAGGTCGGGGTTTGGGGCATCCCGACCTCGTCCACAGTTGATGACAGAAGAGAATTTCCACAGTCTTTCAAACGATTCCTGTTCGATTCACATCTGAACGGCCGAAACTGCCAGCGACCGTGCCCTCACCGGCAACAGGGGTGCCTTGCGGGCGAAAGTTGCGTGTGGTCCCGACCTCGCTCATGGGCTCTTGTCTTCACGGCTCTTCTCTTGCGCGGCCAAGCCCGCGAAGACTCGCCACCTTCATGTCGCAAATTCCAACGGTTACGCAGTTCCCAGCCCCCGTAACGTCGAGGAATTTGTGGCATTTCGCAACGGAGTAGTTCTTGGGTCAGTGGTGCCAACGGTGGACCACACGCCTCTGCTTTGTTGGCCTTGCGAAGGTGATAGATAAGAAGTATGCTACAGTAGATCTATCCACACTCGCCCGGGTCCCTTTCGCGTGTTGACCCTCCTTTCGTTCATTCGTCGTTCGTTCGTTTTCTGGTTGTCCTCGTCGTTGCCCTCCTCCCTCGGCTCAGACTCGGGGTCGCTCTCACTACGCTGCCGCCTCCGGGCTCCCACTGCCCCGGCACGCGGTCCACGTCAGCCCGCCACACGCTATACTGCCGATGATCCAGATCACCGCCAGCACGCAGAGTGCCACCACCTGCGCATGTGGGGAAGAGAGACATTCATCCGAGCTCGATCAGCGGCTGCACTCAGTGGCGCGCGGTGCGCAATCCGATGGTGTGGCGTGACGTGGCGTGGCGATCCAAGCATTTCTCATGGCATGGTGTGGCGATGCGAAGGCGTGTGACGACAAGTGCAGTGTGCACACAAAGTGGAGGGAGTCGTACGAGGGCAAAGGCGAGAGAGGTCTTGAAGTTGAGCCAGCAGTACTTTCGCTTGGTCTCGGCGGCGACGAGCTTGAAGCTCTGGCCGGCGTCCTCCATGGTCTTGGCCTTCCACGCGAGCTCGGAGAGGTCTTCGCCTCGTCGGATGGCGCGGTCGATGGTCTCTCGCATGGTCTGCTTGACCCTGTCGAGCTTGCGCATGACCTCCACGATCTTCTCCGTGCTCTCGGTCGAGTAGTAGACCATCTTCTTCTCGAGCGTGTGCTGGAACTCGTCGTTGAGCTCGTAGGGCTTGGCGGCCTTAACGCGATCCACGTCGAACTTCCTCAGGAACCGCTCCTTCACGTCGCGCAGGAAGCCGAAGGCGATCTTCTGCTCGAATTCGGGATGGGCAGCGCAGATGAAGATGAGGCCGTCCTCCATGATGTAGTGGAAGGAGTAGGCGGTCGTCGTGAGCGTCTTCATGTGATTGTTCTTCAGCTGGCCGCTGATCTTCTCCAGCATCTTCTCCGTCAATTGGCCGCACTTCAGCGCATCCTTTCGCTCCTCCACTTCAGAAGGGGGGATGATGGGTGATGTGGCTTGTGCCAATATCTTGGTTTCGAGAGAGATGAGGCAGAACACGATGAAGGTGTCGGGACGAGGGAGAGGAGCATTTTGGTTGAATCCTACCATCTCGTCTCCATCTTCTGTGCCGCGTGAGGGAGCGAATGGAGGGGCGGGGTTGCCTGCGGGTGGTGATTTGGCGCGAGCCAGGGGCGCCGCCATGTGTCGAAAATGGAGGGTAGAAAATGAGGAAAAATAGAAGTTGAGAAGAGAAAAATAAAAAGAGCGGATTTAGTGGGAACGGGCAGACGGCTGTCAAGATGGAGGCCTGAAGATGGAGGCCGCAGGCAAACTGTGCGAACTGCCGCTTCTAGATTGCGTGCAGAGGGGCTGCTTCTTGTTTTTCTTGTCGACGAGAATGATGATCTTTCCCAGCGTCATTTCCCTTTCTTTTCCTTCGGGCGCCCACGGCCGCCACCCCAGGTTCGTTGCCCGCACCGTTGCTCCGCGCCTTGTGCTACCACTGGTCGTCCTCTTCGGCATCACGGCGTGCACGGCTTCTGGCACTTGCTCCAGTTTGAAGGAGAAAAAGCGAGCTACGTTTTTTTGTTTATTGATTTATTCGTAAAGCGGCCGCTGCCGTGCGTCGTGTGGCGGAGTATTCAAAGGCCTTTCTTGCTGCCGACACGAACAGCAACAAAAGGAGAGATAGAGAGATCGAGAGAGGATCCAGACAGGCAGCCCCAAGCTCGACGAGATTGCGCCTTGAAGAAGCCTGCGAACGAGAACGCTGAATGATGGCCCACCCCCTGCACCGACCATGAACGACCGGACTGAGTCTACAGAGGTACGCCTCATCCATCCCAGACAAAAACAGTAATCGCGTCACAGTTTGATGGAACAAAACTGGCACTTCCCTTCGCGGAGTGTTGGCGCGAGAGAGCATGGGTCATAGGAGAGAGATGCTTGCATTTCGGTCGGGGGGTGATTGTCGTTTTTTTTTTTTTTTTTTTTTTTTGTGAAACATCTCCCATCTCATTCGTGTTCCCTTTGGTTTTCCTCCACGAGAAGGAAGCGGAGAGCCCAGCAGACGGCCTCACCAACACCACCGCCACCACCACGCCCAACCTCCCCGCTGCTCCCTCCCCGCGAGTCTCGGGCGAGAGCCACCACTTGAAGAAGAAGAGGAGCGAGAACGTGGGGGAGAGCGAGGTGGTGAAGGCCAAGAAGGACAGCAAGGACCACCGTAAGAACGGCGGCGGCGGCCAGAAGAAGAAGTCCAGCGAGCGCCGAGAAGCGAAGCAGGACGAACGCGAGGCCATGACCACCGGCAGCGACCCCGCACCGCACGACACCTCCAGCGGCGGCACCAAAGCGGAAGACGGGAAGCCGTCGCGCCACAACGACGACGACGACGACGACGCGGGGACCAACGACGCGCTGCACCCGCCCACGCCCTGGCCCGGTCGGCTGCACGGACAAAACAACAGCAGCAGCAGCGGAACGGTCAGGACGACGGCAGCGACGGCAACGAGCAGCAAGAGGCAGAGCGGTGACGCCGCCGGAGGCGAACCGGCGGACAAGCCCAACAGGCGGAAGGAGAAGAGACACGAGAAGGAGGCGGCGGCCTCGCCGGAGGTCAAGCCCTACGCGGAGCCCGCGCACGCGTCGCCGCCGAGCGACAAGCGACGGAAGGAGGAGAGGCGCAAGGAGGAGCGACGCACTGATCATCTCAAGGTGGAGGCCTGCGAACAGCAGCGGAGGGCGTCGTCGGAGCTGCTGCGCGGGCACAAGGAGAAGGGGCGAGCGTTCTGGAACAAGGAGCGGACCCCGCGTCGAGGCATACTCGTGCGCTCCCTGTCCGCCGAGCAGCTCCCGACGACGAGCCACAAGAGCTCCCAAGGGTGTCTCGACGGCGACGTGGTGCCGCCCAAGAGGAAGAAGGCAAAGAAGCACAAGCGCAAGGCCCTTCAGGACGAGGGCGTCAAGTTCGACAAGGTGGTGGTGCGGCACTACCCGCGAGAGGTCGCCATCGGCGGGTGCATGCTCGACCCCGACCAGGGACCCTTCCTCGGTAGGCTCCTCCTGTCGCCTTCTTCGCTCTTTTGTTCGCTTTCGTTTTCGTTTCGCATGCGATCAAGTTTAACGCTTCTCTCTTTCTTCGTCTTCTCTCTTTACCCATTAGGCATCGGGTGGGACTGGAAGCAGGAGGAGGTGCACAACTTGTACTCGTTCGAGCGATTGCGCGATCCCGACCGAACACACATGGCGCGGGCCATCCCCTCGATGGCCCGGCAGGCGCTGCTCGTGCAGTACGGCCTCAACGAAGAAGAGATCCGGGAGATGATCGCCGAGATGCGGCGCAAGGACAAGGAGCTTCTGCGAGGCGGGTCCATCGGCATCCTCCCCTCCTTCTGGCCCTGGAAGAAGGCCGGCTGAGTTTGGTGAACGTGCCGTAATCAAAAAGAAAAGGAAAAGGAAAATAATTGGAATGTATTGAATGTGCCAATTAGGGGGCAAATTGGGCAATTCCTTGCACGACCAATGCGTGGCCGGGGGCGTTGCGCCGTCGGCAGAATTTAGACAGCAGGTCGCCCACGGCGAGTCACCCCTCCTTCAATCAAGGCTTCCACATCAAGTCCTCAACACCTCCTCTCTCGATTTTATCATGGAAACCCCTGAGAAGCCCGAACGCAGTGACGCCGAGTTCCAGCAGTCGCTGGATGCCAGGCAGAGGGAGGTGAACAACGCGCTCAACACGTAAGGCCCCTCACCCCCAGTGCCACCACCGCCGCCACGCCAGCTTCTTGCCTTTGTTTGCGCTCTGTTCAGTGCGATCGCTCTTGGTCGCCGCGCCTGGCACCAATGCGGGGGTACCGCTGAGCCCACCAGTGAATTAATCCTTTCTTTTCCTATTTTTAAGGGGTAACCCTGGTCGCGCTCTCAGTGCCGCCCTCCAGGACCCTCCTCTTGGGTGCAAGAACCAGCAGATCAGGGTAAGCTCGCTTTTAATGACAGAATTGAACACTCTTTGTTGTTTTAATCGATTCCAATCCTCTCAATGTTGTTCTGACATTTGTAATTGGCGCGGATTGTAGGATGCCAGCACGCAGGCTGTGGTGAACGTTCTCACTTCGGTCAAGGATGCTGACATGCAGAAGAACATCGATGCTCTCTCCCCCACCGATCTGGACACCCTCATGAAGTACATCTACCGCGGTCTTGAGGACGGTGAGAACTCGACCTCGCTCCTGAAATGGCACGAGGCTGTCACCAAGAAGGGTGGCCTCGGCTGCATCGTCCGCGCCCTGGCTGAGAGGAAGGCCTTGTAAAGGAACCCCCCACTCCTCTTCTGTTTTATAAAAATCTCCCCCACACCACTTGTTCAATCCATCACGCCCATCACAAGTAGAAGGAAGAGCACGTAATAAATAACAGATGTGTTTCATTTTTTGTTGTTAAAAAAAAACGCAAAAGATGTGGAAAAAGGTCACGCACAACACGATGAAGCAAGCGCATGCATTTCTAGATCTAGATGCCCATTCCTTCCGTTTCGCGGCACAGGGATTCGTTCTTGATGTCGGCTGTGTGGTGTGCGTGCCGCCAGCGGCGTGAAGCAGTAAGCACCAGCAAATGAGGGAGCAGCAATAAACGACACAAGGTAGACCAACTAACAAGGGATGAAGAACGAAGAGCAAGAGAAGCCGGTAACGCACTCTTCTCTGGCACGTTGTAGGATACGCCAATTTGGCTGTCCTTGATGTTGCACTTCTCCTTCATGTACACGTTGTTGCAGACCACAGAGCCGTTGATAACGCATCTGCAGCAGCAACCACATCGCAGTTGTCAAAGAAAAGAAAAGCCTTGGGGTCAGGGGCAGAGGCGCGTACCCAGCAGAGATGGTGACGTGGTTCATGATGACCGAGTTGATGATCTTCACTCCGTCGTGGATCACGCAGTGCTTGCCAATGACCGACTTCTTGATCGACGCGCGCTCACCGACGCGGGTCCCCTCGCCCACCACGCACTCAGCGCCCACCTTACGAACGCCAGATCATCCTATGTAAGCGGTTCGTTTGGCAGAGGCGCGCAGGGCAAAAGCGCAGGTACCTGTGTCTTGGGACTAATGACTGCAGCGGGGTGGATGTACGAATTCTTGGTCACGGGTTCCAATGGCGAGTAGCAAGCGCCTCGGCTGGCGATCTGTGCGATGAACGTCAGGCGGCGCAAACGATCACACTAAAATGGGTGGACCAGTCGGTACATCGAGGTTCATCTGAACGTAGGACTTGATGGTGTTGGCTCGCGAGCAGTAGCCGCCCTCCATCGTGTACGCGAAGCAACGGATCTTATCGGTGGTGTCAACGCGAGCAGAAGTCATGCTGTAGGCCTTGCTGAACGGACGCTTGATGGGGGCATCTTCTCCTGTTGTCGTTGTTGCCGAAGATGTGGTCAGGGCGACGCACTACTTGGAAAGCCCATAGCGAGAGAGAGAGAGAGAGAGAGAGACGCTCGTACGAGTGAAAGCTTTCCGGAACTGGCATCGGACGAGGTAGGGGATGAGCTCGCCCTTGATGCTGACGATCTTCTCCTTCCTCGCCTCCAACATCGCCAGGGCAGCTTTGGAGAAGATGTAGAAGTGGGCATCGACGAGGTTGGTGTGGATCGTCAGGCTGTAGTTCCTGCTCAGGAGTGGGACATGATTCAACGATGAGTTATCCGGCAAGGCCACGTGTGCTCGCAAAGGGAGTTGAACGTACTTCCTCAGCAGCTTCTTGGAGATGCGCATCTTGTTCTCAATGTCGGCGGCAGCCTTGAAGTAGAGCAGCCTCTCGCCGTCCTCCTTCAGGCCCACGTAGTCCATGAGGCCGTACTCGTTCTTGGTGTCCACGACGGGGCCGGTTGCGCCCTCGACCGGCTTCGGACGGCTGATGAGGAGCGTCACCATGGCGTCCTGCAGCCGATGCAAGTCGGCCATTCCGTGCAGGAACTTCTCGTCCACCACCAAGTCGCTGCTCATGACGATGAAGTTGGTCTGTGCACGGAGAGCCAGCGTGAGCGATGGGACCGACTGGGCCCAGGTAGCTAGCCTGTCCGCAGCAAGAAGAACACCGCCCGGAGTACGCGGCATAAGAGGGGAGCACCTTAATCTTGTCCTTGATCTGGAGGAGGGCTTCGGCAGTGCCCATGGTGTCGGCGAGGAAGTGCCAGTCTACCCTGACCTTGCCCTTATAGATCTCGTGCACGTAGGATCGCAATTCGCTCGAGGCCTCTTCTTGCGCGACAATAATCACCTCTGCACCACATGGTAGAATCAAACAGAATTGAGAACAGGGCGGATTGAGCAGCTGCCGGGAACACGCACCTGAGAAGCCAGCCCTCTCCAGGAACTCCAATTGATAGGAAATCATGGGGCGGTTGGCAATGGGGAGCAGTGGCTTGGGGATTTCAGTAGATAGGGGCGACATCCTGCTTCCGGGTCCTCCTGCAAGAAGCACCACCTGAAACTCCACTGCCCCCACGCTCGACCAGCTAGCAGACGGGTCCTTCTCCAGCACCTGCATTCTGATCGATTTTTGATTCTAATGTTGATTAATCCAAAAAAAAAAACAAACAGAAAAATGGAATAAAAAAGAGCGCGCCACCTTACGAACCCAATTAATCGCCGTTGGAAGAAAGGGCAGAGCAAACTTCACCGGGCAAGCGACCACGCCGAGGATGAACCGCTTTGCCTCTTTTGTGTGCCTTCTGGCACTCGCCTTTTTGGCTTGTCTCGTCGCCTCCGTCCATGGTGACTTTGCCCCCGCCGGCTTTGCTGCGCCGGTACCTCCCGCTCCTGTGCTCATCCTTCGCTTGAAACTGGTCTTTGGGGGGGGGGATGCGTAGTGCTAACCCCACCCCACCTTGGTACCTTGGCACAGTGCGGCAATTGTGGCAACTGCCCCAACAGGCAGGAGTGCGTGCCGTCGCAGTGCAAGAGCTGCCCCGCTCTCGTGTCGAGCTTCTACCCCTACAGCAACAACCGCACCCTCATCATGAAGATCCACGTCAACAACAACCACACCCAGGGGGACCAGATCACCTACTACGCCTTCGTCGAGAAGGTCTACCAAGTACGTACCAACCAACCCATGCACCTCTGCCTTTCGCGCCAGGCCTCTCTTTCTCAACACCTTTTGTGGCCCTATTGCAGGGCCGCAGCTCGGGCAACGTGGTGCAGATTCTGTACCAGAGCATGAAGGACCCCTGCTACACCAACTACTTCAACGACTGGTACGCCTTGCGTAGTGCACCACCTCAAAGACGGAGCGCCCGTTCGCTGACTCATCAGAGCGGACAGGTACGTGGTGGCGATTCCCTACGCCACGATGGCGGCCAAGCCTTCGGTCTGCGCTGACCTGCCCGGCGCGCCCGAGTGCTTCTTCATCCAGCTCAACCAGTGCTACTACTTCAAGCTCTATTCGTACGCGCCATACGTCGCATGCACCATCAGCGGTGACCGCCATCTCTCACCTTTTCCACCACGCGCACACCTTGATCGCGCAGGGAGCTGACCAAGGGCGAGCTCCAAGTGCTGGCCGCACACGGCAACTGAGCGGGCGTCAAAGCGAGGGGGTCACCGTCCACTTCCGTGCGCTTCTGTTCGTGACTCACCTGTTTCTCATGAACTTCATTGCGGAGGAAAGTCGTGGCCTAGACAACTGTTCCGTTGAATGTACCAAGCTCTCTTCTTATGTTGTTTGCATCCGGTCCTATCCCCTAGTGGCATCACGTTGCTGTTGTTGCTGTAGCTGCACGCGTTGCCGAAGGGACGCCACGAAAGTGCACAGAAACTCGTAAAGACCGTCGAGCCCTCGCTCCTTCAAGAACTCGACGTAGTGGAACTTGTGCACCTCCTGCATGTGACCACATCATCATCACCGCCGGTTAGATAAATGTTTGGGGGGAGAGGCCGTGCTGTTAGCAGGGTCCGGACCTTGATCATGTCGGGATGCAGTGGAATGCGCGAGGGTCCTTCGGACTGCTGCTCGACGGCGCGCATGTACTCGAGGGCGAAGTTGGAGAACACGATGGCGTGCGTGAACGACAAGCACGCCGGTGCATGCTGGCTGCTCAGTTGCTGGACCATTGCACTGGTGTATCGCCCCCCCCCCAATGTGCCAGTGTGGGTGTCAGTAGTCGCCACGCAGCTCCACTGGGAGAGGGGTGGTGCACACTCCGATAGGCCGAGGGTCTCCTTGAAGCCAGGCTTGCCCGTGGTGGGGTCCTGGGTAGGCGTGAACAGCCTCTGCCGCCACAGGGCCACCGCAAAGTCCCAGATATAGGAATTGAGCTGCGCGCTCTGTGCCGCGAGATCTTCCGCGACAATCGCCTGCAGGCATGCGCGTGTTCGTCCTCGAATGAGTTTCTGTCGAGGGAAAGAGTGGTGGGTAGGCATCGTGTCCGTACCTTTCGCTTGAGCTCCTCAAAATCGGATTTGTAGGACACGAGCGCGCCGCAAAGGCGCGACACCGGCATCGCGGTGTGCGCAAAGAGAAGGCGGTAGACCAGCCCCTCCGATGGGGGAATGACCATCGGCACCTGGAACCCAATGTGTAGCCGCGATATCTGGACATATCGGGGGCGTAGAGTGAGTACGACCAACACACCACGTTCCTCCCAAGGGTAAGAATCAGTGCCAGCGTACCGTCTCGACAAAGCAAAGGGCCGCGTGCTGCACCACGGCATGGTCTCGTTCGGCGAGCAAGCCCAGCACGCACATCCGGTCCACGTACCTACACAGGTGGAGTGGGGCATGGAGTCATCAGTCGCTGGCCATGCACCGTGAGCGGATGGAGACCTACCGAATCAGCATATACAAGGGTCGGTAGTGTAGGGCCACCTGGGCCACGTCGATGTGTCGTCCCCTTTTCTCCTCTGACGAGTGGTAGGAGCGGCGTGAGAACAGCGAGCGCACGAGAGCGTTGGTGGAGACGGCGGCGCGGGTACTGTTACTGTACCTGTGGCTCGGCGGAGTGGCGGCGGGTTGTCGGGGTTGGTCCAGTTGGGCCAATCGTAGGTGGTCCACCGCTTGATGATGGCCGTGAAGCAGTCGAGGAGACGAGCCTTGCCCAGAGTGGTGGAGGTGAAGAAGAGCGCGGTGAGCGGGTTGAGCAGGTTTTCCTGCAGGTCGGCAAAGGCACAGCCATTGGCCAGCGATATGAGTCCTGTGTCCCCCCCCCCAAGCCACAAGAGGTTGCCCGTCATGAGTCTCGCGGAGGATCTGAAGCGCAAGTGACTAAAAAGTAGGGGGCACTAATGTACCGAGAACCTCCTGGCTGTGGTCTGTGCCGTTCCATCGCTCGATGTAGCTGTAGAAAAAGCGCTCCAGTGTAGGGACGAGGCCCTGAAGAAGCCCATAACCGGAGGTAAGGAAGAAGATGAAGCGAGGCTCTGTGTGGTCAAAGAGGGTGGACGTACGTTGTTGGCCCGGCCGAAGTCGATAAGTTTTGATAGGAGGAATCGCAGGCGGGCTTCGTGCTGGGCGGTGGTGGAGTCCTTCCAAAAGACCTCCTCCTCGAGAATGAAGCCCAGCCAATTTGTCAGCCGCCCCACCAGGCTTCCTGTCAAGTGGTGGCCCATGCGTCGCACCGTCAGTCCTCAGTCCAGCAGCCGTGTCAGCGCCGAAGAGGGGTCAAAGCATACGGTGGGGATAGAGGGCCACATAGTGATGGAAGAAGGGACTGCGGAAGAGCGTGGCGGCCTGCGCGGGTATCTCGAGCTCCTCCAGACCCTTGGCGAAGTGCGAGATGGACGGTTTGACCGCACCGTTCTTGGTGGTCTTGGGCTTGTTGCGCTGCTGCTCGAAGCTTTCGCGCCAGTCTGTCCGGCGTGCAGCGAGAGCCAGTGGGGGGTTAGGTGGTCCAGTTGCAGTGGAGCGCAGTGAACCCAAGGTTTATGTGCGTGGGATGCGCACCCCATTTGGCCGACTCGGAGGTGCTCTCGTCGAACGGGGTGGTGAAGGGGTCGCCCTGCAATTCGATGATCCGCAGATACAAGTCGCGGCCCGTTCGCTTTGGCTGAACAGAACCGAGAAGATGGTAAGCACACCATCACATTCGTTCGCTCGCTGGTGCTGCCGCTGTGCCCGCGTACCTTGAGGAGGGTGTGAAGGGGCTTGGAGCGAGACGGCAGTGCCACTGTGACGGCCGAGGGCTTGTACTCTTTGTAGAGGGCCAAGAGTACATCGACGGCCGGCTCGGGTCCGACTTTGTTCCTCAGCTCACATGTTCACATAAGTTAAGGAGGTACCACACGTCATCACACAACAGCTGCGAAAGGCGTGTAGATAGAAGAGCGTAGCACGCAGATAGATCGAGAAGGGTGTGAAAGAGGATATAGCTTGTGCACGCGCCAGGTGAGCACATCCTGTGGCCGGGTCATTCGATAGAGCAGGTTGCACAGCAGCGGTCGCAGCGTTTCGTATTCGATCCAGTGAAAGATCACTCCATACAGGCTGTGCACCTGATGTGTGGTTGCATGCGGTGAGACAACCAATGCTGTTTGGCGAACTGTGGCCCGTACTCCAGCGGATAAGGAGTGTTGGGCTCGCGAACCTTGGCGGTCGATGCTAGGAGATCGTAAGTGACGACCATCCATTCGAGAGCCAGCCACTGTGTTGCGGGCGAGAACGCAGAGAAAGCGCCTAACACGCACACGCACACGCACACGGCAGGCGTGTAAGATGCCAACGCAAGCAGACCACGAGCGCCTTCACACGACGAAGGATTGCGCACCCAGAACGAGCACAAAGCACTCCTCGTCCACCTTCTCCTGCGGGATGAGTGCCTCGAGCAACCGCTTCACGAGGGCGTCATCTGGAAAGGCCGCAGCAGTCATCAGTAAGTGGCATCGAAGAACGGAAACCATTGGTGTCGGCACTAAGCTTCGTACGAAGTTGGTGCTTGGTGAAGAGCTCCACCACAATGCGCAGCTGGCTCTTGGTGAGGCCCCACTCCCAGGCGAAGGTGCACAAGTTTTGGACGTGAGTCTCCACCTGCTCCTTCCCGGACTGGGCATCGGCGGACTTGTTCTTGCCACGCGCGCTGCGCTTCCCCGGCCCAGCCGTCGCTGTGCACGATTTAAAACAATTTAAACAATTAAGTATAATGAAATAATACACACTATGAACGACATCCGTCACTCCTTTGTGGCGGTACCCAATTTCTTGAGGAACCTCAGGGCGGCCTCGAGAAGCGGAGCGGCCTCTGCACGGCTCATCTTCAATCGTAGAATCAATTTGTTTCCTTTTTTTTCTCTTTTTCTTTTGGCGTGCATTTACTGGAATAATTTGAGGCCAATAACATCAAAAGCCCCTTCGATTCAATCGCAGGAGAAGACGATGGAGGCGCCACACGAAGAGGTGAAAATAGAAAACCAAGAGCAGATTGAAGACGTTGGTACGCCAATCCTGCCATCCCACACGCCTTTGTCGGAAATCATCGGACCCGCCTCGCCGCTGGCCCAGCGATTGGCCCTCCTCGAGAAGTCCCTCCGTGTCCGTACAGCCGAGGACCTCCTCAAGGTGCCCAAGGCCGAGCTCAAGCGCGTACTGCCCGGGGCCGCCGTCGAGGCGCGCAATCTGCTGCACGAGGTCTCAATCCATCTCTGCCCGGCCCCACTGCCGGCCCTCGCCCTCGCCAGCGACCCGAGCTTCACCCACAAGCTCAAGCTGGGCTGCCCCCTGCTCGACCAGTGCCTCGGCGGCGGCCTGCTGCCGCGCCACATCACCGAAATCGCGGGCGAGGCGGGCAGCGGCAAGACGCAGCTCTGCCTGCAGCTGGCCCTCCAGGTGCAGCTGCCGCCGGAGGAGGGCGGGCTGGGCGGCGGAGCGATCTACATCGGGACGGAGGGCAACTTCCCGCAGCGAAGGCTCGACCAGCTGCACGAGGCCTTCCGACACAAGCACGCCCACGTGTTCCCGCCGCGGCGCAAGGGGTTCGACCTGCGCGACAACATCTACATCAAGCACGTCGGGTCGATCGACCAGCTGTTCCACTCCATGCTCAAGCAGGTGCCGCCACTGGTGCAGCAGCGCAACGTGCGGCTGGTGATCGTCGACTCTATCGCCGCGCTCCTGCGCTACGAGTACGGCAGCGGCACGAGCCAGATGGTCGAGCGGTCGCGGGTGCTCTTCTCGCAGGCCAACCAGCTCAAGCAGATCGCCGACCAGCTGCAGGTGGTCGTGGTGGTCATCAACCAGGTCTCGGACTACGTCGATGACTCGCGGCTGGTACTGTCCGACTTTGCCGCCCACAAGAAGCGCGTGGTGCCCGCCCTGGGTCTGGCCTGGTCCAACTGCATCAACTCGCGCCTGCTCCTGTCCAAGACACGCTCCACCTACCGCGGCGCCGTCTCCTCCTCCACAGTCTCCAACGCGTCCGATGATGGTACCCTCTTGTCTAAGCCATTCATTCACTTGATGGCCTCGCTTGCTCACAACAGTTCATCTCGTGCCGTCTCCTTGGTCGAAAGATGGCGAAGGCGAAGAAGGCCAGGAGCGAAAGCCAAAGAAGCGACGAGTGAGCAATGAGGTGACGGTGGGCATCAGGGACATGAAGGTCGTCTTCTCCCCGTACATCCCCAACAACTCGTGCTCCTTTATCATCGAAGGCGACGGCGTGCGCGGGGTCGAGTGACATACCTTCCGCCCCCTCCCCAACACTGTACAGCACAACTTTTTCTCAACTTCACTCCTCACTCGTGACTCTTGTGTCGTGTAATGGGTCATGATTTCAGTTCAATGTTTGGGGAGGTTGTTGTAGAAGTACAGCCCTCTCAACAAAACGCTAACAAAAGGAGAGGGAGGAGACTGAGGGTAACAAAGAGAGACACAAGACACACCCGGCGTCTTCGTCCGTTCCGGCAGGGTGCGTGTGCGGTGTGTCGTGCTCGGCGGTTGTTCGGTTGTTTACTCGCTGGGTCCGTCGCCGAGTCGGCTCCTGCCCAGGGCGATGCCCTTCCGCCTGGTCTCGGTGACGGCCTGGTTGGTCATCTCCTCCTTGTCCTTGTAGAAGAAGTCGTAGTTGGAGGGCGGCGGCGGTACGACGGGCGCGATGGAGGGGATGGTGATGCCTTCGAGGTCTAGCATCTTCACCTCGATCTCGGTCTCCACGAGCACCTTGATGTCGTCCAGCGTCTCGGGACACTCCATCTTGGCGCCGATCCACCCGCGCAGGCCGTCGGTCCAGTTCACGAAGTCCATCGGCGTCTGGCACACGAACGTGAGCGATTCGCCGCTGGCCACCGACAGCGCAAAGGTCAACGGCACAGCCTCCTCATCTTCGGGCTTCAGCTTCCTCTTCTGGAACACGGGGCACTCGACGCCCGCCACCACGCCCTTGAAGTCGGCCTGTTTCACTGTGACACCGCCCCACAATCAAATTGTCAGCACGTGAAGACTGCGCGTCTCTCTCTCTCTCTCTCTCTCTCTCTCGCACACGCACACGCACACGCACGCACACGCACACGCACACGCACACGGGGGCGCATACCGATATTGGGCAGCTCGCCGGTGGGCTTCTCGGTGGGGCTGCTGGTGTTGGCCCAGCCGAGGTGCTGCATGCTGTCATGCAATCGCAGGAAGACGTACTGCTGCGCGTTCTTGTTGCCCTTCTGCTTCTGGCCGTAGGCCTTGAAGGAGCAGCCCTCGCGCAGGTAGCCCAGCTTCTGGTTCTTGACCAGATCCGTCATGTTCTTCCTCACCTTGGTGCGGATCTTGTTGAGCGGGTCGGGCTGGTCGCCGGCCTCGACCGCGGTGTCCTCCTCCTCGTGCAGTCCCGTCTGCTTCCACGACGCCACCCGGTGGAACATCTCGATCGTCGCCGGGTTCTGCGCCAGCACGTCGCTGATCTGTTTCCTCACAGCCGCAATCACCTACAGATGGAAATTGAATACATCCATAGGGTCAGCCAAGCAGCAGCAGCATCTCGGGGATGAGAGGCCAACAGCAAAGGAACGAAAAGAGAAGAGAGAAGGGCGAATAGAGATGGGAGGCACGCACGTTGCTCCAGTCCATGTACGACGCGTTCATGTCGGCCCACGTGTGGTCGAGCACCTGGAATGCGATGCAGTACATCTCCTCGAACGCGTGCGCGTGGTCGAAGAAGATGTTGAAGATGGGTTTCGTGGGATCTGGGTGATGGCGTGCGAAAGAAAGAGAGAAAGAAAAAAGTTCGTCAGCGCTCAGTGCATTGACGCAGCGGCATTGTGAAAGGGGGGACGCGAGTACCTTCCGTTCCGATGTGAAGGAGCTCATAGAGCATCTTTGTGAGATTGATGCCGGCGACGGCGACCGGGTAGTCGTGGTCTTTTCGCTCGGACTGGACGGCGATGATCTTGCGCAGCTTATCGCTGTGGAACTCGGCCATGTACAACAGGTTGCTCAGGCCCAGCAGGCCCATGCCTCGAAGATCTGTCGCCGGATCAGTTCCCTGCCAGACCAGTCAAAATTAGCACGTGTGTCGTGCGTGTGCGTGTGCGGTGATGCGTGTGCGTGCGTGTGCGGTGATGCGTACCTGGAAGCCCATCGTCTTCCATTGCTTGGACACTCGGCTCTCGAGGACCGTGTCGGGGAAGACGAGGCTCCACAGCTTCAGGAGCATCTTTTCGTGTTCCTCATTCTCCTTGTCGTGGGCAATGTCGCTCAGCTGCTGCAGCTCCCAGAGTCGGGCGCGCTGGTAGAGGTAGAGCTGCTCCTTGAAGTTCTGGTTCTGGATCGTCGTGACTTGCTCCTACAGTCGTACGTGTAAATGCGTAGCGTGGGGCGGTGGAAAAATGAGCAATGAGCGGTGGTGGGAGAAGTGGTGGAAGAGGCGGCCAAACCTTGAGCAGCTTGTTGATGCCCAGATCGTCGAGGAGGTGAAGGAACTGCTTCTTGTGCTGGTCCGACGGTGTGGAGTTGATGAGCTCGCCGACGAGGGTGAGCGCGGCCAGCTTGACGTTGAGATCCGTACTGGCCAGCAGCCGCACCAGCACAAAGTAGGGCTTCTTGGTCTCCTTGGTGGCGTTGGCCCGGATGGCCCTGTCGATGGCGTCGAAGCCGTGCTGGGGGCTCTTCACCAGATGCGACACGATCTCGATTGCCCGACGCGACGCGGTCAAGTTCGACGAAGAGATGAACGGGATGATGTTCTGGAGGAAGGTCTCGTCGAGCTTCTCCCACCCGACGTGGTGGTGCATCAGCGCCTCGAGCGTCGTCAGCGCGAAGCCCAGTATGTTGCCCGACACCTCCTGCACGTAGGCGATCAACACCGAGATGCCGTTTCGCTCCAGAAACGCCACAGCAAAGTCCTTGTCCTGCCATTGCGCACCACCGCCACCGCCACCACACCGCCGCCACCACGCCACGCCGGCCCAGTCGAAAAGAGCGTCAGGGATCCCACGTCGTTTTATAGGGAGAGAAGGGCATCATCGTCATAATAATTACCAACCAAATATAGCAATAATAAAGAGTATGACCGGAAAGAAGAGGGGGGCGGAACCTGGAGGCGGCTCTTCATCTGTGTGAGGGCCTTGCGCTTGGCCTCTGGGTCAGAGCTCGTCAGCTTTTCGATGGAATCGGCGGCGACGAGGTCCGGCTTCAGTCGCAGACGGAGAGGGGTGCCGTCAGGCAGCTTGAAGTTGACATTGGTCACATTCTGGGCGACCAGGAAAGATATAAATGATTATTAAATTGTCCATACGGCTAGAGAAGCTTCATCTGGGATGAATCCATGGCTATGGTACCTCAGGTTTAATATAGGTGTTGTTGGTCTCGTTGAAGAGGGCATAATTGGCAGAGGGGTCGGGCGCCTTCAGCTCTTTACAAATGATGTCGATGTGTTCCGTCAATCCCACGTCCCGCTTCAGTTCGTAGAGGGCGATAGTGCCACCCCAGTCGCACGAGATCGAGATCTTCATTCCTCCTCTCTCCAATTTAAAAAATAAAAATCAATGTGCCCCACGCTTCTGTTTTGTTTGCGACTGTGCCTCGAAATGAGATCGCCGTCCACAATTTTGCTGCAGCGCACCAATCACCACCCGCACTGTTCTCTGGCTCGAGCCAAGAACGCGTGAACACTTACGCCCCACCCAAGTTCGGGCGGTCGACGGCGGCCTTGGCTTGGGCGGCTAGGTGAAGGCGACGGAGCGAAGCATCCAGTAGAAGGTGCGACGCTCACGCTCGTGGTGGTTGGCCAACGCGCGACTGACGAGGCCCTTGGTCCAGCAGGTGACGTACTGGAAGTTGAATACGACGCGGGCCTCGCTACGGTCGCCGTCCTCGCCACCAACGGCCACGAAGAAGTTGGTCACGCAGTTGAAGGTCTGGTGGTGGTGCGACGCCGACAGGGACGTGGAGGTCGTCACGAAGGTGCAACCCAGCGCGTGGTAGCCACCGATGACCATGTCCCGCTCGCGCTCGACCACAGTGCCCAGCTTGTGCTTGCCAAGGCTGTAGACAATGAAGTCGCGCAGATCCTCCTGTGTGACGGAAGAATAAGACAATGTCCCGATCTTGCAAGACGAAAGAAAGAGAGAAGGTGATGAGAGACGAGACGTGCCTTTGTGCAGACGTGGCCCTACGGGTGCCCCGCAGGGTACTTGCGAATGAGGAAGAACTCCCACTTGTGGAAATCCTCCCCGAGCGCGGCGAAGAGGTTGCACAGCGTGTACTTGTCGTTGCGAAGGAGGCCGCTGCACAAGGGCGCATCGTCCAGGTCCAAGATGTACTGCCTGGCCACGCAGGAGTGCCACGTTGTTATATTGATTGCACCCAACTCACCACGCCCGACTGAGACACAAACGTGCAGAGGCTCTTATGGGTTACCTGAGCGAGAGGCCGGGCTTTCGCTTGTCCTTGAAGGCGTAGCGCTTCATCGCGGCCGTGCACAGGAACGTGATCTCGCTCACCCTCTCCCGCGGCTCCAGCTCGTCTTCGCCGGCGCTGGTCGAGGCTGTGCAGACCTGGGCAGTGTCGGGTTCCGCCGCGTCGTGATGTCGCACGATCTTGGGCGAGAGAGGGAAGCTAGGGAGGTCGAAAAGCGACATCGACATGTCGAGACGTGTGCTCCGCATCGAACCGCTGGGCGCCGCCGGCACGCGCATCTCGCGCCACCAACCGGTGTTGTGTCGATCCCTGCTTCTCTGCTTGCCGTTTCGTTGCACAGTCATTCTGGTCTTCGTTGTTTTGGCCTTGTTCTTCTTTCGCTTCCGTGTGGCTTCCTTGAAACGCGCCCGTTCCTCCTCTCGCCACTCGTCGAACGGATTGAAGGGTGTGTTGCGTTCCACGTACTTGCCGATCGTTGCGATCAACTCGGGCGGCAGCAGCTGGAGGTATGACGCCGGTGATGATGGTGATGATGATGAGGACGACGAAGAAGTTGTAGCGGTAGAAGTCGAGGCCGAAGGGTATGTGAATGAGGGGGTCTTGGGCTTCGCCGAGGCCAGCGGGTGAGGAGATAGCGCCACCGAGGCCCTGTCCGGTGGAGGCAGCACGTAGGCCGAGACGCGCCTGTGGAGGTACGGCAGAGCGGCCAGCGACGAGAGGATCGAGGTCGATAGCCACCCGTCTCCTTTGACGTCGGACGGTCGGCTCTCCTCTCTCGCCTTGCTCTGCTTCCTCTCGAGTACCTGATCCGCGCCAGGAAGTGGTCCCTTCGCATCTCCCTCCAGCGACGCCGCTGCGCTCCTCCCCTTACGCGCTGGCTGCGGTACCGACGCCCACAGCGTGTCCGTTTCCGCGCCCTCCCTCCGTCCTGGGATCTCGCTGCGCTTGTGGTTCTTCTGCTTGCGGTCGCTCGGCTCGGCGGGTACGGCGATAGAGTGCAGCTCCCACACGCGCCGCATGTTGGAGAGCTCCTTGCGCTCGCCGCGCATTGTTGGACCGTAATCATAGTTGAGCGGCGTGATGCCCACTTCGAGGAAGCCCTGCGGTGTCTTGTCGAGGATCAGCGTCACCAGTCGCTCCTCGCCCTTGACGATCGTCCCGCCCAGATCGCTGATTGCTGGAACAAACGTCATGAACTCGTGAGCCAAGCACCGATCATGACGGCGTACTTGCCCGAGGTGAAGGAATTGGCCATTGTGTACCATTAGGAAGGACCACCTTCTTGCTGCCGAGGAAGTGGTCGAAGAACCAGCGGCCGCGACAGTATAGCGCCAGCTCGAAGCAGTAGCCTTCGTCCAGCTCCAGCTCAAACGATTCGTTCCACACCGGACACACGCACTACAACCCAAGTCATCCGTAAGACTCTCGAGAGAAGGAGGATGCAAAGGAGTGAATCTGCCGTACGTTCTCAATAGTTCTTGTACGGAGGGCCGTGCTGCCCTGGTGCGTTCGATCGCTGATCTGACAGAAGGGGCTGGTGTCCTCCGGCCCGTTGGCTGGCAGCAGATGGCACGCTCGCATGATCCGTACTCTGACCTTCCGTTGCTGCACGTCTGGCGCCTCCACGACCCTCTCGCTTACGTAGGCATCACGATTCTCGGAAGCCTCTTCTAAGTGGAGCTTGCTGCCCACCCATGCATTTGCCATTGTGTGTCGCCCTCAGGTAGCTTAGCTTGTCTCTGGTGAATCAGATCTATGGATCGCCATTATGGTTGGCCCTTTCGCCATTTGAAATGGCCCTGGGCATCTCGGGCAGGGTCTCTTTCGCTCACCCCTCAAAAGCAAACGAAAACTGCTCTTCTGAAACGAGTTGGCAAATTATTTCGTTGTTGAAACGATAGGAAACAAAGAAGAAAAAAGAAGAAACAAATAAACAAACCAAGGGATGGAGTGGAGATCAGAGGCGGGCGGAGGACGAGGCGCCTCACGCTTCGGCGTTGGCAGTGCGACTGGCGGGCGACGACGAGATGCAGGCGGTGAGGAAAGCGGCGAGGGTGGTAGAGGCGAGGGGCGAGGGAGAGGAGGGCGACAACTGTATAAACCAGATGGCGGAGGCACCAGCACACCGAGGCGTGAACTATTTGGCGAAGGGGACGCGTCAGGAGGTCGGGGGCGAGATCGGCGAGGAGGCGGCGGGCGAAGGGGCAACCGAAAGGATCAAAAGGTAGTTTATTTATTTTATTTGTTATAATGCATTCTTATCGTCCTGCACCAACCGCAGAGGGATGACCCCGACTATCAGCGCGGTCCAGCAGCTATGCCCACGCCGACCATCCTCGCCAAGAAGGAGCCGTCTGCTGGTGGCTCCGGGGAGCCCGGCGCTGGCCCATCGCCTTCTGCCTCGCCGCTGCACTCGTCGGCCATGGCCCCACCAGGAGAGGCGGGACTGCGACACGCTTCGGGCAAGGCCACGGAGCCGATGTCGGCCTCGGGCAAGCTCATCAACGAGTACCTGGGCTTTTCGTATGACAGCGCCTTCAAGGTGGGCCTCCACTGTGTGCTGTTGGGTGAATGCCGCATCTCCTTCTCCCTTTCGGACTTACTGACGTTCTACGACATGCTGCTTCTTTGTGCGGTGGTAGCTCCTGACAGATCAAAGCGACTTTGCTGTGGTCGGCGTGTTGGGCAAGCAGGGCGTGGGCAAATCCACTATCATGTCCGACCTGTGCGGCTTGTTCTCGCGGGAGGTTTGATTCCACCACCTCCACCTTCTTGCAATCCTTGTTGTGCTCGTTATCGCTGGCACGAGGCCAACAACTCTGTGTCTTCTAGGACCCCGAGGCGACTCCACCATTTGCCACACAATCCCAGGAGACTGCGCTGCGGTGTGGGCATGAAACGGTGGGCGTCGACATGTGCGTGAGCCCTGATCGGGTCATCGTCCTCGACACTCAGGTTTGCCTGTCTTCCCTTCACATACACACACACACACACGTAGCACCGCCACCGTGACCGTCTGCTGACTGGCCACTTCTCCCGACAGCCCGTGCTGAGTCCCTCGATACTCTTTCAAATGCTGGACGGCGACTATCCGCTACCGGCGGACGTCTCCTCCCACGAAAACCTGCAGGAGCTGCAGTCCCTCCAACTGGCGGTCCTCCTCTTCTCCATCTGCCACGTCGTCGTCGTTGCGCACGACTGGGCGGCGGACGTAGATCTGTGGAAGTTCGTTCGCTCCGTCGAGATGCTCAAATATCGGATACCCGACGTCGCTGCACACATGGCCACCCTGCCTGACGACCACACCGAGCAAAACGAGTACTATCCGGACATCGGTACGCCCGGCTGACAACCACTCCTCATTTTTCCCGTTCGTGTGGTGATGCTCGCAATCGCCACATTCTGAAAGCCAGTGCTGCAGTGTTCGTGTTCAACAAGCAGCCGGACGAAAGCTTCGCGGAGCCGTCGCTGTCTTCCCTGCGCCAATCCCTGCAACGCTTTTTTGCCCACTCGAAGTGCAAATGCAAGAGCACGAGCACCACCACCACGACGACGACGACAGGCAGCGGCGAAGCCGAGGAAGGCCCTGCGTTCTTCCTTTTGCCCGTAAATGAGGACTTGACCGACGCCTCGGTACGCCTACACCACGAGCCTTTGCACTTTCCATCGGAGGCTGACATCATTTTGCACGTACAGGTGCAGCACATCCACAGCGAGAGCTACGAGGTTGCTTTGGAGCGCTTCCGCTCTCACGTCCTCAGCATGCCCAAGCGCAGCTTCTCTCGTCCTCTGACCGAGCGCGAATGGTGCGTGGTGAACCCGCTCGCTTCCTTTTTCAATGAGTGTCCACTGGGCTCCCCTACTGACGTACCTGTGTGAGTGAACCTCAGGTTGAAGAACACCGGACGGATATGGGAGCTCATCAAGAAATCGCCCTTCCTCTCCGACTACAGCCGCACTCTCAACAAAATGGGCCTCTATCAGAAGACGTGACGCGTCTCCTCGGCCCACTCACTTTGAACTCGATCGTAAAAACTCTTATGCACAAAATATTGCCCACACAACACAAAATGACTCTATATCTTACAGGTGGCCTAGAGAGAGCGGGCGAGTTGCGGCGAGACAGCGAAGTCGGCGGAGAGGGTGACGTAGTCCTTGCTGTACACCAGCGTCGGGTTCACGTAGTGGAAACCTGATGGCGGACAAAGCAAGCGCCATCGGGATCAGCTCACGCAGGCATCCATACAACATACAACAACACACACACCACACACGTAGGCGTACCGGCAAGAGTCGGGAATGTGAAGAGAGGGTTAAGTCTCAGGTACTCGTTGACAGGGTAGAGGAGCACGTTGTCGAACAGCGCATCCAAGAAGAAGTTGATCACGGACACATCGAAAGTGCCGATTTGCGACGACTGTTGAGCCAGCAAGAAGGAACACGTTAAGCCACACAACGCTCAAGTGTAACTGGGCCAGCCGATGGCACGTACCTTGATGACGGTGGTGAAAGATGCGATGTAGAACTTGCCATGCACAGCCTGGGATCCGTTGCCGAAGTAGAGCTGGGCACCAAAGCGTCAAGTCGCCTGTCAGCGAGGGTGTGGGCTCGGCTAGAAAGCAAGAGCGGACGAACCTCGAACTTGAGCTCGAATGTGGTCTCGAGATCGAACACGTTTACCCAGCTGCCGTTCGGGGCGATCACGTTCACCGCCATATCGCCCACCATGTTGACCGCCATTCCTTGAGTGTGAGAAGCCGGTGAGTGCGTGCCGCTCGCGGTGTGCGGTGAGCGGTATGCAAACCAATCATGATCATTACCTTCAGTCTTGCTCGAGGTGTCGATGTTGAAGGTGATGGGCTTCGATACGAGAAAGTCAATGTTCATGTCCCAGTCTGCCCGCGAATGCAAGGAATGTGGCATCAGCGAATCCAATGTATTGCCGAGTACGTGTGTGTGAAGGGAGTTGTACTGGGGTAGAGCTTGTAGAGGTTGGGCAGAATGAAGGAGAAGGTGGCCGTGTTCATCTTGAAGGGCAGCCATGCGGGCAGGTCGCTGTTGGTGATGAGGTAGGTCAACAGGCCCGACTTGTAGTACGCCCACCCTATACCGACCGCGCATGATGAGCAAACGCGGTCCCGATCGGCGCTGAACAAATTCTATAGGCAAGTGTAGAGCAAGATGAAGCGCAGTACCGGCAGTGTCGAAGAGGTACTGTCCCACGGAAAGCTGCAGCATTTGGTTGGTCGCCAGGGCGGGTATGGGAGTCGGAGTGTAGTTCGAGTGCAGGCCCGAAGCAAGGAACACCTCGCCTATGATGCGTTGTGTGCGGTTGGGCATTTTGGTAAGTTCGGCGCGTACGTGCGCGGCGGAGGGTAAGCGGCGGTAGTGGCGCACCCTTCACGGGAATGAGGAAATAGCCGGGCGCGAAGACGGGAGACGAGGGCAGGGAGACGTCGATGACGGCCTGGCTCCCGTTGGGCGGGAGGCCAATGTGCAGTGACTGGTTGTGAATCAGCTCATTGACCTCTCCATTCCTGGGTGGCGCAAGCGCTCACTCGCATGAGTGCACAGTCACTACGCAGCGAAACAGCTCAAAGGAAACGCACAGCTTGTCGCGAACAGTCGCGGTGATCGTGTCCTGGATCTGCGTCCTGATGGTGCCGTTGAAGAGATACAGGAAGAAGCGCACGATGACACTGTACCGAAGAGGAAAGGAGAAGGTTACATCGTGGCGCTCGAGGCGTGCTTCTTAGATGGTGGGAGCCGGCCGTGCGTACTCGAGAATCGTAGAGTCGGAGGAGATCGAGGTGTCGAACTTGCCCAAAACGACCGAGACACTCGGACAAGAGATCACCGGGTAGCCCTTCTGATCGGCCGTGGCGCCCAACTGCAGAGTAGTAGTGGTGTCGTGAGAACGAATCCGAAAGACATACACGCACCACCGCACATGCACATCGCAGAGAGAGAGAGAGAGAAACAGAGCGTGAGAGGCACCTGCAGTTGCACGCTGAGCTTGCTCACAGCAATTTTGGCGGTGCCTGTGCCGCTGCACGAGGGAAGGAGGTGAGCAACGAGCAACAAGGCGCCGTGCGGGCGCACGGTAGCGACAACGTACTTGAGGTTGACGAGCGGGTTGGGGATGCCGTAGGCAAAGTTGGCTGCGATCTTGGCGCCACCGTCGGCCACGCTAAAGTTCAGCCCGCTGCCCGGCACAATGGACAGCGTGTCTACGTGGAGCAAACACAGAAAAACGATGCTGCTCAGAGCCACAAAGGCATCAAGCACGTTTTACGTTTTACGCAGGGGCGGGGGTCTGCACCTTGGTCGAAGGTGACGTTGCGAATGCTGATGTTCGCCACGGTGTAGCCGATCTTGACAGTGAGGCCAAGAATGTTGATGTCCTCTTCGCCCGTAATGGGGGCAAGATCGAGGGTGGAGATCAAGTAATTCGCCCATTGTGGCGTCAGGGCGCGCTGCACGGCGTTCACGCCCGCGGCAGTCATCACCGCTTGGACGGAAGCCACGCCGTCTGAGGGGCCTCTGGCCCATCTGGTAGCCCCGGATGCAGTTGGGCCATCTTCTTCCGTCCTAATGGCAATTGGTACGCGTTGCGAGGCTTCAGCAACCCTCAGGCCAACAAGTGCCACCACCACGATGACGATGCACAGGGCCTTCATCCTACTGCTCCTTGGCTGCACAGGGCAATCGTTGTTTTCGTTTTCTTCAAAGGAAATCGTCCTGAAAAAAAAAGAAATTCTCCTCGACTATACTGGGCGAAAAGATATCGAAAAGTCAGTCCTACTTCGTAAGAATAAAAAGGGAGCCGCGTGATTGGGGCAGATCACTTGTTTCGCGAAGAGGCGAGAGCCACTGGACTCGGCACGGACTTCTGCAGAAGAGGAGGAAATGATGGGTGTGAGCGACGTGGATTTCGTACGTATCGCACATCGAGCCCTGCCGCAGGCTGCGGCGTCTGCCCAAGAGAACAGTTCACTGTCAATACAGAAGAGAGGAAGAGCCGACCCGAAGCAAGCAAGACAAGAATTGCCAAGAAGAGTAAGAGTAAGAGAAAGCGCATAGAGAAAAGGTAGGAGAGCAGCGGCTGAGTACGCTCAACACAAGCATGCAACACAAGATGGACAGAGAGAAAGGAATGCAACGCTCCTTTTTGCTGCATCTCATCAACGCCGACAACCTGCCACCCGAAGGTAACTCCCTTCCTCAATGGCCTGCTCTTCCCTCTCCCTTTGCCCACCTTCGCGTACCACAGTCGACTCTGGTGTGATTGTGTCGGTGTCGACGAAGCAGCAACTCGGAAAGGGAGAGGTCCTGCATCGCACCGCCCCTGCCTACCCTTCGGCCGATGGGTCCGTGGTCTGGGGCCAGTCCCTCCTCATCGATACCATCGAGCCCTGGGACAAGTTCGTCCTCACCATCGACCTGCACCCCTCGCACAACCGCCAACAGCACAAGGTTCGCACCTATCTAGGAATTCTTTTTCTCCTTCTTTTCCTAATATATGCTTGTGATGCTGATGCAAGCAGCAGGGGGCGGAGGGGCGAGGCCAGTGGCAGGCAGATTTGAGGCTGGGCTTCCTGCGCTTGAAGCAGGGTCAGGAAGAGACTCTGCGCTTCGCGCTGTACGATAATAGAGGCCATGCCGCGAGACGAAGATCAGGTGCCGCCCAGCAGATGGCTGGCGTGGATACTGACGAGGCCACCGACAGCGAGGACGACGGCGACGATGCCATCGGCGTATACCTGCGCATCGGCATCAAGACCCTCAATTTTTCCAATTTCCCCACACCTGGCGATGAAAGCTCAGATGAGCTCTCAGAATCGGAGGAAGACGAGCGGGCGCACTGGGCCACTCAGTCGTCGGGCGAGATCCCAGTTGTGGTGCCTTCGCGTACCAAGGACAAGCAGCGGGTGAGCGACAGCGACAGCGAGGAGGATTTGACGTCGAGCGATCTGTCCGACACAGAGGAGGATTCCCAAGAAGAGGAGGAACAGCTGCGGCAAAACGAAGCCAAACGACTGGCGACGAAGCTGCAGGAGGGCGCCAACTTCTTGCTCGTTACCCGCAAGCACGGCGTGCGGCCCAGCCATGTGCGTCTCAGCGGCGATCAACGCACCATCATCTGCCGGCGACACACCAGTACCAAACCCTCTTCGCGCCTTCATGGAGTTTTGCTTTTCTACTAACGTGAGTCACTGTGTTTGTAGTTTTGCTCGACAGCGTGGATGAGCTGAGGGAGGGCCAGGCGACGGCTGAATTCGAGATTCACAGACAACCGGACAAGACGCACCTGTCGTTCTCGCTGATCTACAACATGCGCAAGGCGTTCAACCTGATCGCGGAGAACGAAGAACAGTACAAGACGTGGGTGAATACCCTCAAGTGTCTCATCAAGAAGCAGGTGGACGAGGAATCTGCGTACGTAGGCCTTGAGTCGCTTCATTAGGGCACAGACTTCAAGCTGCAACTCACCATCATGGGATACCATAACAGATATGCGGAGCGGGCGTGGCACGCCTTGGGCGGTAAGTCTGAGCTGTCGGTGGAGGAGATATTGAGGCTAATGCGGAAGCTGAACATGCGGCCGACCAAGGCGTATGCCGAAGAGATGCTGCGCATCGTTGACGCCAACAGCGATGGCCATCTACAGGTGCGCTCGCGTTATGCAACATGCAGCATGTGACGCAGGTAAACTGACACACATTCCTCTCCTTCGGTTCAGTATGAGGAATTCTTGCAGCTGCTGCGATTGTTGCGACAGAGGGCAGAGCTGCACGAACTGTTCGACAAATATGCGACCGACGACGACGTGCTGACGCCCAAGCAGTTCCTCAAGTTCCTACAGCGCGAGCAGAAGGTAAGGCCGACCCCATATCCATAACCTTGCTTTCCTCGTTCCTGCCTCTGACCTCCCTACTCGCATGGCAGGAGGACATGTCGCTCAAGCAGTGCACCATAATCATGAAAAAGTTCATGGGCGAGTGTAAGGACATCGATATTACCCTCAACACCCTGTTGCCTTCGGCCGCGGCCTTTGGCTCGGCCAAGAGACGCCAACGGTTCTTGCGACTGCTGCGTCAGATCTTCCTCCACTTCCCTTCCTTCGTGAAGCACACAGCCAAGCTGGCGAAGGAGAAGGCGGACCGACACCGCATCAAGAAGCGCGAACCGGCCTACCTGGACGAAGCGCACGCCCAAGAGACCGGCAGCGGAGGGAGCAGCTCGAGCGCCCCGGACGGCGCTGCTGCGGAGCCTGCAGAGTCCGCGGAGCCCAGCCCGGCAGACGACGACCACAGGGGACGCAGCACAAGGCCAGACCCCCCGGTTGGGACTGCGATGAAGCGACAGGGCAGCATCGTCGACTTCTGGAACGACTGGGCCGAGGCAAAGGAGCGGAAGGACCGACGCGAGCAGCAAGAGAAAGCCGAGACCGACAAGAAGGACAAGGATGAAATTGTCAAGGTCACCATGAATAGGTGGCAGTTCTTCCAGTACATGATCTCCGATCACAACTCGGTCTTCATCCCCGAGAAGCGAAAGCTCTACCAGGACATGAAGCGACCGATCACCGACTACTTTATTGGTACCTCGATCTTCCCGCGCTCTGCGAACTGTTGTGCACTTGGTCCGCTCGCTCACCAACCACCACCACGCGCTTCCTTGTCACCAGCGTCCTCGCACAATACCTACCTGACCGGCAACCAACTCAAATCCAAGTCGGCCACGGAGATGTACGTGCTGGCGCTCAAACAGGGATGCCGCTGTCTAGAGCTGGACTGCTGGGACGGCAAGCGCGGTTACCCGATCGTTTACGTACGTGCTCACACCGGCCCTATCGACTCCAGTATGAGAGTGTCGCTGATTCTATTGTCTCCTCACGCAGCACGGGCACACGCTCACTTCGCGAGTGCGATTCGAGGATGCTGTGATTGCCATCGCCAAATACGCCTTCTTTTCGTCGCCGTACCCGCTCATCTTGTCCCTTGAAGTCCACTGCTCCAAGCCGCAACAGATCATGATGGCCGAGATGATGAGGTACGCGAATGACTGAATGAATACCCTTGTGGTCCCTGTACTTGCGCCCAGGCTCACCTTCCGCGACAGGAAAGCGTTTGGGGACATGCTGGCCTTGCCGTTCGTCGATGGCGAGCGGGATTCTCTGCCCTCGCCCGAGGACCTCAAGTATAAGATTTTGCTCAAGGGTACGACTTCGCTTCACTTCCTCTTCGCGATGCTCGATTGGTACGTTGTGAGCCAACCACCCTTTTTTCCACAGGTTCCCCGGTCAGACTGCAGGCGGATGAGACAGAGCAAGAAGAGGGGCAGGACAGGAAGTCGGTCAGAAAGGCGCCCAAGGAGAAGGTCGCGCAGGAGCTGAGCGACGTGCTCTACCTCAAGTCGGTTCACTTCGACAGCTTCCAGCAATTCAAAGGTGCATACACTCCCTCCCTTCATGCAGGGTTGATACCTTAACTCACCCAACCCTGTGTTCTTACAGAGGAGAAGTGCAACCGTATGACCTCGCTCGCCGAAGTCCGCGGCTTCAAGCTGTTGACTTCTGCCGCGCCGGAGCTCGTCAACCTCAACCGCCATAAGTTCACTCGTATCTATCCCAAGGGTACCCGTTTCGCCTCGACCAACTACGACCCGGTGCCGTTCTGGAACGCAGGGTACGCGCAGCAGACCTTCCTTCAGCTTTGCTCTCGCCCTGTGTTTGACCGACCCCTACTCGCGGCTCGCCGTACAGGTCTCAACTCGTAGCGCTCAACTACCAGCATGTGGGCAAGAAGATGTTCTACAACCATGGGAAGTTCCTCGAGAACGGCCAGTGCGGTTATGTGCTCAAGCCGCCAGTGCTCAGGTCTGATAACAGGCGGCGATTCGACCCGAGGCAATCCACGCACCTCTCGACCTCGACTGTTCGTCGGTTGACAGTACAGGTACGCACTCGTTCTTTTCTATAGCTTTGTTCGCCGTATTGCGGCTAGCTCACGTCCATTCAACAGATAATCAATGCTCGCCAGCTGCCTCACGTGGCCAAGGTTGTCAACCCTTACGCGATTGTTGCGGGTACGCTTTGCCAACGCTTGGACGATCGAAGACAGTGCGGGGCCTCACCATTGCTGTCTTTCCTTCGGCAGTGAACGGAGTTGAGAAGGACGCGCGTGCCTTCAGGACGAAGGTGGTGAGGAACAACGGCTTCGACCCGCAGTGGAACCAAACGTTTGACTTCCCCCTGACGGCCAGCGAACTCGGCATTTTCCTCATCGCCATCTACGACAAGCGAGAGCGCTTCGCCAAGGATCGTCTGGTACGTCTACGAAGCTCCTGTTGCTTGCGATCATGTGAATGACAGTGTCTCGCTATGATAACAGATCTGCTACTACTCCATCCCCGTGGAGTGCATACGCGCGGGCTATCGAGTGATGCATCTGTTCGATAAGAAGGGCAAGCGCATTCCGATGTCGAACCTCCTCTGTCGCTTCAGCCTCAAGCAGTCGATACTGGGACCCAACCTGGACCGCATGAACGCCAACATGAACAAGCTGCAGTCGACTCTGACCCTTCCCCGGCTGCCTTCCCTCGCCTGGACCCACAAGAAGTGATGGCACACAACAACACGAGCACCTTCCCCGTACTTTCTCATTTCTTTTTCTGAGCATTTTTGTGTTCGTGCGCGTCGCCAACACGATGGAGGAAAGCCCACCGATTGGGCTCTCTCTGGGTACGCTCCTATGATGGCTGTTCTGTTGAGGCTGGTGCTGGCACGATTGTGATGGTTCTGCAAGCAAATCTGAATTTTGCCCCCCCCCCGATTTAGATGAGATTATGGCATGGAGCGAGCGCCATGCGCTGCCTCAACGACGACAGCAGCAGCATAAATGGAAGGGACCAGAAAGGAGGACACAGAAGCCTGAAGCCGTTTCTGACAGGAAGAGAAGAGAAAGGGCGAAGGGTGAAAGCGAGCAATCAGAAGAGAGAAGCGCGAAGAGGCGGCGAGCAGATGAGCCGCGACCAGCCAAAGAGGAGGAGCACAAGATGGAGGAAGAGGAACAAGGCACCACCACTGGCGAAGCAGCAGACGCCAAGCGGAAACGACCGGAGATGCAGGAGAGTTTTGTGATTGTGCGACCCAAGGGTCCACCCATGTGGAAGGTACGCGAGCAGCAGGAGAAGGAGCGGCAGCTAAAGAAGGCGAAAGCGGGCGAGTTGTAAAGCACTTTGCCCCCATCTTGCACCTTGCCCACTTCTTTTGTAGTTTCGAGAAGCGAGTGAGGAAAAGAGAAGGAAAACAAGGACCAACTTTAACATAACCCGGCACAGCGCAAGATGGAGGCTGGAGGCTGGGACAAGGTGTCCAAGTTTGTTGAAAAGCAGCTGGAGCTGCTCAATGATGAACGTGATGCCGAGATAGAGCAGACGCGTGCCCTTCAGGAAGGCTACTCCCCCAAGGTAGCAACACCCTCAAATACGTACGTTGATGTTGGAGGAAGGGTCCGAAATGGTGGGTGAAATGGTATGCAGGAGTTGCAAAGGTATGGCGAGTGCGTGCTGCGGCTACACGTAGTGGGGCGCAAGACCGGCGTTGGCGGCCTCCTCCTTGTCAAGCTTGCTCGGGCGGCCACTGCCGCCACCACTCCGCTTCCCTCCCACCGCTTCCAGCCAGGTACCGACCCTTGCACGCGGGTTGCTGCAGCACGCTCTCTCGCCGCACCGCAGCACAGCAACGCGCAACGCGTGAACTTCACTGTGACGCTTGTGCGTGCAGGCGACATCGTGGGACTGGTGCCCTCCAACGTGCCGATCTCGTCGTTCATGGTGGAGAGCATGCAGAAGGGCAAGGGCGGCGTGATCTATCGAGCGGCGGAGCACTCGATCACCGTCTCCTTCTCCAAGATGGACGAGGAGGGTCTGGCGCTCGACACCGACGGCAACACCACCTACACGCTGATTCGGCTGGCCAATGACGTCACCTACAAGCGCTACCGGAAGGCCCTGGAGGCCCTGCGGCAGCAGGTGACATCGCGCACCGCAGGAGGCGGTGACAACGACCACCTCAAGCAAGTGCTGTTCGGCCTGGGCGAGCCCCGGTTCGTCGGCCACTTCCGCAATCGGTTCGAGCTCACACCATTCAACCCGAACCTCAACGACTCCCAGAAGGAGGCCATCACCTTCGCCCTGGGTGCCAACGACCTCGCCCTCATCCACGGCCCACCGGGCACAGGTACGATTGACTTCCACCCTGTTTCTTCTCGAGTGCCAGGAACTGATCCAGGCCTCGTCAACTGCGGCGCCACAGGCAAGACGACGACAGTGGTCGAGTTCATCCTCCAGTGTGTGAAGCGTGGTGAACGTGTGCTGGCCACAGCGCCCTCCAATATTGCGGTCGACAACATTGCCGAGCGGTTGGCCGTCTATGCCAAGCAGTCTGGAGCGAAGATCGTGCGCGTACGGTTGCCTGACCAAGTTCCGGGCAAACTACATGCACGCGCTGATCATCAACAATCGTGTGCGGCTTGCAGGTGGGACACCCGGCCCGGTTGTTGCCGTCGGTCGTCGGCCTTTCGCTGGACGCCAGGGTGAAGCAGCACTCGCACCAAACCGAGCTAGCTGACGACGTCAGAAAGGAGATGGCCAAGCTGCAATCGTACGTGCCTCCCCCCTGAACTCAGGCGCACGCACGGCTTCGACTATGAATGATGAAACTCGCTTCCTCGTCCGCTATCAGGTCCCTGGGCAAGGCGACGCCCGGCGAACGAAGAGGTGTCTACGCTCAACTCCGACAACTTCGGAAGGAGCTCTGGGAGCGGGAGGGCAAGGCGGTGGACGAGATCCTGTCGCAGGCCAACATCATCCTGGCCACCAACACCGGCGCGGCTGACAAAAAGCTCCAGAGTACGTGGATAACCCACCTCAAGGCGGTGTGCGCCACTGACTGGAGAGTCCATGTTGCGCAGAGCTGCCCATGTTCGATGTTGCGGTAATTGACGAAGCAGCGCAGGCCGTGGAAGCCTCCTGTTGGATCCCCATTTTAAAGGCCAAGAAGCTTATCCTCGCTGGCGGTACGTGCGTCCTGCATCATACTACACCCTTGAGCACGGACGATTGACGATCGGCTTGTAGACCACTGCCAGCTTCCGCCCACCATCATTTCGGAGGGCGCCGCCAAGGCCGGTTTGTCGCACACCCTCTTTGATCGGTACGCAGAGCGCCTGGCCCTGCTCCGTCTCCTTCACCACCTCATCAACGGTCACTTTCAGAATGGTCAAGATGTACGGTGATACGGTGCGTCATATGCTGCTCATCCAGTACCGTATGCACGACAAGATCAACCAGTGGTCCTCCAAGGTACCTCGCGCTCCTCCACTTGCGCCCGCATCAACGCATGCGCCATGGTGACTCAGCCCTTGCGCGTAGGAATTTTACGAAGGCAGGCTACAAGCGCACGCCTCGGTAGCAAGTCACCTCCTTCGCGACTTGCCGCATGTGCAGAGCGATACAACGGAGACCAAGGTACCGCACCACCATGAGAGGTCCCCTTCTGACACTCGGTTTGGTGTGGACTCATGTCGGACCTCGCTTGATCCAGTCGCCGCTGATCATCGTCGACACGACGGGATGCGGATTCCACGAGGAGATGGTGGAGATCAAGAATGCGGCCGACCGCGGTCAGAACAAGAAGGGCGCCGACGCCGCGGAGGAGACCAAAGGCAAGCGGAAGCCCATGATGCTCGGCGAGGGGTCCAAGGCCAACCAGGCGAGGCCGACCTGGTGCACCACTACGTCCATACACTGCTCCAACAAGGTTCCTCCCTGCCTTGCCGGTCGAACTTGCGGGGCGGCTGCACCCTCACCATGTTCGCTGCTGTGAATCCAGGATTGAGGCCCGAAGACATCGGCATCATCTCGCCCTACAACGCTCAGGTGGATCGGTTGCGCCACGCCCTCCGCGAGAGGGGCATTCCCGGGATGGAGAAGCGGGAGATGGAGAAGATCGAAGTGTCCACCGTGGACGGGTTCCAGGGCCGCGAGAAGGAGGTGATCATCATCTCCTTTGTGCGCAGGTACTCGTGACCCCCCTCTCTTTCATTCTGTGACGATGTGTCGTTGTTGTTGACCTCGCCATTACCACTTTGCCACCACCAGCAACCAGAAGGGCGAGATCGGTTTCCTGGCAGAGTCGAGGCGGATGAACGTGGCCATCACCCGAGCCAAGCGCAGCGTGGTGGTGGTCTGCGACGAGGAGACGATCAACCACGCCAAGAACGAGTTCCTCAAGCGCATGATCGAGTACTTCGAGGCCGAGGGCGAGTACGTGGCCGGCGCCCAGTTCGCGGGCGAGGAGGTCCACGTGGAGACGGTCGACCACGGCGAGCTGGAGCGGATGCGCAAGGAGAGGGACGACATGCTGAAGCTCAAGGAGGACGTCGAGCGACGGCGCAGGGAGAAGGAGGAGAGAGAGCGGAAAGAGAAAGAGCAGCAGGAGCTTGAAGAGCAGCTGCAGAGCGACATCCTCGACTTTGTGGCCGACCCCGACCGCGACGAGATGACCTTCCCGGCCGATCTCAACGCCTACGCGCGCATGCGGGTGCACGAAATCGCCGGGCAGCACGGGCTGACGCATGCCAGCAAGGGCGATGGCAAGAAGCGACAGCTCACCGTACGAAAGCCCGTCGAGGAGGTGCGGGCCGCCCCAGCCGGACCCTCAACGCCGGGACAGGACAAAGAGCAAAAGCCAAAGCGGGAGGTGGAGGAAGAAGAGGGCGAAGAAGAAGAAGAGGAAGATGGCGGAGAGGAAGAGGAGGAAGAGGAGAAGAAGGCCAATCCTGTCTCCGAGTTGAGGCGGCTGCAGCAGCAGAAGTACCTGGCCCACAAGCAGAGTGAGGAGAAGGAGAAGCAAAAGAAGGCCGCGAACAAGACTAAGTCCAAGGCCAAGCCCGCCAAGGAGAGGGCCACTCGTCTGGAGGATGAGCTCAAGGTCAAGCTCCTCCCCTCTCTTTCTCTACCAATTGGATTTCTGTGGTCTGATGTGAGTTCTCTTTGTGTGATGCAGAAAAAGAAGAAGGTCGAGGCGGCGGAGGTGAGGAAGATGAGCGAGGAGGAGCTGCTCAAGAAATTCGACACGTACGCCAACTCTATTCCTATTAGCTTCGATGGCCCCAGCTGATGAGGTCCTGGGGCTGAAACGGTAATGCAGGACCAAGTGCGGCTTCAAGGGGTGCAAGGAATCGACCACCGTACTCGGTCGCCTGTGTCCGCACTGTCGCCTCAAGTTCTGCTTCTCGCACAGGTAACAACTGCTGCCTCAGGCGCAATCGGCTGAGAGCATTGTGTGTAGAAGTGTTGAACGCGTGCGGTACATTCGTTGTGGTGTCGTGCAGCATGGCCGAGATTCACGGGTGCGGAGACGAGGCCAAGAAGAAGGCGAGGGAGGACTGGCTGCACAGCAATCGACCCGGCGGCACCGTCACCGGCCAGTCCTCCACCAAACCGCTCAAACCGCAGGCGCGGAACCATCTCCAGAGCAAGCTTCAGGTAATGCCCATCTCGTTTCCCGCGGGCCGGCGTTCGTTTGCTCATCGCCGGCCCACACACAGGAAAAGTTGGGTGGGGTGGCGCACAAGGGCAAGAAGCCCACGGAGAAGGACCAGAAGAGTGGTCGGGGCGGCGGCGCAGCCGGACGAGGAGGAGGCGCCCCCGCTCGTGGCGGAAGAGGCCGTGGGCGAGGCGGCCACGCTTGATCGCCCCACGTGGGCACACGAAGAGCTTGACATGAATAATTGGTTAAATTGAGCTTCGGCCTCCGATTTACCGTGCTACGAACCCACGACCGTTTGAACCCACCTAATAATCGCGGCACGCGGCCGTTGACAAGGACAAACGCAACGAACGTTTCGCATCAAGAGGAGGAGGCGGAAGATATCAACACTAACTCTACGAGAGAAGGTGGGTTGTAGTGGCGCATGGCGACATCCGCAGCGTCGCCCTCACCTTTGCGGTTGAGCGCCGTCACGCCCGGAGGCACGCCCCCGCCGGGGACGGTGCGGGCCAAGATTTCGCAGCTCAATGCCTCCTCATCTTCGATCGACACATCCGGCGGACCCCGGTCGCGGGCCTCCTCTGTCTCCTCGCCCGGTGGTGTACCCGTCACCCCGCCCCCCGCGACCACCAACATGGTGTCCCAACGCGATACTCCGAACCTGAGCGATTCGAGTCACCTTCGCATCAACACAGGGGGTTCCATCAAGACGCCACGACGTACCCCCCCCTCTCTTCCTCTTCCTCTTCTTCGTTTTCGCTCTTTCTTTTCGTTCTTTATTTTCGTTCTTTATTTTCGTTCAGGTTTTGTTATTATTTTTATTGTAATATTAATCCTGTTCGTGGTCGTGGCCAACGTCTGCAGTGGAAAAGGATGTACGGCTGGTGGTGGACACGAGGCTCAGGCAACACTTGTCCAACCTCTACAAAGCGGAAAAGGATGTGTCCAGCGCAGGTACGCCGGCCTTTGTTCTTCTCTCGGCTCGAGCAAAACTCTTATCAATTGTGTGTCCACAGACGATGTCTCCGATACGGAGAAGCTGCTGGCAGTGATGCATTCCAAGAACGTCAACTTCACCCAGGAGGCAATCAAGATCATCATCCATCTCATGGCTCTCGGTACCCTCCCCCAGCATGTTACTCACTACAGCACCAACAGACCATACCACACTTTGAAAAACAATGCGACTGAACATAGCAATTGAAAATGCGATTCGACTCACGTGAACTTTGCCATGACGTGTATACATTGGCAGAGGAGAACCAGCAGGCCATCGGCAGGAGCGTGTTGATCCTGGAGCTGATTCGGAGCCTCTCTGCGCCACAGGACGCCATTCGCACCTACGCCGCGTGGGCTCTCTCCAACTTCTCCTCCAACGGTTCTCACTCCTGCTTTTCCTCTTCCTCCTACTCCTCCTCTTTCTTCTTTACTGCAGCCGATGAGCCACCGGCCGACTGATCGTCGTGTTGTGTTGTGGTTGCGCGCGCAGAGAGCAACCACAAAGCCATCCACGAGGTGGGTGGTATCAAGGCTCTGCTTTCGCTTCTGACTTCGTCCTCCGAGGATTCCCTCAAGCAGGCCCTCTCCGCGCTCCTCAACATATCCTCCAATCGTAATCCCTCCCTTCCTTCTTCATCGTCGATGTGTGAGTGAGCCCTTCGTTTGGGTGATTGCTCGAGCAATTGCACTGACGTTCGTACGTGCGCGCTTCGCGTTGTCAATGACGCGACCAGCCATGTTTGTCGAAACGATACGAAAGAGCGGAGGCATGCGCGAGATGATCCGCCTGCTGGAGTACTCTGGCAACGCGGCCGACGCGATCATCCCGCTCACGCTCATGGTAAAGCACTTGCACTCCTTCGCAAACCTCTCTTTACGCTAACCCTCCCATACAACGAACAACAATGAGCTCACCATACCGATACGACCACTATGTTGCAGGTGTTCATCAACTTGGCGACCAACGAGAAGAACATGGAGATGTTCGGGGACGTGGGCGGCTTCCCTCCGCTCATCAAGCTGCTCCACCACCCCGTGTTCAGCATGGACGCCATGCCCTTCCTCATCGCTCTCCTGAACAATCGTACGTTCGCTTCTCTCCCCTCTCTTTGTCCCTGCGCGTCGTCGCCAGTGGCACTGAACGGGTGTGCCGCGAACGCAGCGCGCCGGGTGAGCCAGTTCATCGCGGCGGAGGGCCTGCGGCCGCTCTTTGATTTCGTTTCGCGAGCGCCTGCGCGGCAGGAGGGCAAGTACGACAACTCGCTCGAGCACTGCCTCCTCGCGCTCCACCACCTCCTCAGCAACGGTACGCACCGACACACCCATCACCCTTTCATCTCTCCTGACCAACCACTCGGCTCACCGACAATCGATCGTGCTATCGCCACCACAGAGGACTACGTGCGAATGATCGGGGAGCGGAACTTTGTGTTGCCTCTGACGGCGCTCTTGGACGGGCGGCAGGACCCTCGCATCCTCGTTCTCGTCGTCGAGATCATCGGTACGTGCCCACGCACGCGCACGCACGCGCACGCACGCGCACGCACGCGCACGCACGCCTGTTCGGTCGCTGACGAACTGCCTTCGTCTTCGTTCTTCGTTCCCCCCCCCACTACCAACAGACACTCTGCTCGACTCTGATGAACGGAATGGCACGCAGCTGGTGACGGCGGCGGGCATCGAGCGACTGGTTGCCCTCCTGCCGGCCAAGCGACCCAAGAGAACACTGACAGTTGTCGTCGACAATGCGCTCCTCCTGCTCACGGGGCTTCTCGAAACCAATGGTCCGCATATTCCTCCCGCGCAGCGCATAGCGTGCCATCGGTCTCGGAGCTAAACTGGGCTGTATTCCCCCCTTCCCCCCATCTCCCTTCCAGATAACAACCAGGAGCATCTGCTCGACCGCGGAGTGGTGCCGGCCGTCGCCGGAGTCATGTCGTGGGCCACCAACGAGACCCTCGAACACGCGCTCCATCTCATCGCTCTGCTCACATCAGGTACACAGGCCAGCCGCGCCCTCGAAGCCGCAGCCGACGCTTGTATGCAGCACTATCTCACCGAATTGTGTGCGCGCGATCCAGGGGTCAACGGGCAGGTGGTGTACGACGAGATAGTGAAGCCGTGGCCCCAGGTGCTGCCGCGCCTTCTCCAAATGCTCAACGCCGACCCTGCAAACAAGCGAGCGGCCCCTGTGCCCGACTCCACGCGGATTAAGATCGCCCTCTGCTTTTCGGCCCTGCTCGGCCACAGTACGCGAACCCCTCTAAATGACCCGCACGCGCCCACACAACCATCGTGAGCGGCTCATGACCGATGCCACACTCTCATTCCTCAATCCTCAACAGTCGATTGCCACATGGACCTGGTGGAGCTCGAGGTGGTGGGCCACTTCATCGACCTCCTTGCCTCGCCCAACCAGCGCCTCCAGTTCTACGCCATCACCGCCCTGCGCAACCTGTCCACCTACTACGGTAATCGGCTGCACGCACCCTCGTCTGCTCATGCTCGTTGGGGACTAATGAACGTGTCAATGTGTGTGGCGAATCGGACAGCGTCGGTGCGACGAGAGATACAACACCTCGACGGACTCGGCGAGCTGCTGGCGTTGGTGCACGGCCCCAACCGAGCGGCCGTGTCCGTTGCCCGACTCGAAGCGATGCGCACCATCGCCAACCTCTCTGTCACCGGTGCGCGCAACTTCCCGACCGCCTGAAGGGCTGCGGCCCGGAGGAGTGCTGGCTGACCGGCTTGATTGCTTTGCATCTGCAGATGACCCGATCGACCTACAGGAGTTCTGTGACACGAGCGTGCCGGTGCTGCTAGCTGTGCTCGCCACTCCTCCGCCCTCGAGGGACGACATCACGCGAGGTAACCGCTCCTGCTCGTTCTTGCGGCATCAGACCACAATCTCAACTTATCAACACACACAGCCGTGGCCAAGCGGAAGCAGAGGCTCTCGAGCGGCTCCCAGCAGGACCCCAACTGCAACAAGATCACGTCCCTCGAGATGCAGCAGGTGCGCGAGCCGAGAAAGGGCCGCGACGGCTCGACCATCTCGACCCCGCCGCCCCACGACCTCGGCAGCGGAAGCCACATCGGAGGCGGGAACGCGGGGAATGCGGGCAACTCTGGGACCATGCTGGTCCGCGCTGCGCGGCTGACGGGCGCCAACAGTTCGCTGAACACCAACGGCCGCGGCAGCCGCGTGTCGAACATGGAGAGCCTCGGCAGCGGCGACCTCGAGACTCGTATCGGCAACGTGGGCACTGTGGGCATCAGCGGCAGCGGCGGCAGTCGCATCATCGCCGTCAACTCGGGCGCATCGATCGGCGGGCTGGGCAGTCAGGACGACCAGGAGGAGGACCGGATGCTGGAGGAGCGCGTGTTCCAGACCAAGTGGGAGAACGACTGTCTCATCAAGGCCTACACTGCCATCACCCTCCAGAACCTCTCCATCGAAGGTTCGTGCGCCAGCGCTCCGCTCTCACCATCTCCACGCTAACTAAACTCATCGATTTCTTTTGCTTTTGGGTCGTCCCAACGGTACAGCCGACTTCGTGGACGTGGTACACTCGGCGGGCGGGCTGGGCGTGGTGATGGAGTACCTGCTGGGTTCCAGCTCGCCGCGCCTCCAATACGAGGCCGTCCGGCTCTTGACCGTGTGGGCAGCGCAGGATGCCAACCGGATGGCGTTCCAGGAGATGGGAGGCATCCAACGTCTGGAGCAGGTGCCCACTCTCTCCCACTCACTACACTCAGTTCGCCGTTGCTACTTCGGGTCGTGGCTGACACACTGTTTTCCGTGTGCAGGCATTGGCTTCGTTCCAGAGCTCGCCCGTGCCCAACGACGCGCTGATAATGTGCACCCAGATCGCGCTCAATACCATGAGCATTCCCCGTACGCACCCCATCCACGCTGTTGATTTCCTGGGTAGCGCAGAGGTACTAAAGGAACTATGCGCGGTCAGCCGTGGAGCTGTCCGAGCGGATGATGTCGCTCGACGACGACGATGACTCTGGCATCATCGGCTGGGAACCGGAAACGGCCATTCTGGACTACATGCGGCAGGTGGAGCACGCCATTCGGGCCATCGAGCTGTCGAACCCGCTCGAGTCCTACCACTCGCACTCGCTGCCCACCTCGCCCAAGGACTCGGTCACCAAGTCGAGCCGCTACTCGTCGCAGCCCGTCACCCTGCGGCGCTCCGTGCGGCAGCGGGAGCGGTTCGACAAGTACCAGCGCGGCGGTATCAAGGACGCCAGCATCTTCGCCCAGCCCAGTGCGGTGGACGAGGTGGCGGACAAGGACCAGACGGCCGCGGCCAAGGTGGTGGGCTGGCGCGAGGAGGCCGGCATATCTCGGTTGCTCGAGAGCAGCGGCCCCGCCGCGGTGCCGCCCTCGCGGCTGCTGTTCGATCAGATGGAGGAGATGCGCGATCGGATGACCGGCAAGCCCGGCGTGGGGGATCTGACCTCCCTGGCACCGCTCTCGCCGAGTCGCGGCAGTCGCTCGCGCGGCAGTCGAGCGGCGGAGCGGAGGGAAAAGAACGAAGACGGCAAGGCGTCAAAGAGCGAAGCGGCGGCGGCGAAAAAGAACGAAGACGAAAGCGCGATCGGCGAGACGGAAGCGAAGGCGCCCAAGCGGAGGGGCTCGTTCCGACAGCTCAGCAAGCAGTTCAGTGCCACGCTCAAGAAGGTGCATCAGACCACCAAGAAGGCCAAGACCGACGCCGACAAAGGCAACGGCGACGACAAAGACAACAAGAAGGAGAAGGAAAAGAAAAAGAAGAAAAAGAAAAGGAGCGACAAGGAGAAGGAGAAGAGCACGAAGAAGAAGGAGAAGGAGAAGGAGAAGAGCACGAAGAGGAAAAAGAAGAAGGCGGCGAAGCAGAAGTCAAGCGGTGTCCGGGGCAAACCCGACGGGCTCGGTGATGGGAAGGAGGCCTACAAGTGGTCGGTGGAAGAGGTGGGCGACTGGCTCGAGGAGAACTCGCTGGGCGAGCTGCGCCCGGTCTTCGCCCAGCACCACATCGACGGCAAGGCGCTCATGCAGCTCCACCACGCCGCCCTCTCGCGCATGGGCATCTTCTCCCAGCCCCTGTCGTCCGCGCTCTTGCAGCGACGCCGCAAGCTCCTGACCCGCTCCACCTCGCTCACCGCCCCGCCATCGGACTCGTCGATGGGCTCCTCGCTCTCGTCGTCGCGCTCCTACCCCAACCTTTCGTCGTCATCGTCGTCGTCCGTGTCGGTCCACGCCCGCGACAAGATCGTCAAGGACGAGGAGAAGCGGAAGCACAAGAAGAAGAGCAAGGACAAGGCGAAGGCGAAGGAGGAAAGCGGCGACAAGACAGAGAAAGCGAAGACGAAGCCGAAGCCGAAAGCGAAGGCGAAAAAGAGCGAAGGAGAGAAGGGAGAGGGAGAGGGTGCCGGCCACGAGCAGAAACAGGAGAAGCGGAGGAAGAAGGGCAGTTCCAAGAAAAAGAGGAGGAAGACCGCAGGCAATGATGGTGCCGCCGAGGGCGAAGAGGGCAGCACCACCACCACGACTGAGGCCGAGAGGGAGTCCAAGGTGGTCCCCCGCAAGGGCTCGGGCGACGTCGACAAGAAGAAGCCGGCTGCAGCCTCGACCAAGCCCAAAGTGTCATCGCTACGCCGGCGACCGACCGGGCTGAGCGAGGACGGCAAGGGCAAGGAGAAGGCCGGCGACGTGGCTGGTGGGAACGGCGGCCGGCGCAAGGAGCTGCGGTTCGAGGGCAACGTGCTGGACGAGGACGAAGAGTCGGAGCTGGGCGGGACGCTGATCGACGACCTGGGCAAGGGCAAGGGCGAGGAGCTGCTCGTGCTGCGCGACATCCGCATCTCCCTGCAGGAGGAGCGCGAGTTGAAGAGCGCGGCGGCAGGTACGGCGTCAGAAGGCGGCAGTGAGCACCGGGGCAGTGGTCGCAAGCGAGGCGGCAGCAGCACCCGCCGCCGCAAGCAACGCGGGCGACAGCTGGCCGCCGCCGCCGTCGCTGGCGAGGAGACCGACGAGGACCATCCTGAGCAACAAGCCAAGAGCCCGCGCGCCTCGGCCGGCGCGGCGCCTAGGGCCGCGGATCCGAAGGCGCAGCCCAAGCAGGCCGGCTTCCTGCGGAGCATCTCCACCATCTTCCATATCCGAGGCAACAAGCACACTGCCAAGCAGCACGACCCGCACCACCTCGATGCGGCCTCGTCGCAGCACTCGACTGCCAGCTCGGCCGTCGACGAGGTGGGCGACGGCGCTGCGGCCCAGTCCGCCGCGCATGCCGGAGGCGAGGAGAAGAAGCGGGGCAGCTGGGTCCGGTCGGCGTTCCTGCGACGCGGCCGCAAGGGCGACGGCGGTGGCGAGGAGCGCAAGAACGCGATCCGCCGCGGCTCCGAGGAGGAGGCCGAGCTGCGCAACAGCAAGGAGACGGCGCGCCGGCAGCAGAAGGAGCAGAAGCAGGAGCAGGAGCGCAAGAAGAAGCAGGAAAAGGAGAAGGCGAAGGAGCGAAACAAGCTGTCGCGCAAGAACTCCTCGCTCCTCAGTCGCATGGCCGTCAGCACCAAACGTACGCTGCTTTCGTTCTTTGAATTTCATCGCTTTCGCTCTTTCGCTCATAATTATTGTGTTGTGTAGGCGGAAATCAGGGGAGTAAGAAGACGATGACCTTCTCACTCGAGGAGGACGTCAACTACGGCTCGACGACCGACACCACCACCACCCACTCCCACTCCCGCGGGCGAGGTGATGAAGGCGACCTGCAGGACGAGGACGATGAAGACGAGATGGACAACATCCGCCGGAAGCAGGGCACCCCGCGCGTCAACCTGCAGCGCGCGACCAGCGGCGACGAGCTGCTGCTGCCTCTCGACGGGGAGGGCTCCATCGACCACGCCTCCTACTCCGAGACCGAGGAACAGGAGGTCGCCGACTACTCCGAGGTAAGCTTCGGCCTCTTCACGCCGCGCCGTTGGCTCGAGCCTGGGAGAAAGCTCACTACCGTTGGTGGTTGTGGGGGTTCACAGGTGGTGCATCAGACGACGATGGACAGCGGGTCGTATCCGTCAACGCCCAAGAGGGGATCGACCGCGCGGCCGCCCACGCGCCAGCAGCTGTTCTCCCTCACCACGGCCCGCCTGCAGGTCATCAGTACGTTACTCTCGCCTCGACCAAGGAATGGCGATCAGTCCTCGCTTGCTAACTACGAGTGTCACAGCGCAACTGGGTCCGCACCGCAAGCGGCTGATGCTCGACCTGCTCGAGACCGAACGGCGCTATGTGGCGTTGGTCACCGTGCTCATTCGCCAGTTCCTCAAGCCGCTCCTGCTCCTCACCTACACCGAGCAGGAGCAGTTCCTCACCGAGGAGGAGGTACGACGTACACCACGGTCCTCCCTTTGCACATCGCCTAGCTGCCCGAGCTCACCTCACTTCTCTCTCTCTCTCTCTCGATGACCTCTGCAGTTGCATTCGATCTTCCTCAATATCGGCCTGCTCCATTCGTACAACCTGATCTTCCTGAGCAATCTCACCCAACGCGTCCACAGCTGGAGTGACTCGCAGCCGGTCGCCGACGTGTTCCTCATGCTGGTGCGTGATTACGGTGGTGATCATCCGCCCTGAATGCTGACGTCAGCCGCGTATGTCTTGTGCGTCGTGTATCGTGTATGTGCAGTCGGACTTCCTTACGGCCTATGGGGAGTACCTGCACAACTACGAGGCGGCTACGGCGCTGCTTCAGCACTGCCTGCAGGACCCGTCCTTCGACCAGTTCGTGAAGACCCTGGCGGCCTCGCCCGACTGCGAGGGGCTTGGACTGGAGGACTTCCTCATCCTCCCCTACCAGCGCATCACCGCCTACGCCCACATCTTCAGGGTAAGCCATCACACCACCGCACACGCACACGCACGCATGTTGTTTGGTGTTAATGTTTGCTTCATGGCGCAGAAACTTGTGAAATGGACATGGGAGAGCCACGCAGACTACGGCGACATCACTACGGTGCTACACACCGTGGAGAAGATCATCTCCTCCAACGTCCACCTCCGCCTGCTCCCCAGTCCGCATGAAAAGGGTTCGTCGTCACGCACGCACGCACACGCACACGCCACGCACCACCACACACACTACACTCGCGTTCGTACGCAGTTGATTGGCACTCGGCTGACCTTCAATCTCCGCTCGGTCAGCAGGCCAGGCTTCGCCCTCTACGCCACGATCTCGTTATACGAAGCTCAGTGCGCGTGAGGGGTTCCTGAAGCTCCTCGCCGTGCACGACATCCTGCTGGGCTGTCCGATCGTACGTCACCTTCCCCTGAGTTCAGGGCTTTCGCGACAGTCAGCCAACAAACCTAACTTTACCCCACACGACACGACCAACGACACGACACGCAGGATATTACTATCACTCCCGGTCGTCAGTACGTCTGCGAGGCCCAGGTGACGCTGCTCGACGAGGCGGTGAATCGCCAGCGCGGCTGGCTGTATCTGTTCAACGACGCGCTACTCACCACCACCGAGATCGAGATCGCCATCCGAAAGACGTTCCCTCTGCAGGTGCCTACAGACTCCCCCCTCTCTCCGCTCTCCGCAAGTGTGTATTCCTCCTCTCACTCTTCCCTTTCCCAGAACAAGGACGCGCAGGACTTCTGCTCCTTCATTCCTTTGGAGGACATCATGACCATCGACGAGGCCCGAGAGTACTCGACCATCGTCAAGGTCACCTGCAAGGGGGTTCGTCTCCTCTCTTTCTCTCCTTCGTTCTTCGCCGTCTCTCTCGCTGATCTTCGTTCTTGTCTTCGTTCTTTTGTCTTCGTCGTGAATTTATCAAATTCCATGTCCACCCAGGGGCGGATCATAACGATCAAGTTCGACTCGACGGAGAGCAAGTCGCTGTGGCTCGACCACTTCGTGGTGATCGTCGCCGCCCACCGGCAGAAGACGGCGCGCTACAACCCGCCCGACGGCGTCGACCACCTACCGCCCCACTACGCGCCCGTGCCCCACGGCCTCGCCAGTGAGGAGAGCGAATTCGAGTCGTAGAGTCCAATGATAATGAGGTGATCACCCTTCAACCCTCACCCCCCCCCACCTTGTGTACATCATGTGATCACATCACCACCATAGCGAAATGTAATCCTACACCACCAACACACCGGCTGCGTGCGCAATCTGATACTTGATGCGCCAGCCCCCCCAAAAGAGAAGAAGCGTGAAATTTCGCGGCGCGGTGAACGAAATCGGCAGGAAAGCACGACCGAAATTTCTCTCACTTAGGTGTCGCGCCTGTCTGGCTCCTCACGGCCGGCGGCCGGTGTGGAACGAACTGCACGTTCCTGCTTCCTCTCTCCCCCGAGGAGACCTCCTGAAGCAGCTTGCAGGGCGCCTTCTTCTTTCTTTGGCGTAGCGCCACCCGACAAGCACGCACCATCTCCATACCACACACACACACACCATCTTTCTACATTCAGCCTCACACTCGTGACCACTCCTATCAAAGACGTCTCCTCAGAGCTCATCGCACCACACGCTCCTCTCTGCGCAAACCTCGCACGTGCCTGGGTGAACCACTTCTATCCAAGAGAGAGCGAAGAAGATGGACTTGGACCTGAACCTCAGGGAGGAGGCTCCCTCGCATGGACCGTCCTCCGGAGGCCCTACAGCCCCACAACCTCCCTCTACTTCTTCTACTTCTACTGCTTCCTCCTCTGCTTCAACCGCCACACGTGAGGCCCTCGACGAGGAGCTCGCCAGCCGCAGCGTTGCGGACGACCAGCGAGCGCGCTACGGCGCCTTTTCGGCAGCGGCCGCCGGGGAGGGACCATCAGACGCAGCCCTGCGGGCCGCGGCCGCCTTCCAGGCCTCGACCTACGGCACCGCCCCGGGGGACCAACCCGCGGTCGACACCACCCCCAAGCCCGGCGAACTCTCTGCTGGGCCGTCGGCGACGGCCGAACGAATGCCGGTGCCGCTGCAGCCGCGGCCCACAGCCTACGCCCAGTTCCAGGCTGGCGGCGGCGGCGGGGCCGGTACGAGCGGGCTGGGCGTGCCGCTGAGACCGGCGGCGGGCAAGGCCCGGTCCAACTCGTGGTCGTACCCGGCCTCGGCCGTGGCTCCCTACGCCATTCACCCCTTCGTGGCGCCCTCCTCGAGCACCGCAGGCGCCACTGGTATCGGCACGGGGATGCCCGCGCCCGGCCCGGCCCAGCCGCGCACCAACCGTACGACCTCCTACCGCCAGCGCGGCGGCAGCCTCTCCTTCTCCAGCCCCGACGAGGCCATGCGACAGCAGTACCTCCAACAGCAGCAGCAGCAACAAGGGCCGCAGATGTTTCTTCACTACTCAGCGCCGCAACCGACATCACAGCCGCAGCCGATGATGGCCCAGGACTCGGCGTTTCTGGCGTATGGCGGCGGCAGCGGCGGCGGCGGTGTGGGGGATGGTGGCGGATTCCTGTCGGCCTACCAGCAGTCGCGGGCGCCCCAGCCGATGACGGCGGCGCAGGCGACGCCGCCGCTGCCGACGACGCCGTCGTCGTTCATTCGGCGCACGTCCCTCCCGCAGACCTACCTCCACACGATCCCCATCAGCCGCTCCGCCTCCTCCGGCTTCACCCCGGCGTCCACCGACACCGCACTCCCCATCACCGCCCAACCTCAGGTGAAGAAGCCCCCAACACACGCAACACGACACGACACACGACACGACACGACACACGACACACGCTTACCGCCTCATGGTTTGTGGGGTGGGGTGGTGGTTCGCACAGACGACGGAGGTGCACCAGAAGTTGGAGATTCCCACGCATGGCGCACGGGCTCTGCCGAAGGAGATCGCGACGCACCCGGCCATCCAGAGCATCACCAAGTACACTCAATGGGCGCCCAGGCGCACCCAACCATCTAGTGGAAGGAAAATCGATCGCCGCCAACGCCCCCTCCTCCCTCCCACTCCATTGTCGCATGTGGCGTGGTGCGGCGACCGTGGGGCTCATTTCTCTCCATCCCCCCCCCACCACCACCACCACCACAAGGTCGCAGTCGGACAGCCAGCAGGCCACCGGGGAAGCCGCGGCGGAGAAGGAGGTCGGCGTGGAGATCGCGGGGGAGGAAGGCGAGGCCGGTGCGTGCACGTGCACGTGGTGGTTGGTGGTGGAGGCGTTGATTGGATGATGTTGACCAATGGTGGTGATTCGGATGTAAAGCAGGTGGCGTGCAGCCCAGCGAGGGCAAGTTCGTGGACATCAGCGAGTACCTCAACTTGCCCCAGTCCAAGGTGGCCAAGACGCTGGGCATCCCTTCCTCCACCCTCAGCAAGCGCTGGAAAGAGGCCGCACGCGCCCGCAAATGGTGCCTATGATCGCACTTGTTGCTCCATCGTCCAATCGTGTTGAGGCCTCAATATCATGTTCTCCCCCAGGCCGTGGCGGACAGTGTGCAAGATCGACAAGGAGATCATGGCGCTGCTGCACAACATTCCACCCTCGGTAGCCGGTACGTTGTAGGCCTCAGCATGCGAGAGAGAGAGAGAGAGAGTAGGGGGCTATGTACCTGCAAGGCTCATCTCTGTGCCACACACCACCGACAGCCAAGGGTCCCGAACACGTACCGCCCGAGATACACACGAGACTGCTGGCGTTGCTGAAGCAGAGGCAGGACGAGCTCAAGCCCGTCATCATCCGCCTGTAGTTATTCCCACCACCGCCCACCACCCACCCCTCCGCCCCCCTTTGTACATAGGCTGAAGAAGAAGAGAGTGATGGTAGTGGAAGCAAAATTGACAAGTTTATAGAAGATTGGTGGTGCTTGGGGGCGTCATCTCAGGTTTAGCTTTGTGGCTTGGCCTGCAGCTCGACGGCCACCTGCTGTCGCCGGTGCAGGTCGGCGATGTCCTTTGGCCGCTGCAGCAGGATCTGTGGTGGTGGGTGGTGAGGTGGTCAGCGACTTCAAGAGAGGAACTGCTCGGGTGCGTACCTCTTCGAAGACCTGCGACACTTTGTTGAGGACGACGGGGAAGTCCATGTACCCCGCGTTGCTGCCCACCCAGATCCTGTCGAACAGCAGGAAGCACTGACAGAACACCTCCTCGAACAGGCTTCGCTCCTCTACATACATCAAACAATCAGGCGCCCCGTCAGTGATGCCGCAAAGAAAGTGCAGGGCCGGTGTGCAGAGAGACGCGGGCGGGCACCAACCTTCGTTATCTTTGGTGGTCATGAAGTGGAAGAGGGGCGTGTCCCAGCGCTCGGAGGAGTCAGCGGCTCGTATGAGCGCCTCTGGTAGCGCAAACCCAGCGCGTGAGCACCACACGCGACACACACACACACACAACACACGCACAACGTTGTACCGTCGAGCTTGAGGGACTTGAAGAGCATCTGGGTGAGGTTGATTCCCGTCGACGCCCACGGGTAGGATCTGCCCTGTTTGAGCAGGGCCGATAGGGTGTCGCCGTGGTGGCGCGCAAAGTAGAGTATGGTCGTCAGCCCGAGCAGGCCCATCCCGCGAAAGTCGGTCGCCGGATCGTTGCCCTGCGCACAAGGAGGCGGCCAGTGCAGCAGATCAAGGGAGGGGGGGGGACGATAAGCGATCATCGCGCCACGACATGAGCCAAGAGAAAGAAACTTGCCAAACCCCACCACGACGGCACTGCACGGTGGGCGTACCTGGAAGCCGATCTGCTTCCATTGGGGCGTCACGCGATCGGTGAGCTGAGTGTCGGGACACACGGCCTGCCACAGCGCCATCAACTGGTGGTGGTGGAGCGCAAGTGTGTGTGTGAGATAGAGAGAGAGAGATTGTGTCAATCTTGATGAAAGCCGAAGGTGGCACGAGGACGAGCACTGACTGACCTCTTCCTCGTGCTGCTTGTCCGCGCTGTCGTAGGGCGTGCAGGCCAGGCACCACAGCCCCCGCAGCCGGCCGACCTAGACCAAACCACCACGACACGGCCGGTAAGCAACGCGACACACGACACGACACGACCAACGACACGACCAACGACACGACCAACGACACGACCAACGACACGACCAACGACACGACACGACCAACGACACGACACGACCAACGACACGACAGCTAGCACACGTACTTGCTTGGAGCGTCGTAGGCTGTAGGCTCGCATGTGGTAGGAGAGGACACGCTCGAACCCTTCTCCGTCCTCGGCGTGCCACTGCTCTCGGGTGCCGCTCTTCCACTCGATCTTGAAGCCCATCCCACCGACCACTGCACGGGCGCTGTGTAGGTCAGCGAGGGAGCTCGCCTTCGGCGCACTCGTCAGGGCAACAGCAAACGAACCGTTTTCTGCGCCTTTTCGTGGGGTGGACTTGTCGGCGGTGCCAAACGACTTGATCTCGTCGATGTACCTGGGCCAAGTGAATCGAACGCACACGCACACGCACACGCACGCGCACACGCACGCGCAGGCGTGAGATGGCCCAGTCAGCTGGAAAAGGGGGGTATCAAGCTATGAGTGTACCGGATGGCGTTGGCGAGCTTGACTTCGTACAGCAGATCGTCGACGGAGGCGTCCTGCAGGTTGTCTACCTGCCGCCCGTCCTTGGTAACCATCTTCACCCTGGGACGGCGAGTAGGTAGGTGGTTGGGTGAAGTGTTAGTTTGTTGGACAGTGGGGGGCGGTAGGAGCCAACAGGGGAGAACGGCGGGGAGAGTGCGGTGGTGCGCACTTGCAAAAGGCGTAGGTGGGCCCCGAGCTTAGTAGGGAGCCCTTGAAGTTGAACTGCTGCGTGATCGGACCCCAGTCGTTCACGAACGGCGAGCGGTAGAGCAGATCGCACGACACCACTTGGCCCTGGTTGCAGATAATGCGCACGTGTTGAGTTGAGCTGCTTTCCGGTGGCCTTGTGGCCTCATTTCTATCTTTGATAACCCCAACCGAGTACCTGGGGCGTGATCTCGACCAGGCGCCGCTTCTGCGACTGCCACACGTGGAAGGAATCGCCCATGGCCAGCACCTGCTCCAGCTCCTTCTCCAGCTGTCGCCACCACATGTCGTTGGTCGGGTTAGCTTTAAAGCGAAGGTCAGTCACCAGGTCGAGGGAATGACTAACCACGTCGAGCTCCTCGACCATCTTCTTGAACGAGGCCAGCCTCTCGGCGACCTGCTCCTCTGTGGCCACCTCCTCCCTGTGGTGCGACTGTGAGCGATGCATACGAGCACGGGCGCTGTGAGGAGGCCCAAGGCGGCTGCGCAGCGCACGTACCCGACGCCGGACATGCTGGACTCCTGCAGCTTCTTCTTGACTTCGGCGACCTTCTCGATCACGCCCGTCCGCTTCTTGGTCATGTAGGAGACCCCTGCGAGCTGCTGCTCATTCGCCTGCGCCTGTGCGCCGTCGTCGCTAGGCTCCTGGGGCGTCACGCTACCCGCTGGCCAGTGCGGAAAAAGACCAACGTCAGGCGCAATGCGGTACGGTGTGGAGTGGTGCGGTAAAGGCTGATGAGAGAGTCGACGTGTACGGGAATCGAGTGAGGTGGTGAAGCGTGGCGACTCGCTGGGATCGACAGCTGGCGCGAGGGAGAGCATGGGCGATGGAAGGAGACTCAGCTTCGGTGGCGAGGTCGAGGAGGGCATTGGTGTACTGCCGGCCCTAAGTAAGGATGAGGGCACACCAACGATCCAACCACCGTTAGCTCTCCTCGTCATCGAAGGCGGCAAGGGTGGTGCAGTACTTACTCTTCCGCGCTCGTGGCTTCGCTGGTCTCCCCCTTCTTGCCGCCAAAGATCTTCATCAGTGTGAAGCCGCTCTGCGAGCTGCCCTGGCCGTCCTTCCCTTTCGTGGGCGAAGCCTCGCTCGGCTGCGCGCTCGTGGCCGCCACGAGCGACCCCTCCTTTTCGCCCTCTTCCTCCCGCGCGCCCTGGTCCCTGTGGTCATGCGCTTGCTCGTCCTTCTCCCGCCGCTTCGGCTTGTCCTTGTCCTTTTCCTTGTCCTTGTCGAGGGTGTTCTTCCGCCGGCCGAACAGCTCCATCCACCGCCCCGACGCCCTCTTCTCCCTCAGGGCGGTGGTCGTTTCGGCCTCCTGCGCCGCCACCTTGCGCTCTTCCATCTCCCTCCGCTCCTTCCTGTTGAGGGCCGTGTGGCGGTACGTCACATAGTGCTCGGCCTCCACGATCGAACCTGGCACCCCGTCACCACCACCACCACCACCACCACCACCACCCATCAGCAAGAAGGCCATGAAAGAGCAGCGTAGAGGCAATGAGGGCGAGGGGCGGGTACAGTCCGGGCCAGCAGCGCAGAAGGGCCGTTGCTCCTGTCGTCACGGTGAGAGGTGTGAGAGGTGAGAGGCGAGAGAGGCGAGAGGGGACTATGGTACCTGCACAAGAACTCGCGCCTCGTCTTCGGAGGATTCGTCCTCGCTGGCTTGCGCTGCCGTTGCCAAAGCAGTGTAGCCTGCATCAAGTGTGGGGGTGGTTTCGATAGCATCAGCTTCGTGTGCCTGGTCGCTCTTCTTGAGCTTTCTGCTCCGTCTGTTCTCCTTCTTCCCAGACGGGGCACCACCTTCCCCTGCTTCCATCTTGTTGTGTTCAATGCCTTATGTTGATCTTGAAAAAAACCTAAAAAAAAAGAGCAAATCGAAATCTACGTGAAAGGGCTCTGTCGATTTTTTGTTTGGTGTTTGGTTTGGTTTTGTTTTGTTTGGTAAAATAAATAGGGTACAGGGCGGGAGACTCACAGCTCGTTCCAGAAGAGGACGCCAATGATGAGGGCAATGCCCAGCAGCATGGACGCGAACAGCGGATACCTCTTCCGTCGGGGTCCGGGCTCGTTGAACTCCTCGCAGATGATGTCCACCAGCGAGACGTACAGGAACGAGCCGGCCGCCAGCGATTCCATGATGGCCTGTGCAGTTAACGCACCATCATGAGCAAGAGCTGTGACAGCTGCACGGCGTGCGACATGTCACACGCCTGATCGTGAGGGGTTGCACGCGTACCTCGGCGAGGATGGCGTTGTCGCCGGAGAGGTAGTCGGAGAGAAAGATGCCTCCGGTGATACCCAGCGGGGTCATGAGCGAATACATGAGGAGGATGCCGATCCACCGTCGGACGGGCACACCCTCCTTCACGAAGCTGGTGCTGAACGCAAAGGCTTCGATCCACTTGTGCGAGGCGAGGGCGATGATGAGGATCACCGTCTGTTCGGCGTTGGTGCCGATGCCGAGGGCCATGCCTTCGATCACCTGGTGCAGCCAAATCAAAATCAGTCCAGTGTCACTTGCTCAAAGGGAGAAGAGGAGGGGGCAAAGGCAAGCGCGATACCGAGTGAACAGAAAGCACGAGCGCGAGGATGTAGGGCACCAGAGGGTACGAAGTCGACACGTTGATGTGGTGATGGTGGTGCCCTGATGAAAGGAGAAACGGAATGTTGGCGATCGCTGCGCAACGCCTCATCACCACTGTCACATGGGGCGTGCGTGCACGTACCATCGGCCGTCTCGGCGACAAGCTTCTTGTGCTCGTGCTCGTGTGCCACCTTCTCCTGTTTCTTGAACTGCTTCTCCATCATCTTCCAGGTCTTCTTGTCAAACTGGGCGGCCTCGTTAACAGTGAAGGGCATGTCGCGGACGGTCACGATGGGCTGTGAACGGGACTTGCTGTCGATCTCGCTGCAGGTGTGAAGTGCAAAGGTTGGAGCAACCGGTAAGCGAGGGGCGCGCATGTCATGAGCCACCGCGCGAGACGAAAGAGGCGCACTCTTCAAACGGACGGCTGCGGAGGAGAGAAGACGACTCGGCCACGCTCGAGGTGGAGCTGCCCGAGAGAGTCAAGGTGCGTGCTCGCTTACGCTCGTGGTAGTGCGGGATGATCTGACGTGGAATCTGGTACAGACAGAACACGGCCGGTGCGACGCACGAAGTGAGGCACACAACAACGCGTTGGGGCGCAGGAGAAGGAGGAGGGAGGACACACGTACCACGATGACGTCCACGGCCATGTCTTTGGCTGCGGCCTTGGACTGAATTGCTGCAATCTGATTTGGGAGAAGAGTAGAATGAGAACTGCTCCCCAAATCAAGAAAAATGAAAAATGAAGGAGGAAGATGAAGGAATACCGCGCGATGCTCCTCTGGATCGGAAGAGGACAGGAGAATCTTCTCGATCCAGAAGATGAGAAGGAAGCCGCCCATCGCAATCACGTAGGCAATCGGCATGGTCTCATTGAATTTGTAATTGAGATGTTCGATCTGCTCGGCAGCCTCGGGCAGCAGATGCACGAGTCCCACGCATAGGAACACGCCACCGGAGAACGCATTACCGAGGCCGAGTGCGAACTGCCGCTTGTCCTCGGCCAGGGCGTGCAATTGGGTGGGCAGAAATCCGCCAAACCACACCAGCAACATCATCACGAAGATACTGATCACCTTCCACCACAGAATCTCCATCTCCTCTTCCTATCTGTCTCACCTTATCAATCACTAGTAGTACTTCTTCTTTATCGATGTTGGAAACGCGAGCAAGATTTCAAGTTTCGACCTTGACCTTGTTCCACCCAACCCGCTTGGGCTTTGTCGCTGATTGGGTCGTGCTGGTGT